CAGACACACACACACTCACATTAACACATTTTTTTTTTTTCATTTACCCCCTACCCCCCTTACCTTTGACAATGCTGGGGGGGGCATTCCTCTTTCTCCCTGGTGGTCCAGTGGCTGATGGGCGGGCGGCTGGCGAGGGAGATTTTCCTTTGAGCGGTCCGCTCAGCTCCCTCGCGCGCCGCAGAGTGAGGCTGGGAGCCGGAAGATGACATCATATTCTGCGGCGCACGAGGGAGCTGAGCAGTCAGCTCAGGGGAAGAGCTCCCTCGCCAGCCGCCGCGCCCAGCGCCGCCCGCCCGCCCGCTCGGCATTTGTTAGCCGCGAGGCTAACAAGACATTTGCCCTGGGCATTTGGGCGCGGCGTTTTTTGCCACCCCCTGAAAAATGCCGCCCAAGGCAAATGCCTTGTTTGCCTCGCAGCTAAAACGCCCCTGCCTACAGTGCCGAAAGTGACTGAGTTTGCTGACAGGCACTTTTTAAAAAACACTGAATAGGATCATTGGCCTTCTATGTGGAAACGGAGACCATGGTTTTTACTGTAAGAAATAACGTTTATTCATCTTTTCATTCAGCTGGCGTCCTGCTGTTTCCATCATCGAGTCCTGGGTTGTGGACTACAGGCTGGATGAGTTAGAGCAGGCTTTCACTGCTCTTCTTTTGTGAGTTCAATTCCTATCTTTGCTTTTGATTTTATCATTTTTTTAAAAACAGTATTATACTATGTCTCTTCCTTTGTGCTTCTCTTATATGTACCATGTGTCCTAATTACATATGGAGCACCAGGGATATTATCCTCTGAAAGTCATTTTTATATTAGTTTTCACAATATTCACTTGCAATTTTTGCACATATTGCAAATGATGAAGTTGTTTACATAATTTATATGCACATCTTTGCATTTTTGACACTCGATTTACACTTGTTTGCACTTTAAATTTTAAAGGTACAGTGCACCTTTTTCTTTCCTTTTTTTGTGTATCTATAGGGTGTTTGGAGCTTGTGCACTTTAAGGTGCTGCTTTACCTTTTTATTTGCATATTGATTCATATTTATTGTAACACAGATTTTAGTATTTTAGCGCCTGTTTGCTTGTTTATATATTTTTCATATGAAACAATATTGCCCCAACGGGAACCGGGGAGGTTGGGAAAGGTCCGCACCACAACCCAGCCAGACGGCGGCCTATTGTTGTTAGCAGGAGAGCTCTCCTATCCCACAGCACAGTGATGAGGAGCAGTGGACCACTCTGCACAAGGCGAATCCGGTGCAAGCAGCAAGCGACAACTACGATCATCTTTGCCAGTGGGTCACCATTGACGGGATGGATGCCCGGGCGCTGAGAGACACGGGGGCCACCCTCACCCTAATCCAGCACCCAAGGTTCGGGCTCAGGCTCGCACTAACAAAACCGTACCTGTAAAAGTTGCAGGGGGAGCCATCCACAAACTCCCCATGGCCAGAGTACTCCTCTAGCTATTTCTGCTACTGGATGTATGATTGCTATTCATATCACGGTAATGTGGAGAAAGTATTTATTCCTATGGATGAGGACCACAGGATCCCATTAAAAGTTCCACCCACAGTCTGTAAGTGTACATACTGCAGGGTTCCTGAATCATTTATCATTTCATTTCATATTTTCAGCGTTAGGCATGAAAATTGCTTGAATATCTCTATATGCTTAATTAATACAATTATTAAAATAAAGTGTGTGTGTATGTATATAGAGAGAGCACAAAACAGATTTAAATGCTTATTATTTCCTGGCATGTGTACCCTAGTACCTTGTTTTCTAAACTTTACTTTGCTCTTTGAAACTCAGATGATTACTACTTCCTTCTCTCTGGCTAATTTACCCACAGTTTCCAGCCAATATAGTCACTGAATACTGTTCGCTGTTCTGCTGTAAGCGCTCCACAATCACTGCTAAACCATTGTCTTTGCGGGTCACTATCTCAAACGAGACCATACAAACTGTCCTGTTCTAATTCCTATAAGAACACGGCTGTTGCCAACAATTTCTATTAATTAGTTTGTTTCTTCCTGGTATGAATAAATAATCTTTGCACCTGACTAACTCTAAAGAACTCCTGTGCTATTTTCAAAGCATCAACACATTAATTTTCTGCAATAAACAATTCAACACAAGGCATATCTAGTTATACAGACTCTTCTTACCTGAATGTCCTTGGCTTCCTGGATTTGTTCATTTAAGATCTATAACTAGTTTTATTAACAAATGTTTTTCAACAGCAACTCCAGAAGATGAATCCTTCATTCCTGCAAAACACGTACCTGAAAAAAATTCTACCCTCCTCCCAAACGATGTTCCTGGAGGGGCTACAATAAGAGGGAGCGACTTATTGTTCTTCAATAGTACTTTCAAGTCTATTCACTAAAGCGAGTATTTAAAGTGAATTTAAAACTTAAAAGGGCACTATATTGTCTGGAACACTAATGTATATTCCTGACACTATAGTTCTAAAGCCACCATTTAGGCGTTCGGCCCATTACCTCAGGTCAGAAAGGTGATTTACTCACCTTTTTTCCTCAGCACCTGGCCCTTTACCCATTCTGCCTCTCTGACTGACATTATCAGAATTGCCCTCTGGGGAGTGGCCACTAGCAGTGTTCCTAGGCTGTAACGTAAACACTGCCTTTTCTCTGAAAAAAAGGCCTGGTGCCTCCGCCAATCGTTGCTTCCTAGCAACCCCGAGTACTCCTAAGCACTCCACCAGATACCATAACCACCGTAAACCCCACAGCCAGCATTACAGTTTGGTTGGGGTCTCGCTGTTCTCCACCCTGGACGCAAGACCAGGATCCAGCTTCCAGTGGGTAGACCTCTCCTAGTCCAGACAGTATGGCAGGATGCCCTTACAAAAGCAAGTGTTGTAATCCAAGGGAGTATAGTGATCATAGCAATCCCCACAGTGAATATAGCTGTCCCCTCCACAAATCAGACAAGGCTCTATGTTGAGGGTAAAGAGGAACTGCTTTATTGGTAGCCACAACTGGCCTTATATGCAAGTCCCCAAGAGATTTTCCATGACATATTCCAGGGGCATTCCCCACTGGACCTGAGAGGCGACTATGACAAAGTACACACTGTGATGACATTGGCTCTCAGGTTCAGGACACTCCCACACGAAATAGGATAATCCCTCCCCTGTGCCTGAGAGATAATTGAGTCAGGAACTGTACTGAACTACATTATCTCCAGGCATAGAAAACATAAATTTTACAATATGCCAAAAGTACCCCTAAAACACATGAAAAATCACATCCCCCGATAACCCTGATCTGGGGGACCAACATATCCAAAAATCACCCAGATTGGTTCAGGGGTTCGGGATTTCCATGGAAGTCATAGTTTTGACCAACCGTGCATATGGTCCTATGCCCAAAACAGTTCCAGTGAATTAGGGCTAACGGGCGGTCTCTCTTCCTAAAGGGCCCATAGTCTTTTGGCAAGAGGCTGGCCAGCAGGCCCCTCTAAGAGGGCGAGTTTACTTTCGCCACAAAAGTGTTTACATTAAAAAGCTCACAGGCACTGACTTTACTCACCAAAAAAACTACATTAAGTTGTAGTTGTTCTGGTGACTATAGGGTCCCCTTAAGGCCAGGATAGCTGAAGTGAAAACATAGCTGACTCGATTAATGTTTTTACTTTAACTATTTTACCTTAAATTTGAAATTCACTTTGAACTCTCACTGTAGTGAATAAACCTGCGTATCTGCAGCACCCGGTGAACTCTCTTCTTCTGGTTCATCGCGGAAAATCTTTGATGTAATTTTGATGTTTACCTACTTATTTTTTAGAATTATTTATTTTACATGCATGGATTTAACCTTTGCAGATATACTGAAGGGTATGAAGAATTATAAATGATAATTGGAGTACTTAGAATGGCACTGTGATGGAGCTCCCCCACAAATAAATAGCCTAGAAACACGAATATTAGTTTTATACAATGTAAAATATAATTGGTATACAATGGGTATATGTAATTCACCTGCCCCTATTTTGGTGAATGTAGTTTCCGCTGAATGTATCTTCATACAGTAAGTAAAGCTTCCTGACAAACCAGGCATCTCTATCCCATAGGACATTACTGGTTGCTACTATGACTGGTGTTTGGTGTTTTGCTTTGATGTGCACATTTTCTGATTTGAAGGCACCTTGAGAAGGGCCATGGAGCTGAAACCAGTAGATTTTTTAGTGCTCTCCACACTGAATTCACTTTATTTGATTGCTTGGTATGGACATCTGATTATAAACTGGGTGTTGCATCTACACAGTAAATCAGGATAGGCACCCTTTTCTGCGAGTTTTGTTACCCAAGTCTCATCTTTATCCTAATTCAGGAGAGCCTCTTTTATTGGAGCCATGTCTTGACGACAATGCTTTTGCCCAAGAGCCAAGCCAAGAAATGGCACTAATAAAATGTGAATCACCTTTAAAGAGATTATTGTAGGAACGATAGCCAGTGACGAGGATACATTAACCTGAGCAGCAATGGGCGGCAGTGATTTGAAGAGAGTCTGTAGTCTATCAAAGCCACTCATTGCTAGTATAAATTGTTAAAAAATAAATAATAAATAATAATAATGTAATATATGTCTTATTCACACCTCCAGTGGGGCTTGGGCTGCGGGCGGCCAGAAACCCTTATTTATTTAGTGTTAAACTGGTCATAAATGGTTTAACCCTGAATGGAGGGACAGTGCCATGTGACTTCAGGCACTATAACTACTATACCAATTCACAAAGATAAAGTGGTTATAGTGCCGCTCTAGAGTGTACCTTTAGGCAGGGCTAGGCTTTATTATAAATACCAAAACAGGGCGCCTGGCCACAACTTCATAGGGTTATGATGTAGCAAAACATCCCTTTAACTGAAGATGCAATTGGATATTTATTGCAAACAGTTCAGAATATGTTTACACTGTTTGTTTTAGATAAATCATGCAAAAGCAATAAAACCAAACACACTATGTAACAAAATATAAAATATTTAATATTAAACCAGACATATACAAAGAACAGCACGATAATTTACAACATTTACACAAAGCAATGTACACAAGCCAAAGTGACCTTTGACATGTCAGCTGTGGATAGACTACAACTCCCATCATTCTCAGGACTTAATTAATTAGGATTATTAATTAATTAGGATGATAACTGATGTGCCACAGGAAACCAGCTCCAAATTTACACCTATGTGAGAAATATATATACATGAATTATTTTTATTTTTTTTAGAATTCAGTCAAAAATAAACTTGGTCTGGAGAATTTTTCTTTTCAAATAAATAACTTTAGAAAGTGCAATTATAAAATTCTTAAGAATACATGAAGGTTCACAGTCTGTGAGCCGTTAACCTTGCGTATGTTTTGTCATAAAAAAAAATGAATACATTCTATTATTTGTGAAATATAATTCAAGCACACTTCAGCTGCAAGCAACTATACAAACATCCCAGAAATTCAGATTAAACATTTTCGCTCTTTTAAAAGAGCAACATGTGAAAAAACAAAACAAAATTACAAACAAGCTTTAGTGAGTTGTGCTTAGCTGACAATCGAGTTCCATACTCTAGAGCAGGCATAGGCAACCTTCGGCACTCCAGATGTGTTGGACTACACCTCCCATGATGCTTTACCAGCATTATGGGTGTAAGAGCATCATGGGGGATGTAGTCCTCAACATCTGGAGTGCCAAAGGTTGCCTATGCTCTAGAGCCTAGGCCAAATTAGAAATAGTTTCAAGTCCACCAGATTTTCAAATTTCAAATTTCTTGTAGTTCTGTTTGACCTAAATATATTTAGCTCAATTAAAAACTCATCACAACACACAGTTTACTGAAAAAACCTCTGCAACATTATATCTGAAAGCATTATCTGCAATTCAATACACTGACTCATATAAAGAACGTTTGTTTGGATAATCTCTTAGATTCTGTCTGTGTGTCGTGTGTAACCAGTCCCACGGCAGCTCATTGACTTAGAGGTCGAGGATGAATGCAAGATTTATAAAGCGGTCAGAAGAGATTAAACCTGCAAATACAATCTTCTACTTGCATTTTGAGCTTGTCCCAACACAGTGCTACTTAGCAAGTTGCTATTCATATATCTTAAACATGCATGCTGTTTGCTATTTGTCAGCTTCCCCATCGGAAAATTTATTATTTCACACATATGCAGTCATTTAAATAAAAAGCAGATTTTGTAAGAAATATATAAATGTATAGTATAATAATGTATGTTAGGCACTTTCCTAAAATGTCCTTCATTTTTGAGAAATATAGAAGTTAAGTGGATATGGGCATGGGTTTATAACAGCTACTGAAAATTTCATTTGCCCCTCCGCCTTTGGTGATGCCACCGTCAAGGGACTTTGCGAATTCTACAAAATTCCCAGACGGTGACAGTGCCCCTTTAACTGTCATAACATGGACAATTTACATTTTAGGCACAACAGTCTGATATTAATAAAAGTATACATGAATGTGGCAGAACCAACCTCGCCACTGGCCACTGGAGGAGCCTGGTCGCCCGCCTCCTGCCGCTGGACTATGGCCCCATGTTTAACACTGTTCTTTTTCCCTGCAGAAAGGCTGGTTCGTGCCTTTCTGCGGACTGTTAAAGTCACGAATACCGCTGAGCCGCCGACCTCCCTTCTCCTACCTGCAGTCAATTATCCGAACAACGGTCCTTTACTGTTTAAACCATGCTACCCCAGATAGCTATGCCATGGAGCCCAGCCGTATACTGAAAGACTTTGGCTCCATGGCGATTGAACTGTATGTATGTGATCTGAGCGCCATCCAGTAATAATGTGTGTTCAGATCTAAGCTATCTGGGGATAGGTAGAATGTGTATGTTCTATGTGATAAATGTAACAGTATGTATTTTTATGTCTTTTATTGTCCTTTGTCTGCCATGTGGCTAATGGAGTTTTGCCTCTGTCCTTGGAGATAATTGGATTACTTCCCAATTATCTCCAGGACAGAGAGGAGGGATTGTGATGCATTGTGGGATTGTAAGCTTGTGATTGGTCAATGTCCAATACGTTTCCCATTCTTCCATCTGGTCCCCTAGGGGAGTGTCCACCAGGTGGGAGACCTGCATAAAAGCCGGGCAGGTAGCCCCAGTAAATCAGTTCTACTTCACCCTCAATCACCCTAAGAGTCCTGTCTCTTATTGGGGGAATCTGCTACAAGGGATTGCTATGCTCTGCATATTCCCTTGCTATAATCACTGAGCTCTTGTAAGAGCTTGTTCCTGTCTTGCTCTCTGAAGGAGTCTACGGTGGTTATGGTGTCGGCTGGAGTGCTTGGAGCCCTCAGGAAGCGCTAGGAGCATCCCAGTCGGGGTGCCAGGTGATCTGTTACAATGAAGAATTGGTGGAACCATGCAGGACATGAAATGAAGTGAAGTGAAATTTGCAGTAGCTGTCATTAACCCATGCCCATATCCACTAATATTCTATATTTCTCTCGAAAATTAACAACATTTTGGCAAGTGCCTAAGATAGATATTTTTATGTTATATAATATATTTTTTATACTTCTTACATAATCTGCCTTTTTTTAATGGCTTCCACACATTGCAATAAAAACTGCCTCAATAATAAAAAATGGCACTAAGCAGTGCATGATCTATCAGAGCATGTCCTCAACTCCTTATGGTTGATAGGAATCACACTCTAAGACTTTTGTCATTGCCATCATTAACTATGCCCCCCTTCCTGTTACTCATGCCAGGAGAGGGCAATATAACATTCTTTACCTCCAACAATCTGCAGTAAAAGATTACCACCCAGGGAATCCTAAAGTGTCTAAACTAAAATATGCCTAGGTTCAAAAATCAAAACTGAAATAGCCAATTGTCTAAATTTAGGTTTTCAAACTGCCCTTCAAACGTGGCACCAGAACTGGATGCAGACACACATGTTGCGAGGGAAACTTAAAGTAAGCATCACATAGCAACACTATCTTCTTAATTGCCATTTGACACACCTTTGATACCCTGTTGTGCTAATATACTAGAGGGTAGCAATCTTGGTGGGGAATTGCCCCATAAGTCCCTTCCATTTTATTATATATTTTTTTATTTATTGGTCTCATACATAAACAAATACTAAATCCAGAAGCAAAAAAAAAAAAAAAAAAATGTCCCATGCAGTCTCTCTTAAAACTTACTGCTTCTTCCAACAGAAGAACTTATAAAAAGCACATCACAACTTTCTCACAACTATTTCAAATTGTCAACTCGTCTCCATGTCCCTTTTTTTTTTTTAAATGAAAGGAATCTTTTCCCAATATCTTTTTTAAAAAATGTGTTGACAGTGTTCTATTTTAATACATCACCTATAATATGTATTGTTAGTGCAGATATTGTGTTTGTTAATATAAATAACCCTTCAGCACTCATGGTTACTTACTCATCACGGGGCACCCAAATCTCCTTGTAAACTTCATTAATTTGGGAGACATTCCAAAAGGTGTTACCCATCCTAATTACCAAAGTTCCAAAAGTAGCTTGTGCCCAGAAGCTTAGAAGAAAGACCCACCTAGTCCCACCTGTGTGGTTTATCATCTGAACACTGAATTATAGTGAATTGAAAACCAAATTGAAATAAATTCTACAACTTTGTAATATTCACTTGCATGTTCTTTTGCAATTTAGTTTTCATTTTGGCAGAATTCAGGATTTGCTGCTCAAACCTCAGTGTGTTGACTGCAATCAACCTGGGAGTGTCCATATTCCACTTCAGGACAAATGTAAACAGACTGCAGCCAACAAAGAGCTTTCTTTCAGTGGCAATTTCTGAACAAAATGCACATGCTTGACATAATTGTATAATAGAAATGCCAAACTAATCATACATCCAGTAAAAAGGACTGCTTGCTCTCACAGTTCTGATTCCTTATCGTGACCGTCCAAGTAATATTCATCATCAGTAGTTGTATCATAGTCCGAGTCAGAACAAACTGGGATATTGTCTTCATATATATTAAGGTAACTTTCTGGACTAAATGTTTGCAATGGACTTTCAGGAGACTTACAACTCCTAAACTGCTCATCACCTCTTAAAAATCCAGGATTTTTAAGATGGCATGGCCTCCATAGCCGACCCTCTGTGAGTGACCTCTTAACATTGTTTAAAAGAATAGCTTGCTGCTCCTTGCCAAAAATACCATAGTCGAGAGATTTAGAAGTATACACTGGTTTCTTAATATGACTGGTATCCGTACTTGGCCAGTTATCATTTTCATCTATAATAAGTTCAGCTGAATATCTCCTGTGTGAACTGTTAGCATAAATAGGAGATCGATTTAAATTTTCACCATAGCTATTAGAAGAAAATTGTTGATTATTTGTCCTTCTGGAATCTTTCAAGTTTTTTTCTTCCATACTCAATGTTCTCATGCTTTTAGAGCGGTACAAATTTGAATGCTTGCCAACTTTGACCATAGCCCGCTCACTTGGGCTCTTCCCCCAAGGAGCATGCTTATTTAAGTGAGCCTTATAGTTGTCATTACTCGTATACATTACAAAAGGAGAATCAAGATCCTCAGACATCCTGGTGGAATTATCAAATGATTCTATATATGGTGGACTTCCGTGTCCTTGTTGATCTAAATTGTCAAAGGAGAATGTGAACTTTTTTGCAACTTTAGCACTTTTCATTTGATTTTGCACAAACTGCGAGCAGTAGGATGGTCTCCTTTGATTTAAACTCTTATCGACTTTGGTGATGTTTGATTGGCTGGACAATGGTGGTCTGGAGTTCCATTCAGAGCCTGGCATGTTACCACTGCCCATATAATGGTGTGGGGTCTGCACATAAAACTCTGGTCCTTTTAAATCTTTTAAACTTTTTGAGCGGTAGACTGAAGCATATTGTTTTCTGGTCATCAAATCTTCATCAGTTGTTCTCTCTTTAAAAAGCCTGTCACCAGTCATCATAAGATTAGTCTTGTTTCTTCTAATTTCCTCACTGTCACTGTAATCCGGATAAAAGAAATTAGGACTCACAGAATAGCTGAGATTGGAATTAGCAAATTCTGGAGAAGAGGTAAGACTTTTAGATGATCTGTAAGTATGTTGTGCAGTAATGTTGTCATGAGCAGTAGACACACGTTTTTTCTCCAAACTTTTGACACGTGTTCTCTTATTAGGTAATGTATAGAAATTTGAGGTGTTCATCCCAGAGTATTCAAAATCCATATAATCATTTTTATTTATACAGCTTTTTTGAGTTTCCCAATAAACAGGAGGACTGTTGTTCCTGTAATGATCTGTATCCCTTTCTGATATTTGTAAACCACCAAACCTGTCCAAAATATCATAATTTGGAGATAGGTTCTCCTGATCAGAGGATAATCTTTCTTTATTTTTCAAAAGACTAGTTTGCAGAGGAATAACAGGGAAAGCAGTGTAACTTGATTTTGATTGCTTTGTGCTTGTTGACATCAGTTCTTCGCCTGGTAAATGTTCGGTAGTGTAATGTGGCTTTGGTTTGCCGATATTTTGATATTCAGATTTAACTTGAGACTCAGAAAAATCATGCCTATTTACAACCTTCTCCAAAAGAACACTGGGAGCATTATTAATTTCAAGGGTATTATCTATGTTTTTCATTTGGTTCCGTGACGATCCCAACAGGCTTTTTGAATGCTTGCGAGGAAGGCTATAGTAGATTGACACCTGCTTATGATAACCTATTTCAGTGGAATCAGGAATTACAGAATTTTCATTGACTGTCTCATAAATCTGTGTATTCTCTGTTATTCTTGTGACAGCGTACATTTCAGGACTGGCTAAATTCTCACGGGTTGCATTTTCTCCAATATGGAGGTCTGAGACAGTTAGTGCAGGGCCGTCTGTATTCTGTGGATTTATTTCAGGTGGGAAGTCCAAAACTGCTGTGTATTCTTTCACAGATGCATTAACTTTAAAAGGTGTAGGTGCTAACAATAAGTGTTCTTTCAATAGGTTTGTGGTTGCAGATTTGGTCTGGGAATTGGATGGACTTGGGGCTCTGCTGGAGGAAAATACTTGCAAACGTTCTTCTATGATTTTTCGAACAGGAAACGTAGAATTGCCTGAATCTACGGATTCTGTTGTTTTATTACTTTTGATTGTATGCACATTGTGAATTAAAGCTTGATTAATATTCATACTTGATTGAGCTTTGTGTTTCTCTAGATTTTCCTTCTCATTTGTTTGTTGACTGGTCATGGTACCATTCTTTAGATAAGGCTTCAACAGTTTAAGTTTTGTAGATGTAGTGTTTTCTGTTTGCTGATTACAGTTATTAACTGTATCACTAATGGCTGTTATAATGTTGGGTGTTCTCGCATCATTTTTAATTATGTTATCAGATGTCTGTATAACTTCTATTGACTGTTTATTATTATTTGAATCTGCTATGCTTCTCCTTTGGCTTACCAATATATCCTGTTCAAGCAAATCATTATATTCCTTTTTCCTTTTCGATATTTCATTTAATGCCTTATGTAGGTCTGGACTCTTGTCTGGTATTTGATCTGACATTTTTATCATTACAGGTTGACTTGAAATGTTAAGAAGATGGTCCTGGGTGGTGGAACATTCCTTATTGGATGTGACACACGTGCTATCAGGTTTACTTTCCTGAGAAACTGCAGACAGTAAATTTCCTTTTTTTATCTCAATTTTTGGTTGGGAGACTCTGGGCAAATAACTCCATTTACTTACATCAGGAAGAGAAGGGGTGTACCTTTTCCAACTGTGGGGGAAGTCAGAACTATGACAATTATTATCGTAGGTTGTCCCTTTGTTGTGTACCATTTGTAAGCAGTTACTTTCACTAACTTGTAAAGTGTTAGTAGTCAATGCAGGTGTTCTAATAAATGCTTGAGTGCTGGAAATTTTAGGATTTGGAATGATGTTGATAGACTGAGAATTGTAGGTGCCAATCCTAGTAATTAAACTGTCTTCTTTAATTGACCTGATATTGCTACCTTTTAAATGGGGTATAGTCTTGCACACATTTTCTGTAAGATGACAAACTTCCATTTTATCAGGAACATAATTAGGTGGGTCACAGCTTGAAGGAACATCTATGTTAGTGGTCTCGTGTTTGGGCAAATTAGAACTTAATATTTTTAATGGCTCATGTTCATGCTGATCTTTGGCTGTGTTTGCTGATCTTTGAAGTGTTTGATTATTTATGTTTATTCTCGCTCCATCTCCTGCATTGAGCTCTGCCTTTTTTAAATATGTACTTGAAGTAATGTTGTGCGCAACATTCATGTTGTCACTGTTCTTGTTATCTGTTGCATTTTCACTCTCCTGCACATTGGGTGTAACAAGTCTATTAAAAAAATATCCCTGACGGTCATTGTCACAGTCAGTTTCCATAGGTTCAACTTCTTTGTCACTTTCCACAGTAGAAAAAGCCACTACTGGTTTACATTTTAATTCACTTGAGCTGAAAGAATTTTCTTTGTTTTCTTCCTCTCTAACTATTTCTTTACGGATTGGAATCGTGCTTAAAAGTGTCAAATTCTGAGAGACAGCTTTAGGAATTGTAGAAGTGCTCTTATCTGAAACACTGTGTAAAACTTGAGTTTTCATGTTGTTTGCAGAACTGATCTGAGCAAGTGGCTTGGCATTTGACTCGAGCTCCTGCTGAGAGGTTTTGTCCCTGTACAGCACATATATTCGGTTTTCTGGATGAGTCTTACTTAAACTTGAGAGGTCAATGGAGGGTTGTGCTCTAGAAAGCTTGTCATTGTCTTCACTTTTCCCTGGAACAGATGGCTGTCCCCACTTAATAGAGGTGACAGGGATCCTCCTAGACTTGTGCTGTCTAGTCCTGTCCAGCAGAAAACTTGGTTGTCCCACATTTGTAGATTGCAAACTGCTGGATGAAAATGACCCAGAATTGGAAGCACAGCTAGGAGATTTATTGCTGACAGCTGAACATACAGAAGGGCTTTTTTCTGAGGGCTGATTAGTGACTGTACGTTGTCTGTTTGAATACATATCATAAAAATTTTTGGGCTGGAATGTGGCACGAGAGGTATGCCCTTCTTCCAAAGAAACCGTTCTTGTCCCATCACGTTGGTATGTGCGGTTGTATTCCTTCCCATCTTCTGGTAAGTTGCTGGATAAAATGTCACTGCTAGAATCACATCTGGTTCGGTATCCTGTGGAAGGTCGTACTGCTGGATCCTGCTGCTTTTGTTCTTGAGCAAGTTTTTGGTCCAGGTCACCTAAAACTGAAACACATAGAGCTATTAGATTAAACACAAGTGTTTCAAAGTTTTTAATATTTTTTATTTTTAAATAGATCTAGTAGTTTAAAAGTGAAATTGGTGAAATTTAAAATAAATGAAAATGAGTAACGCTAAGTTACCGGTCGGCAGTTGTAACAAATACATTATAGTATGATACATAGATTTTATGATAGTTATTGGACAGCATGACACATATCCTTATCTGACAGATGGTTACCCTGATGGTGACCTGTACAGATTGGTGATACAATTTGAAATCTATTATTTCCCCAAAAGCTGCCTTCTGTTCACGTCTTGAGGCTTCCATGTGGTTCTTTAGTAGGACAGAAGTGTTTATTTTTTGCAAAACATTGCTTTTCATTCAATCACAGCAAAAAGTCCTACAGTCAGATATTCTCACCACAGTGCTTTGAAATATACAACAACAACAATAGTTTCAACCAAAAAACAGCCATTGCTAAAAGCCAATGCTTCAGGCTGGAGCTGACACCATATTTTTTGTAAAGTCTTATATCTGTGGTGCCAAATATATGCAAAAAGCCCAAACCTATCCACGGGGTTTGCAGATGTTCAGTCAGTCTTGATTGTTTCTTTGTTTTTAACAGGAATCAAGTTTAAGGGATTCCCAGGGTACCATAACAACTTCATTTAAATTAAGTGGTTATGATGCTAGAAGGTCCCTGGTACTTCCTTAACTAAAGGATTTAATATAAAGGTATGCACCTTCTTGTTTTATGAATGGTGAGTTAATTGGCATAAAGGGTCAGCTGACAACTCTATGCTTATCAGCAGCACCACTGCCCGTCGGCAGTCTGTGCTTCCTCTATCTGAATTTCCGAAACCGGATGTTGGTGAGGGCAGTGAGAAATGGCACTGCAAAGACAATATTTTGCAGCGAGAAATGGCACTGCAAAGCCAATATTTTGCAGCGAGAAATGGCACTGCAAAGCCAATATTTTGCAGCGAGAAATGGCACTGCAAAGCCAATATTTTGCAGTGAAAAATGGCACTGCAAAGCCAATATTTTGCAGCAAGAAATGGCACTGCAAAGCCAATATTTTGCAGCGAGAAATGGCACTGCAAGGCCAATATTTTGCAGCGAGAAATGGCACTGCAAAGCCAATATTTTGCAGTGAAAAATGGCAAAGCAAAGACAATATTTTGCAGTGAGAAATGGCACAGCAAAGACAATATTTTGCAGTGAGAAATGGCACGGCAAAGCAAATATTTTGCAGTGAGAAATGGCACGGCAAAGCCAATATTTTGCATCACAGATATATGGATTAAACCCCTACACTAAAGGAAGCATCAGGGCATTCCTGGCACAATAACAACTTCATTTTGAAGAAGTTAAGGAGCCCAGAATGTTCCTTTAAATATCTGCCCTGTAGAGGAGTATGGGATATGTAGTTCCATTCATCAGATAAGATGGATGAAATTGCTGCAATAGAAGCTGCACCTCAATCAGCACAATTTAGAGAGCAAGGAGTGCACAGGTTGATTTTTTTTCTCTGAGGAGAAAGTATTAATACTACCCAAGCAATATATAACAGCTCAAGTGAACAGACAGCGCAATAGTCTGCAACATGGGGAAAAATTAGATTGCTAAATCAATGTTTATACATGATAAAATATTTGAGTTGTGTGCTTAATTAAATTCTAGCTGTCATTGTTATTACTTAATGATCAAAACGAAAGGTTTCGCAAACAATCAGTTCTCCAGAAATGTGTAGTGGACATTAAATCACTGTCTTGTAATGTGACAGTGTCTGTAAATCAGTGCCATGCCATGAAAGCCTTGCAAACACTGAATACAGTTCTTTTTTAATGTTTTTACAATACGGTATTATTGTACACTGCAGTTTGAACATGTATTTATTGGAAGCTACTTGGCTTCTGTAGTCTCTCACTTGACTTTTACTGTCCAAGGATCGTCCCTCCTAGAATTAGCTCGATAAAAAGGAATGCATGACTCATAGAAATAATATTGTTATTTTTCTATATATACCATTTCTTGCATCTGGGATAGTACTAGACTGGAGGCCTGGATTCATAATTAAAGAAAATAACCCTACTAACAGCTTATTATTCAAATTATTAGTAACAATTTATTCATACAAATTTGGTATATATAGAGATAAATATAAATATAAAGAGAGAGAGGCACAATTGAGAAAGCTGTCAGCGTAGAACAATCTGCATTATGTTGGTCTCCATGGTGATATCCCGACTTCTAGAACTTTGTATCAGACTCACTCTTTTTATAGTTTTCAATGCCCTGTGTTTCCTGTGCTGAGTGAACCCTGCTTATAGGGGTTGACTTACTAAACATGAGTTTGGAGAACATGTCCAACTCAGCATAGTGATTTGTCTGTCACAAATAGCAGAGATACAGCCTAGTTTACAAATCTACAAACAATGAGCTTGTTTCCAGTATATTTTTTTTACCAAAAACTCTTGTTATTAACAAAAATCAGTAACTTTTTAGTGACCACAAATTATGACAAGTCTCCAAACTTAATTCCTGCTTTAACAACTTACCTCCTTCCTTTAACATCTACTTCAAGTAACGTGTGCCGCATGGCATTTCCCGTTGTGAAAACTGAATTTCAGACTAAGGGACAAAGTTCTTTTTAGCCCTTTCAGTGCTGCAGTGGGGAACAATTCAATGTACTGCCCTCTGATGCAACACTAAATAGCATTGTTGTTAAGTATTAACAATGTAAATATATAAATAAAAAAGGGGGGTTCCCTCAAGACCCTAATAACAATGTGTACGTCCCCAATAAATGGTCCCAACCCCATCTTTTACATCATGTGCAGCGGTGTCAAGGGAAATGACATCTGGGCGCATATATTTAAACAGACATTATAGGCACTCTGACCGGTTTATCTTACAAAGTGGTTATCGTGCCCAGGCAACTTCTCATGGTTCAATGTTAAACCATGGTCAACCTTGATTTGTATCTCTTTCTACCAAGAAGAAGTAGGTTTTCAATTGTGAGGTTTAGGGGCAGCCGGCAACATTTAGTGACAATGTTGAAACCATTTGCTAATCAGCTTTTTAACACTTCCCATTAAACCCTATGGGAACCGTTACTAGTAATGCCATGCATTCAGGTTTATTGGAACTTTGTAATGCTTTAGACTATAATTCCCACAATTCTCAGCAAAGCAAGCGTGCCTACGAATGATGGGAGTTATAGTTCACAACATTCTCAATCTCTGTATTAAGTTAGATAAAAATTCACGCGGGTTAAGTAATACACTGCTATACCTCCAGGATATACTGCATTGGGGTGTGCTTACAGGGTTCTAAAAAGAGAATTAAAAGTAAATTCAAATTTTATTTTAAAAGGACCGCTATAGTGCCAGGAAAACAAACTCGTTTTCCTGGCTTTATAGGGTCTTTAGGTCGTCCCCCCCACCCTCAGGGTCCCACTCCCGCCGTGCTGAAGGAGGAGGAAGGTGTTAAACGCTTACCGTGCGCGCATTCAATTTTCTTAATGCTTTCCTATGGACGTCAGCGTCTTCTCACTGTGATTTTCACAGTGAGGAGCGCGGAAGCGCCTCTAGCGGCTGTCAATGAGAACTGCTATGTTTACAGCTGCAGGGTTAACCCTAGATGGACCTGGCACCCAGACCACTTCATTGAGATTTAAGCTTAAGACCAAAATAGCCAAACTGCAAAAACAATCCCTATATTGTAGCGGATGACATTGGGCTGTCCTCAAAATTATGTGTATTTGTATGTTTTTGATTAATTTTTGCCATATGTATGTAAAGTGTATGCAGCATTCGACTGATTGTTCGGTAAAATCACTCCAGTTATTATGCGAGTGAAACTACCGAACAATCAGACCACCCCAGGAATAAGTGTGCCTCCAATTACCGTTCGCAACAATGTTGCAAACAAGGAATTGGCAATCAGTGCAGTGTGTGCTTTGTCCTCTGGGTGGCCGCCATTCGGGAGACGAACACGTGGCAGCGGCCATCTTAAACTCCTGAACAGCAGTGTTTTGCCGTCGAGTGTCTGGGACCCAAACACCGCTGAGACCTCCACACTGCCGGCACTTCGTGTAGAAACTACCGAACGGCTCTCTGTTCGGTAGAAAGAACCCCACGAACAAGGGGGTTTATCCGAATCCTCCCCAGTCTCCATAACCCAAGCCGTTCGGGCATTTTGTTCCCTTTTTCTGTGACCGACCGCAGGGCCAAAATGTATGGAACCCATTTCGGCTGTTAACCCCAGCGCGGTCAGTCTTTTTACTACCACCAGGAATTTCCCGAACCCCTGGTCCGATCGGGGTGATTTTTGAATATGTTTCTCACCCAGATCAGGGCTATCAAGGGATGTAATATTTAAAGGGATACCCCAATGTTTAGGGGTACATCCAGAAAACAAGGGGAACTGTGTCCTGCATAATGGGATTATGAGTCATACGAAGGGGAGGGGATGTGTGGGTGGCAACTCATGTATGATTGGTGTATTGTATAATTATTGTAAATCCCTCCCTTGCATGGGAGAAAGCTTTAAAAGAAGGTTGAGTGATTAAAAGTTCAGTTTTGCTCCTGATGCTGTGTGTCGTCTAGTCATTGGAATTGACATTGGGATAGTATTGGATTGTCTTCCCTGCTGTAATTATTGCCTTATGGATTTTTAATATTTGTTCCTGAGCCTCACTGGGATCTTGAGTGGAGATAACCTGTGGAATATCAGCTATCCGCTACATATTTCAGCTATGCTTCCAGTCTGGCTACTTTGGCCTTAAATGTAAAATTCACTCTGAATTTAGTGAATAAGCCTGTCTGTTTATTTTAGACACGTCATCATGCACTGCACTGTTTCGCTATATGCCATTGCAATGTTGCTGTGACGCTTGGCATCTTACTACTGGCAGACTTTTAAAATGTTTTTGATCTGCAGTAGCTCTGATGTGCTCAGTGCCATATTAACAGTCTTTACATAAAGATGCACATGAAGTGCCAAAGGTAGCTTATAATGTACATATCTGGATCTGACATAGGAGGGTTCTTTTTCTGCTACATTCCAAATTCATACATTCACACTGTGCCCCATAACCGACAGGCAGTGGCGTACCTAATGTATGGCAGTTAGGGCATTTGCCCTGATTGCCATTTGAAGTGGCCAGAATGGCAGATTTCTTTAATTCTTTTAGCCCCGCAGCAGTTCAAATTTTCTGGTGTTTATATGCTTGAATGCCATGTGTTTAATTGTCACTTGGTTAAAGGTATGGTTAAGGGCTACTCTGTACTCCATCTGTAATAATGCAGGTCATTATAGGCCCACAGTAAAAACACTGCAGTAAATCTAAAGGGGTCCTTTGGTTCTTACCTTGGATAGCCTCCTTTTCGAGCTGCACCCTGCTTAGGCCTCTGTCATTTTCTCTGGTTCTAACTTCCGGAGGTTCAAAGAGTTTTGCGATCTGCTTTACACTTCTAGATGACTGGTACATTTCAAACTGGAAAATAAGGACATTTTTCAACACAATGCATCCATGGAAACCTTTCGGGTAAATTTGAAACATTTCAGTAAATGTACCATTTGTAAACTCGAGTAACCATTTTTGTATATAACCTAGGCATTTCGTACAATGACTGGACACATTTGGTTCCCAAGGTTATTGGTACCAACTGTTATTTAATTTGTTGTTGCTGTTGGTTTTATCCTTGTCTTTTTTTTTTTTCGGTTTAAAATAACACAATTAAAGGACCCCTCTAGGCACCCAGACCACTTCAGCTTAATGAAGTGGTCTGGGTGCCAGGTCCCTCTAGGATTAACCCATTTTTTTTTTATAAACATAGCAGTTTCAGAGAAACTGCTATGTTTATAATAGGGCTAATCCAGCCTCCAAATCCTCTAGTGGCTGTCTCATTGACAGCCGCTAGAGGCGTTTGCGTGCTTCTCACTGTGAAAATGACAGTGAGAAGATGCAAGTGTCCATAGGAAAGCATTGTAAATGCTTTCCTATGAGACGGGCTGAAGGCGCGCGCGGAGAGGAGGAGAGGAGGCGGAGGGAGGAAAGCTCCCCGCCCGGCGCTGGAAAAAAGGTAAGTTTTAACCCTTTTCTCTCCCCAGAGCCGGGCGGGAGGGGGACCCTGAGGGTGGGGGCACCCTCAGGGCACTATAGTGCCAGGAAAACGAGTATATTTTCCTTGCACTATAGTGGTCCTTTAAAGCACCTTCTTCAACATACTTAACTTCATTAAAAAGAATTTGTGACACATTTGGGTAACCCCATGACTGAACAAATTGTTTCAAATTCTCATTGGGAGAATTATCAATTGCCAAAAAAGTATTTCAATATCACTGCCCTGTGAAGCTAGGAATTTAAAGAATTCTTTGGCCTCTCTATCCGTCTCACCCCACCTGCCCCACTTTGTTTCTAGCAGTTTCAGTTTGCGGGCTCCTCTATCCACCCCCCATTCATGTTGTCTTTTTTAGTGCCTACATGTTGCCCATCTGCATTTCATATCCACAATTAACACGGCTTTGTCTTTTATAGATGCCATGCCCGTATGTCCTTTTTTTTTACCATTTGAGCTACCCCCCAAACCAGCTGAAGCCCCTTTTTCTCTATTTCTATTTACCTGATTTCTATATTTTAACTAATGCCCACTACAGAAAACCCTTACTACAGAGAGTTACTGTGCTGGGCATGGCACAGAGTTGCATGCTGACAACAGCAATGTGCAGAGGCTGCAACACGCCAGTGGCCCACCCCACTGACGTGGTCATGACTCAACGCAGGTTTACCAACACCGTAGCATTAATCCTTGTTTGTTGCGCCAACAATTTTTAAAACAGCTTGACTAGGCTCAGAGGATTACACATACCTTTCTCCTTCCTTCAGTGTTAACAGGTGTCTGGTTTGTGCCATAGCCCGTGCCATGTCTAGATTTAGGAACAGAAGAACAAGATAACACCGACATGTTCTGTAAAAAGTCACCGGAATTTCTAGAAACAACACAACCACAAGCGGCAGGCCATCATGGGTAACAGGGCAAGAAATGGAAGTCAGAGAGATGTTTTGGTGGATAAAACAAAGGCTAAGGTGCGCAGCCAGTGCAGGAGTGGTACAGAGGTGGAATGTGATGGTGAATGTGCTGTAGCAGGTGAAGGAAGACTGAGAGAGGGTTGACTGCAGCCAGTGCTAGCAGCAAGGGATAAGCACTATGCCAAATCAGACACGTAAGTAAAATGTGAGCAGAGTGAGAGGGAAAGTTCTAGTCAAAATGCCAAACATCTCATTAAGACGGCCCTCTGAAATCTCCTAGGTGCCTGCAGGATGTCAGCTGCTGTTATGTCCACTGTGCTGTGCGGAAAACTGGAGAAGTCACTTTATAATGGAAAAAATGTCATGCGATTTCCAGGGCTTCTGTTACCTCTTTCTGGTCTCAGGCTTCCTCGTCGCTGTGCACAGTGCAGGACTAGTTAATATTTACACACTGTTACTTGGCACGCATGCTTCTCACGCCTCCCAGGGAGATTTGATGGGGGGAGAGAGCGAGTGACGTGTACTATAGTGTAAACTCCCTAGATGGAAATTGGAAACTTCAAAACAGGATTTTTACCTCCCTAGTCAAGAAAAAGAGTTTTAAACCCCCTTGTGTATTCAACACCACCATTCAGTCTCTTTTTCCTTGTTTTTTTTTTCCTCCCTACTTTCTCCCTTTGCCAGTTCGTTCTTCCCTCTTACTTTCAGTCTTTTTTCCAGTGTTTTTGTTACTCTGACTCACTCTGCACTTTCACCTGTTCCCAAGTCCGCACAATCTTTTCTTTTTTTAAAAACTTTTTTCATCCTCTTTGTTTGTCTGCCTCTCCGCTCTTCAACAATGCATATTCTACTTAATCCCCCAGCAAATGTAACTGTCTATTCACCAGTCTACTTTATCTGCCTCTACTGTGTGTGGTTACATGTATGATGGTGTGTGTGTGTGTGTGTGTGTGAGGGTTGCATATGTGTGATGGAGTTTTTGTTTGTGTTAGGGCAGGATGTGTGTGATGAGAGTTGTGTATTATGGACATTTGAGTTGTTTGTGAGTGTGTAATGGAGATTGTGTGTTTGTGTGGCTACATATTTGATTGGGGGTGTGTGTGAGTGCTGCATGTGTGTGGTGGATGAGGTGTGTGTGAGGGTGCTTCATGTGTAAAGTGTGCCTGTGCGTGACTGGATGTGTATGATAGGTGTTGTATGTTGAATGCGTGGGAGGTTGCAGCTTAGTGTGTGAGTAGAATATTAAGTGTGCAACACTGCTTTGTTTGCATTGTGGGGCCCTTTTTGCGTTAATGTTTACTTTTTTTTAAAAAGCAATGGGGTATGATCCTTGAGGTTGGGTAGGAGTAGGATTTGGTTTGCACCGTTCAGATCTCTCTGGTCTCAGATGAATCAAATGCTTATCAGGAAACCCAACACTTTATACAAGAGCTATATTGTGAGGGAACACTGACACATTCAGATACACATAATGACCCTAAATATATAGCATGCTCCTCCAGCTGTTTGAGATTCTCAGTCATTTACCTCTTAATTCCCTTTACAATTTACTAATAGTTGCTTCTCTCTGTTAACTCTTTTAGCCATCACCTCCAAATTTCCCCTGCTATCTTTTGTCTCAAATCCCCATGGTATCTTTTAGATTGTAAGCTCACGGGCTATCTAGCTAAGCACTTTGTATAAAAGAGCTCCAATGGCTAGATTTCAGCTTACGGGCAGGGCTCTCTCTACCTTTTGTATTTGTCTGTGTATATTGTACGTTCTCCACTAATTGTACAGTGCTGCGGAATCTGTTGGCACTTTATAAATAGCAATAATAAATAAATCCAGATACAAACACTGACACACACAGATACACAGGGACACACAATGACACACATGCGGACACATATAGATACACAAACACAGATATTTACATACAGATACACAGACACACTGATATACATACAAACAGATACAAAAACTGACAAATGCAGATACACAGACACACACACACACATTGATAGATAGATAGATAGATAGATAAAGAAACATGCAGATACACACAAATTGGTACACATACACACAGATAGATACATTGACACAGAGATACACACATACAGATTCACAGACAGACAGATACACAAAAACATACAGATAAACAGACACACATACAGGCACACATGCAGCATACAGACAGACACACATATACACAAAGTCACATACAGACACACATTCATATACAAGCACCCACATACAGGCACACAGATGCACATACAGCCACACATTTACACATACAGGCACACAGATACACATGCAGACACACATTTACATACCAACACACAGATACACATACAGATACACATATTCATATACAGGCACCCAGATGCACATACAGACACACAGATACACATACAGACACACATATTCATATACAGACACCCAGATGCACATACAGACACACACACACATACAGGCACACATTTACATACAGACACACAGATACACATATGACACACATACAGACACACATATTCATATACAGACACCCACATACACATACAGCCACACACATTCACACATGCAGGCACACAGATACACATGCAGAGATACAGATACACATACATGCACACAACTTCACATACAGAGACACAATTACACATGTAAGCACACAGATTAAGATATAAGCACATATGCAGACATACAGATAGACACACACTTTAAGTTGGTGCTCCATATAAATGCCTGTGGTAGTAAGACAAAATTAGTGTGGTATACAGCAATCTGCAAACCACTCCCTGTGCTATTATATAACACTCATATTAAATAGCACTAATATTATCTACAATATACTATTCACTATACAAAATACTCTATTTCTATTAGCAAATCAAAACAATGGTCCACTTCCAATACAACTACAGAAATTGATTATACAGTGTGCCTGGTTTAAATCAATTTATAGATACAAAATGGCAACAATCAATGGACATAACCATTAAATCAACAGCTACCATCATGTCTTCTAGGTGTACCAAATCTGGAGTGTCTCCCCCCCCCCAATTTTAGACCATTTCCTCTATTGTCACAAAATATTCCATGTTCCGCTTAATGGAGAATTGTATAAAAATATACACCTGTTCAACTCATATCATGTCTTGTAATTGTTCAAAAACACAATTAGTAAGGTGTTCTTAAAAGTGTTACATTTGGGAGGTGCAAAAAGTATCACCTTTCTCTATCTACATTCTGACAGATTACAGACTTGCATAATTTTATCATACTAAGAATATGCTGCATGCATTCTGCCTCACTTTGTACATCACAATAAAAAAGTGGTGTAAAAGAACGCCAGAAAATGTTATATTTTTCTGGTGCGGAAAAGAGGCATGAATATTAGTAAATTGAATTAAAAAATTGATGCAAGAGAAAAATAAGAAATAGTCACACAAATAAACAGTGGAAAAGCAATTAAAAAATATAAATGTACACACATACAACAAAGGCGTACTTTTTGTATGTGTGTAAATTTATATTTTTTAATTGCTTTTCCACTATATCCCCCGTGTAATGCTTAATGCTCTGTGCATTCGCTGGGCTGGTTGGTTGCACAGCAAAGCAAATACCAACACCAGCACACCAACCAGGCCCTGTTTCTGCATTCCAGATTGTAGCCTACCAATTATTTGCGCTATGGTAATAGTTTTTAGACTTGTGCAAAACTTTGTCTTAACTGGTTCTTCCAATTCAAATGCCTTTTAATTCACGTCCGAGTGAGTTGAATCTTATTTATTGAATAAGATTTCACAGGTAAATCAGGGCATGGATTAAAAGGCATTTGATTTGGACAAACTGACTGAAATGGATTTTTGCACAAGTCGACTGCACATCATAATTAATCACGTACCCAGTTTCTTCGCTATGCTTTGTTGCAGATTCATGAACAATCTCATTCCTGCATTAAGCTATAAAAGGGACCTGTCAGTCTGCCTATGCTGCCTAACTAGTTAATACAATGCTTTGAAACTCAGCCAAGTGGACTGTGCGGTTGCAGAGCAAAGGTTCCTGAATTGAGTTTCATCTGCACTTTTTGGGGGGAACTATCTTTGGTGTTCCCAGAAACAGGACAACAGAGAACAAACCATGGACATGGTTTCTAAAAAAGGACTGACATACTGGATCTGGGATATAAGGAATGCAGTAAGTCCTAGCATAGCATTCACTTACTAGGGCATCTCCCCCACAGTGAACCATGTCAATGAAAACATATTTCAAGGTAACATTTGTTGGTGTTAATTAGTTTCCTAGGCACGTATCTTAAATACCAGTCAATAAGTAAAGACCAATGGAATTCAGAGCTCTACAGCATGAAAGAAATGTGACCTGCAACCTTCTGACTATTATCTACAAACTCACACTTAACGCTTGACCTCTGTTCCTGCTCACGACAGCAGCACGTCAGCCTCTGTTATTATTGCATTATGAAGTGCTTTTAATAGTTACATGACATATGATCTCTCAAAGAATATAATGTCCTGCCTCAAAACTGAAAAACACAACCTGTTAAACCAAATATATGCTAGTAAAATTCTCTGCATAAACATACTCCGATTCTAATCCTAATCCCTATCATATTCTTTCATCTAAAGTTCTTAGGCTTCCTTACAACCAGTGTTAATTCTGTCGACTAACCATTTTAGTCAAATTTTAGTCAACTAAAAGTTTTCGAGACTTAGTCAACTAAAACTAGACTAAAACAATTCAGATGACTAAAATATGACTAAAACCAAAATATTTTTTTAGTCAAAAGACTATGATTAAACTATGACTAAAACTAAATTGAAATTTGCTGCTAAAATTAACACTGTTGTTCATTTTTATCGGCCAGCCGCTAATCGCTAAAATGCTTTTTGCTACCGTTAGCAACCGCAAATTTTTAGAAGTAGCAAACAGGGAGGAACTGGCAGCCACTACTGAGAGCCAGTCACGCTATTTTCTGTGCACCCGCAAACCAATACTTACAGACTGCTTTCTGACTGGTTTCCATCCGTGCAACTACTCGTTACGAGCTGCCACGAGCCCAAAATATATAACATCAACCTCCGGCATAATGACAACTAAATCCCTATATATACTATTGAAACAAAAACTCTTCTACCAGCCCTGTGACTAAGTTGTTCTGGCACTCCACTATTTTCCATTTCTTACCGTCCAACCATGGTGAAGTGCACTGTCACAATACTTGCCTTTTCTATGCCCCCTCGGCATCCACGTACCATGGCTGTGCAACATCTCTGTATCAATTTTTATGCCAAATCCAACTCCAACTCCATAAATGACGCCACTGCACTCATTCAGTCCAGCGCCAGTTTTTATGCCAAACCAAATTCCAATACTGATGCCGGTAGATACATTGTCAATTTTAATGCCAAAGGAAAGGGGAAGCAGCATCCTACAGCAGCCAGCTCACACTAGACCCCAGGGAAGCCACCTTAATGCCCACAAAAGTTATGAATACAGGAGAGTGGATAAACTATGTTTAAAGTGATTTATTTATCTGCGTTTGTGTCATTGTGTATGTATCAGAGAGTGTATCTTTCTCAGTGTGTTTTGTATATCTGCATGCGTGTCTGTGTCATTGTGCATCTCTGTATGTGCCTGTGTGTATCTTGGTGTTTGTGTGCTAAAGTGAGGCAGTGTATGTCTCCAAATCTTTGTGTCTAGTAATGTAAATCTGTTATTAAATCTATGCGTGTCTGACAATGTGTATGCAGTGGTGTATCCTGGTTTTGTGCTGCCCTAGGCAGGACAAAACTCAGGCACCCCCCCCACCCCCCCGCGCCACCCCCACCCGCGCAACCACCACCCAACCTTCCCCCCTGCTCCGCCTTCTAAATACACACACATTCACTGACAGATACGCATTCACTAGCTAACAGAAACACACAGTCACTAACAGACACACACTCACACTCACAGGCAAACAGACACACACACACTAACACTAACATACATACACTAACACTAACATACATACACTAACACTAACATACATACACACTAACACTAACAGACACACACACTAACAGACACACACTAACATACACACACTAACATACACACACTAACAGACACAAACTAACAGACACAAACTAACAGACATCCACACACACTAACTTACACACACTAACATACACACACTAACAGACACACACTAACAGACACACTAACATACACACACTAACACACACACTAACATACACACTAACACACACACACACTAACATACACACACTAACACACACACTAACATACACACATTAACACTAACATACATACACACTAACAGACACACACTAACAGACATCCACACACTCACTAGTGCTTTTTTTTTGTTTGTTTTTTTATTTAACCCCCCCGCCTCCTTACCTTTGGTAATGCTGGGGGGGGTTCTTCCTCTCCCTGGGCGCTGGGCGGCAGTGGCTGCAGCGCTGGGCGGGCGGGCGGGCGGCGAGGGAGCTCTTCCCCTGAGCGCTCTGCTCAGCTCCCTCGCGCGCCGCCAGCAGAGTGAGGCCGGGAGCCGGAAGATGACGTCATCTTCCGGCTCCCAGCCTCACTCTGCTGGCGGCGCGCGAGGGAGCTGAGCAGAGCGCTCAGGGGAAGAGCTCCCTCGCCGGCCGCCCGCCCGCCCAGCGCTGCAGCCACTGCCGCCCAGCGCCCAGAATGTCTGTTAGCCGCGAGGCTAACAAGACATTTGCCCTGGGCATTTGGGGGGCGGCGTTTTTTGCCGCCCCCTGAAAAATGCCGCCCAAGGCAAATGCCTTGTTTGCCTCGCGGCTAATACGCCCCTGTGTGTATGTGTGTGTGTGTATGAATATGCATCTCTGTAATTGATTGGGAATGCATATATGTAGCTGAGAATGTGTTACTGTGTATCTGTGTTTCTGTGTGTCTGGGAGAGTGTTTCCATGTGTGCATATGTATGCAAAGCCACTTTTCGAAACACTAGGAGAAGTTATCTCCTTTAAAGGAAGCATAAGTTTGCTTCTATTGTTCTCACAGCAGTGTTGGCTTACAAGGTGTATGTAAACAGAAGAAAGGTCTGCACAGAGGGTGTTACTGGACTGGTTATCAATTGGGGAGGCTGGCTGACATGTTAATCCCATTACATCCTCCATCAGTGAAAGAGGTGTCTCTGCACAATGTGCAGCGTCATTTTCAGTGATTCATAATTCCGACATAATAAATATTGTTGTAGTATTACTTTATGAAACAATGAATATCATTTAAGAGTGAAGATAACTTTTTTTTTGGAACCATATGGACTCCTCTAAAAACCACATCTAAAGGATGTTAATCAAAGAGATTGCTCTTATGAAGAGGTGTAGAGCACCAAAATTTACTTTTCACTCATTCTAATAAATTACTACAAATAAATTTCACTTTTTATGGACAAGTAACAACCATTTTATTACTATATATCATATATTTTCCAATTCTAGCTTAGTCTGGCATTTGATACAAAACACTATCCCATGATTCTCTGCTTACAGCTTGTGAGCATGCAAAAGAGTGCAAGGAATAACAGATACAGAGATTAAAAAACTGTGACATTACGGAGATAACGAGCATGAAAAACACTAAAATCGTCATCAATAATAATATGTTTCCAATTCTCTCGTACCTCGCACTATTGTCAACTGTTCAATTTGTCTTGTCAAATTTACTCTCCAAGCTTAAATACAAAATGGAAAAACAAAAATAAAAAGAATATGACTCTATGTGGCTGCAAATTTCTATTTAGTTTTCAGTCATAGTCTTTTGACTAAAAAGCTATTTTCGTGTTCGTCGTATTTTAGTCATCTGAATTTTAGTTTTAGTCTAGTTTTAGTTGACTACAATTTTACTAAAATTGTTAGTCGACAAAATGAACACTGCTCTATGAATACATTACTGCAGCATGATGTGCAACATAATCAGCTCAGACTCAGTTTTCAGAATAAGGTTTCACAACGCACTAACTTTTATACCTTCCAACATTTAATTTGCCAGAGAGGGGCACGTTTATTATAAGGGATGCTACTGTGTGTGTGTGATCAAAGGGCTAGAGCTATTGAAGCATTTTATATAAAGTCTAAACATATTAACTGAGGATTAATAGCACATTGCGATCTCTCTTACTGTTGTGGAATTCTGGGGGACACATACAGACACGTGGAAACAATGCATCACTAATACAATATCTCTCCAATAAAATATGGAATCTTAAAAGTGTCTTTACCATAATATTCACAATATCCCCCCAAAAAGCCTGCTCCGTTAATTGCCTTACTAGCTGTCCACCCATTCCTTCCTACCTGTATTCTCTCTCCTCCTAGGAGTTAGACATTTTTTGCATAGCACAGAAGTTTATACGACCTTATATAAAACAACGGCAATTTACTGCCTTCCTGTAATGACATACATAGCAAATTGCAGACCTACCCTAAATCCATGGGGATTCTGTCCACAGAATTGAACGAGGATCATATTAACTGCTAGCAACTCAAATGATTAATGTGCACAAAATCAAGTCAAACCCAGACATAAATACAAAGTATACAATGTTCGCTCTATCAAAGTATCCTTCCCTGCCTCCAAGCACTCAGATGTTTCTTTCATATTTGGGAAGCTCTTGAGGGAAAGGCTATGACGCTGTTCGCTGTCAATTATCTCTGTAATCAGGTTCGTACTTGCTACCATATAGCCTTCTTCTCTGCAAGGGGTAAGGAACCAAATCACAGGCAAGGGGTTTGCGATCACTTAGCAACTCAAGACATACACACAACATCTACATCATGCAGAACAAGGTGCAAATACCTTAAGGCATTCTACAGGCAGAACTTTGAATGCTTTATTTTATCGACGTTAAAACCTTGTTTATTTGGGAGCAAGATAAACTTGATCAATGAGTAATTTCAGCATTAGAAAATCATTCAGGGTGTACCTGGCTAAATGGCTACTCTGAGGGTAAAAGTGACGGGTAACAAAATTGAAGAATTTAAAATATTTGAACTCTTACACGGTTAATGGTAAATTTGATAACAATTCTCCTAATATTGAACCACCCTGCAGTATATCAGTGATAGCTAACCTTTGGCAAGATCTGTTTTCTGTGACGCTCAACAAGCAAAATAAGAGGTGTATATCACCAAAAGGTACTACAGATAACATTTATTGCTGCAAAGTACTTGCATTCTTTTTTTTAGGTGCATTCAGTCTTTAAAGACCTAAATCCAGCATTGAATTTCCTGGAGGCAGAGCAATATATGTGTGTATGTCAGTCTGTATGTATGTATGTCAGTCTGTATGTGTGTAGCTATGTATGTCAGTATGTATGTATGTATGTCAGTATGTCAGTATGTGTGTATGTATGTCTGTGTCTGTCTGTTTATGTATGTATGTCAGTATGTGTGTGTGTGCAGTGTGCATAGGAATTCGTTCATATTTTTTATAGTCCGGCCCCCAACCGTGTCTGAGGGACCATGAACTGGCTCCCTGTTTAAAAAGTTTGAGGACCCCTGACATAGAGTGACTATCTACAGGATCAAGGAATTGTGCAAAAACTGCAAAAGTAATGTCACAATGACCAAAAATACAATTTGACACATAATGTGCAATAGCTTTCAAATGCTGACTATAATCTTATCACTTTGTTTCTACAGTGACTCATTAGAGTCATTGTTGGTAATTTTTGGTGCTTTGTAATTTCATTTAAGGCTCTGTATAGGTCAGAATGACTTGTTCCAAAGATTAAAACCAGGATAGGGACTTATTGGACAAAGAATTTATTTAAATAAGAAAATAAGAAAAATAGCAATAAAGTACAAGGCTCTGCATTATCCGGACTAAATATATAGTACGGAAAAAGGTAAGCAGCACTTTACTGCCAGACCGATAATTATATGAAACAGCTACTAGCTAAAGTAAACATTACCTAACACAAATACTGGTGATCATATGGGGTCCCGGATATACTGTAGGGATTTTGTAAGTGTATACACATTATAAAAATATATTATTTGGGAACTTTATCATTGCACAGTGCTGCCAAATATGTTGGAGCAGTAGAAGTAAATGATAATTATCTGATTTATTATAATCTTTTAAAAAACATGTTCCAGCAGATCTAGGTATGTCTCAAACTTTATTTTTAAAATATATCCTAGAAGCTAAAAAACAAAGTTTATTTTGATTTTGCGGAGTCATATAAGAATTTTTCTAGACATCACGATATTTTGCCTCCATGGCTGGCATAATAGTGAGTTCCTATGTTGGTTGTATGTTTATGCCCTGATCTATGGGTTTCTATCCGGTAATCTTGACTGCCATTGGGAATTAACTGGGTAAACAGCCTGGCCAAGCACTGAAGTCCGCATGGACACATAAATGCTATGCTGTGCTGTCTCGTAACTGGGCAGCACTGAAATTCAGCCACAATACAGTCCCTTAGTGAAAAAGTGGTCTGGGCACACTTTGTCAAGTCTAGGCTCAAGGGAGCCGAAACATATTTTATTCTGCACTCCAAATTGAGACTGCCTATCAAAGAAACCTCCAGGTGTGCCCAGAACACTTTTTGACTACAATATTCTGCATTGGACATTGGCCCACCCTGTTTGGAGCACCCTGCTGGAAGTATTCACCAGGATAACTGCTGTGTGCAATATTCTGTTAATCTTTATACAATACAATCTCTTGTCTGACTGCACTGATGACTTGGAGATACAATGTCATATAACTTCCTTCTAATGTACTTAGGAAGCTGTCAAAGAGTTTCAACAGAGCTGGCTGGCAGTTTGTTCCAGCCCACTCCCCGCTAAACAGCAGAAAATATCCTCCTCCACCCAAAAAGTATGTAAATGGGAGGATGACTGGAAATAACATGTATAGTGTATGATTCACGTGTGTGCAGAAGTGTGTATCAGTGTGTATGTGTGTGTGTCTGCCTCTGTGTATTTGTGTCTAGGAATGAAATAGAAATCTGTGTGTGTGTCTGGGAATGTGTGTGTATCTGTGTGTGTGTCTCTGGGAATGTGTGTGTGTAAAACAATATACAGGTAGCGCCAAAGAGAACAAGCAAGATAAGAGGTCTAAAAGATCTGTAAAAACACAATAAAAGAAAACAGTAAAAAATAGTCCTTCATATAGGTCCAACAATGAAAGAATAAAAAATACCAGGTACCAAGACACAGTTTTAAAGTAGTAAAATCACATCTTCCAATATTCATAAAGCGCTTGTGGGACAGCTTTGGTCAATAGCAGCATATGAAAAAGAAATAATAATATTGGTCTCCCCCTGTTAATATAATATAACAGGACAGGGGGAGAGCAATATTGTTTGTGTTCTTTCTCATATGCTGCTGTTGACCATAGCTGTCCCACAAGCACTTTATGAATATTGGAAGATGTGATTTTACTACTTTAAAACTGTGACTTTTTTTTTTATTATTTTATTGTTGGACCTATATTAAGGACTATTTTTTTACTGTGGTTTTTTATTGTGTTTTTACAGATAATTTATACTTCTTATTTTGCTTGTTCTCTCTCTGTATTTTGTTTTACTTGCCAAGTTCTTTTTAGGGTTTTAAAGGGAATCCCCTATACTCATGTGAGCTGCCTCTTCTATTTATTTACTGTTCAGTTATCTAGCGCTGCCCCATCCCTCTTGTTTGCTTTGTATCTGTGTATGTGTCTGGGAATGTGTGTGTAGCTGTGTTTGTGTGTGTGTGTGTGTGTGTGTGTGTGAATCTGTGTGTGTGTGTCTGGGAATGTGTTTATAGCTGTGTGTGTGTGTGTGTCTGGGTATGTGTGTATAGCTGTGTGTGTGTATATGTGTCTGAGAATGTGTGTATAGCTGTGTGTGTGTATGTGTCTAAGAATGTGTGTATAGCTGTGTGTGTGTGTGTCTGGGAATGTGTGTATAGGTGTGTGTGTGTCTAGGAATGTGTGTATAGCTGTGTGTTTGGGAATGTGTGTATAGCTGTGTGTGTGTATGTCTGGGAATGTGTGTATAGCAGTGTGTGTGTGTGTGTGTGTGTGTGTGTGAATCTGTGTGTGTGTCTGGGTGCGTGTGTATAGCTGTGTGTGTGTGTGTGTGTGTCTGAGAATGCATATCGGAGTGTCTGTGTGTTTCTGAAAATGTGCATCTGTATATGGTGTCTGGGAATGTGTGTGTTACAGAGTATGTATGTGGGTGTGTGCATGTTTTGACGTGTGTATGTTGTTTCCAGGTGTTTTGTTAGGAGCTGCAGGATTTATTATGCTAGCCTTGCCAGCCGTTAGAAAGATGTGAGAAAACAGACATACCCAGGACAGTTTGTGTAATATATATGTATATATGGGTAAGTATTAAATATACTTGTTTACTTTACTACTGAAGTTGTGCCATCTTTGGTGGCTGCAGTATGGTATGAGCAATATGGTAGTTATGCCCCCTCGTGTAAGCATGGTGCATTTTATTGCTTGGTGATGTCTGAGTGGTTCTGGATTATTTGTCTATTAGCGAGATGGATTCTTTAGAGAACTCTGGCTTATATTTGCATGAAACCATTTTGTCCTAAGAAATGTAAGATTCAGTAAAAGATTGACTTTCTAACCCTGCAACCATTAAACCATATCCAGACTGGCGAAGGCTAGCAAAATCAACAATTATTTACTTTCTCAAAAAATTGTGTCAAATAGAGCAGATGTATCTGTAAAAATGTAGGTTAAGTAATTTTTTACCCCTGATAATATTGGTTGATAATAACATTCCCACACTTTGTGTCATAATGTACAAAACGCTAACAGAACCCCCCTCCACTGCTTACATAACAAAAACAAACAATGGGCAACTAGATGCATTTGCATTCAGTAGACATACAAGCATGTTAGTGATACTAGAGTAACAGTAATAAACACTGATATTCAAACACAACACAAAACACCCTTAACATAATATTAATAACAACCATTACCTGTCCTGCTGGGTGTGTGGCTTTGCATTCTGCTTTGATGATTTCCTGAAGGAGAAAAATGAGGCAAGTGGAGATCGGATACCAAATAGTGAGTGTCCAAAGCTGGAGGTTTTTGGGGTGTGATGTGATTTAGATGAGGACATTCTAGAATTTTCTAAATCTGAAAAAAACAATCATACGAAATAAATATATATATTTTTTCCTTTCCTGTCCTTTTATAGATCCCTTCTCATTTAAGTTAATGATTACGTTCATCTTGTCAAATCTGTCTCAAAACATCAGTAACATACTAGAGCTGTTAATTTGTGACCAATGGACAAAGAAATATACATATGGAATGTTCTTAAGCAATAATATGCACATGCCAACAGTTACTTTGTCCTGTCCCTGTAAGGACTATCAGAGCATGATGGCACTACTGGAACGGAATTTGACAAGTTGCACCATGGATATGATAGCATGATAGCAATTTCAGAAGCCAAAATATCAGAAATTGACTGTGTTATGCAGATCATGAGAAGGGCCAGTCTGGTTGCAGAAATTGTTAAATGAAAAATAAAGTTGTTTTTTTACCTGCAGAGATATCCATTTCAGGTTCCGTGACAGCACGAGATGTCCCCATTGTTCCCTAACATGCAGGGAAACAAGTTTCCTTGCAGAACAAACAAATGCATAATATGTGAATCATACTTGAATCCCAAAGGAAAAGGTTCAAAGTCCAGTCTCATTGACAGACAGTTTATTATAAGAACAGCGTGAATTGCTCTCAATGGCATCAATAAATCCATAGCTCTGACACAAAGTGTCTACCAAAGAGCAAATCGCAGTGAAAGCAGAAAGTATTGGGATTTTAATACGATAGAACAATCCGTGTGTTGTGTGCTTTTGTGTTGTTTACTGTTCAATATCAAGGCTGGAAGTTGTGCAAAACTACAGTAGGTGATCTGTTACTTTTTGTGATAATATGGAATTGCAAATATTTAGGGCAGAACAGCCGATTAATGAATATCTAAACTGGATAATTTTTCCAACCCTGTCACTTTTTCTAAATTGTTGTATTTGTAATTGTATTTGTATTTTGTATTTGTAATCCTTCATATACTCAGAGACACCTAACAGGGAGGTATGACCGCAAGATTGTCAGGAAGCGGGGGCAGTGGGTCATTCTAGTGAACACACTGAGCATCACAGGTGATGCAGTGGTGGGAGAGTGCCCCAGTGTTACCCTCAAGTGTGGTTAAGAGCCCCGCTCAGAGTTGTCCATGGACAGGGAACTTTTTAAGCTGTATTAGCAGAAACATATTTCATGCAGAACAGGCACATTTGATTTCAATGTTCTTAATGAAGACATCAGTATAGAGAATGGGACAGCCCAAATCTGGGACAGCTGGGGGGACTGGGACAACCATTCTTTGTGAAGACATCAGAATGGTGACAGCCCAATATTAGGACTATCTACCAAACCTGGAAAAACTGGGGGGGACTGACAAAACAGAAGATAATCTAGGATAGCTTGGGGTGGGGGTGATAAAATGGCAGTGAAGATAGAGCTTAATGAAAATAATGTTTTCAACATGCAGTGACCTGATAGTGGAGTAATTTTGTACTTTCTGCATGATATTGTGGAGTATGGTGAACTGGGTAGTTGATAATTGTTGGTGAATTTGGTGTCTGTGTATATACTACTATGGGCAGCTAGGTTAACCTCATTAAAATTAAGTACACCACAAGTGTTTTTGCAATGTAAGGATGCTAATTACATAAGGACACTGATTATTCATGGGTCAAACATGAAACCTTGAGACGTGCAAGGTTGCTGACATCTTCGTTGAGTAAGACATGTGGAATGACTTATAAAGTAATCTGGTAAGTGAATCACAATTAAATTCTTCATACCAATATAGGAGAAAGATGAAAAAGTCCTTGTGAAATTTAGTAAATGCAGAGGGGTCGTCTTTAATGTAGGCCCACCTACTCCTTGGGGGCCCAAAGTAGCCACCCCATGGGCCACGCTGCCCTCAACAATTAACTTTTTTCCGCTGGGGACCAACACACTAAGGAGGCCCACTGTGGCCCATTGTGGCCCTTTAACAGTGCGACCAGGCCCCTTACCTTTCTGCAGTCTAGAAGGAAGTGACAGTCGGAAGTGTGATTGCATGCCATGGAGTGGGGGGCAGAGTCCAGGCAGTGGCGGATCCAGAGCCTGATCTCGGGAGGGGCACTTGTAGATTATTTAGAAATAATCCAGACACAATAACCACTACAGCTCAGTGTAGTGGTTATGGTGTCAATAGTGCCAGGGCCCCCTCCCAGAGTAAGTAATCAAACCGTTTAAGAACAGTTTGACAACTTACCTGAGGTCTGCTGGGAAATGGGGCTGCAGTAGGGCATAGGAGCAGTGGTGTGTGTGAGTGGTACAATGTGTAAGGGGTACAGTGTGTGTGTGAGGGGGACAGTGTGTGAGCAGTGTGTGTGTGTGAAAGTTGCAGTGTGTGAGTGAGGGCAGCAGTACATGTCAGGGGTGCAGTGTGTGTGTGTTAAGGGGGCAGTGTATGAGTGGGTCAGTATTTGTGTGTGATATTTGCAGTGTGTGTGTGAGGATTGCAGTGTACGTGTGAGTGCGGGGGGCAGTGTATGAGTAGGGCAATATGTGTATGGGGAGCAGTGTGTGTGTATTATTATTATTATTTTATTATTTATAAAGTGCCATCAGATTCCGTAGTGCTGTACAAAGGGTATGTGGGCAGTGGTGTAATGGGGGGCAGTGTGCGTATATGGGAGGCAGTGTGTGTGTATGGGGGCAGTGTGTGTGTGTATGGGGCAGTGTGTGCATGGGGGTAGTGAATGTGTGTAGAGTGTGTGTGTATGGGGGCAGTGTGTGTGTATGGGGGGGCAGTTTGTGTGTGTATGGGGGTAGTGTGTGTGGGTGGGGGGTGGAGGTGGGGACAATGTGTGTGTGTGATTATAAAAAAAGCCCCTTACCCTTCTTATCACACACATTGCTCCCCCCCCACACACACACATACACTGTCCCCATACATACATACATAATTAAATTTTAAAAAAGCCAACACATATTATAACCCTTCTTATATGTTTTTTTTAATTTAAACAAATATTCTTTATGTCGCCCCTCCCTTCTTACCTTTATTGAGGAGGAGGTGGGACATTTATGGATCCCTGGTGGTCCGGTGGGGATTCCCTGGTGGTCCCAGTGGTAGGAGTGAACTCTAGCCCGTGCTCCAGGGCTAGAGTTCACTCTCGCGAGATTTGGATCATTGCCGTGGTAACCGCGGCAATGCTCCGTGCTCGCGAGAGGAGGACCCGGAGGAGCTGCAGGTAAGAGCTCCCTGGTCCTCTCTCCCTCCCCTGCCGGCTGCAGATCTCTGATCTCCCCTCCAGTCCCAGTCCGCGAAGGCACATTGCAGGGCTGGCACTTGGACAATGCCCTCACCTTGGATCCGCCACTGAGTCCAGGGGGGCCAAGCAAATGCTTGCCAAGGGTCCAATTAATATTAAAGATGGCCCTGATTGTAATCAATGTGGATGGTAACAAATGTGCCCTTCATTTGTAAATCCTACATTTTCAGTGTTTGGCTCCCCCCTTATATCCGTGTCCACCTTGGATTGCTGAATGACACAGACGGTTATTGACTGCTCTGCTGTGACATACTATTTGTGAGGGTGTCTATCAATATTTTATTACTGTCTGTGTTTTAGGTTCATTTTCTTATATTTTTAATTGCTTACAAAATAATATATAAATAAAGTCTATATAATCACAATGTTGAGCACTGTATTATACACTAAAAAAAAATGATATAATAGGCATAACTGAAACATGGTGGGATGAGACACATGACTGAGCAGTTAACTTAAATGGGTACATGTTATTTAGGAAGGATAGGAAAAAACAAGAAGGGTGGTGGGGTATGTTTGTATGTCAACCATGATTTAAAGCCAAATCTTAAGCAAGTGGAATGCGATGAGGAAAATGTGGAAGCTTTATGGGTAAATATCTGTTTGGGGGAAAATAAGGGAAACCAACTATTGGTTGGGATATGTTATAAACCACCTAATGTTAATATTGAAGAGGAGCAACAGCTGTTTGAGCAAATTGAGAAAGCTAAAAATCTGGGTAACACTTTAATTATTGGAGATTTTAATTACCCGGACATAAATTGGGACAGAGGGACTAGTAGCTCAGCAAAGGGAACTAGGTTTTTAAACTTGTTAAATGACACCTTCATGTCACAACTTGTACAAGCACCAACTAGAATGGATGCTTGTCTGGACCTGGTTTTAACAAACAACGTTGATCTTTTGACCAACATTCAAGTAGGTGAGCACTTGAGAAACAGTGATCACAATATAGTGTCCTTTGAAATAAACTAAAAAAAACAAAAGCACATGGGGTATACTAAAACATATAATTTTAAAAAGGCCAATTTCAATAAGTTAAGGGCAGCTTTAGAATATATTGACTGGCATAAACTCTTTAGTGAAAAGAACACTGAGGATAAATGGATCATCTTCCAACAAATATTAGAAAGGTACATTTCTCAGTATGTACCATTGGGAAATAAATTAAAATGTGGCTTAGTAGAGAAGTAAAACAAGAGATTAAAAATAATAAAAGGGCATTTAAAGCATTTAAATCGGACAAATTAGATGCATCTTATAAAAGATATAAGGAGGCAAATAATGCGTGCAAAAAGGCAATTAGATTTGCTAAACTTCAAAATGAAAAAATGATAGCTAAAGAGAGCAAAACCAACCCCAAAGCATTTTTAAGTGCATAAATTCTAAAAAAAAACAAAAATGAAAGTGTAGGTACACTAAAAACTGAAACTGAAACGGGTGTGTTAGTTAATGAAGACCAGGAAAAGGCAGGACTTTCAAATAACTATTTCTCCTCCGTATATATTAAGGAAGAACCCATGGCAATAGATGTGCAAATGATTGCTACTAAAAACTTGCAGAATAGTTGTAATTGGTTAACTCAAGACAAGGTGCTGCAGCAACTAAAGAAAGTTAATATAAACAAAGCTCCAGGACCTGACGGTATCCATCCACGAGTACTTAAGGAACTAAGTGTAGAAATAAGTGAACCTCTGTTTTTAATCTTTCAAGATTCTTGTCTTTCAGGAAGTGTCAATTAGAGGAAGGCAGATGTGGTTCCTACATTCAAAAAGGGTTCAAAATCTTTGCCTGGAAATTATAGACCTGTGAGCTTAACTTCTGTGGCTGGGAAAATATTTGAAAGGTTATTTAGGGATAATATTCATGAATTCCTTGAGAAGAACATGGTTATCAGCAAAAATCAGCACGGTTTTATGAAGCACAGGTCATGTCAAACTAACTTGATTGAGTTCTGCAAAGAAGTAAGTAGAAGTATAGATCAGGGTGTTGCAGTGGATGTGATCTATTTGGATTTTGCCAAGACATTTGATACAATTCCACACAATAGATTAGTGTTCAAACTCAAAGAAATCGGTCTAGATGAAAATGCTTGTTCTTGGGTAGAACATTGGCTTAAAAACAGAGTACAAAGAGTTATCATTAATGGTAAATTTTCAAGCTGGACAGAGGTGGCAAGTGGTGTCCCTCAGGGGTCTGTTCTGGGACCCCTTCTATTTAACATGTTTATAAATGATCTTGAAGACAGCATTGAAAGTCATGTTTCAGTGTTTGCAGATGACACAAAACTCTGTGAAATAATACAATGTGAGCAAGATATTACTTTGCTGCAGAGGGATTTAGATAGACTGGGGGACTGGGCACTCAAATGGCAGATGAAATTTAATGTTGAAAAATACAAAGTTATGCACTTTGGCATAAAGAATACACAAGCAACGTATACCCTTAATGGAAGCGAATTAGGGATAACAACACACGAAAAGGACTTGGGAATTGTTATAGACAACAAACTATGCAACAATATGCAATGTCAATCAGCAGTGGCCAAGGCCAGTAAGGTATTGTCATGCATGAAAAAGGGCATTCATTCTTGGGACGAGAATATAATTTTGCCTCTTTATAAATCACTGGTAAGACCACATATTGAATATGGTGTGCAATTTTGGGCACTTGTTCTAAAGAAGGATATTATGGCAATAGAAAAAGTGCAGAGGCGGGCTACAAAATTAATAAAAGGAATGGAACATATTAGCTATGAAGAAAGGTTAACAAATTTAAACCTATTTAGTTTAGAAAAATGTCGCCTGAGAGGGGATATGATAACATTATACAAATATATTTGGGGCAAATACAAACCATTGTATGGAAATCTATTCACAAACTGTACTTTACATAGGACACGCGGTCATGCGTTTAGACTGGAAGAAAGAAGATTTCGTCTAAAGCAAAGGAAAGGTTTTTTTTTACTATAAGAACAATAAGGATGTGGAATTCTCTGCCTGAAGAAGTGGTTTTATCAGAGTCCATACAGATGTTCAAACAGCTACTAGATGCATACTTGCAAAAACAGAATATTCAAGGATATAATCTTTCAATGTAGGGTAACAACTGCTTGATCCAATGATAAATCTGACTTCCATTCTGGGGTCAAGAAGGAATTTTTTTTCCTAGCTTGTTGCAAAAAACAAAGGTGAGGAAGGCTGAACTTGATGGACGCAAGTCTCTTTTCAGCTATGTAACTATAACTATGTAAATTATGTATCCCTGCCATGTAGTCTAGTGGAAAATGAAAATTATATATTTTAAACAGCCTGATTTCATCAAAATAAGAAAATGTATATAAAAAAAAGGCATAATTTAGGGGTGGGGCCTGTTCAGCTATTTTCGACTGGAAAGCACGTTGTTCGGTGGGAACGCACTCTCGAACGAGAGACATAGACTTAGAATACTCAGGAATGGTTATGTTCGGTATTTTGTTGTATTTTATACTCCTGAAACAGACTGACCGCACAGTCCAATTCCGTGGAACTATTTTGGGTAGGCGTCTTGTGTGCAGTCGGTTTAAACATTACCACGGTGGCATTTCGGCTGGGTTCACGGGATCTGAGCGCTTTCGGGATATGTTGGGTGCTCAGATCCAGGCTATCCGGGGATTTAGGACTTGAGGGGTTACCGGTTTGTAAAATGTATGTTTTGGGGTGTAATAAATTTATATGCTCTGGACCGGAGAGATAATGTCATTTAGATGTGTACTTTACAGTAGTCTCCTCTCAGGTCCAGCAGGGAATGCCCCTGTAAAATGATGTGGGAAACCCCTTGCATGTGGAGTTACATAAAAAGGCCGTGTGTGGCTCCCAATTAATCAGTTCATCCACAGCATAGAGCCTCGTCTCATGTTTGTGGGAGAAAGCTATACCAGCTATATCACTAGCTCTTTTCAAAGCTATACCTGCTCTATTCGTTTTGGATTACTGCTATACAACAGCATTACTCACACTAGGAAGAAAAGAACATCTCTGGCAGCGAAACCCCTCTTCCTATTGGGGCGGCCGCCACAATTACGTTAAGTCCAAAAAGCCCGGTAATACGTTTATTTCAGTTCAGTTTTTAAATAATGTTTTCAACAAGCTTTGACCTGATAGTGGAGTAATTTTGTACTTTCTGTGTGTTTACAGGCACACATATATTTTTGTCATATTTATGATAACGCATGAAAAGGGTTGCCCTGCAGTATGTCTAATGCATATTCTGCAGGATTCTTCATGGCCTAATTACTTAATTGCAGGATTCTTCATGACCTAATTGCTTAATATTATAAAGACTTCTTCTAAATTCTGCATACTCCAGTAATTCCCTTTTTGATGTACTGCCCATCAACATGTATAAATGATATGTGTCCGAGAAAACATGGTAAATCTGGTGGCCCTACGCTATTTGTATGTTACAAATGGAAGCAGCAAGTGGGCTCTAAAGCTCAGACCAAGCCGCATAGAAAATTATCCTCCCGGAACTAGTTAGTAGTTTGACCATCTTGAGTGAGTGCTGGCTCTGTCACCTTTCACCTCCCCAACATAAAGTGTTTTTGAAAGACTGAGTTAGCTTATGGAGCAAAACATATACAAAAAAAATAAAAATTAGAAAATCAATACAGACCCCCTCACCAGCTCTAACTACAATCTACCCCACACACTGCCCTAAACTTGTGAGTGTCTGGAGTGGTGGTTTAACTATAACCCTGAAATGATATTGTCAACAACTTTTTTATATCTCACTACGCAGTTCATTTCTTACAAGTGATTTAGCTGCAGCTAGCTATAAGAATTTCTAGCGTGGATTAAAATTTCATCACATTAAATTAATTTCAGACCACAGGAGGCTTTACAAACACACCTTGTGGGATTTTGTAATCCTCATTATAATAAACCATTCAAACCATAAACAAACAGCAGTATAAATCTGCTACAAAACAGAAAATGGTCACGACGGAGACTCTGCCCTTTCTGTAGAAAATGATCAAGTATCTAATTCATAGTAAATTAAGGACTGGGGAAAAAAAACATTTTATTTTAACCAAACCATGGCTTATGAGAAAACACTTCCCGGTAGATATATGCATGATACTTCTACTGTAAACTCCCGGAGGCAAAGAATTCTCTTTGATAAACTTCACATGCGTGTGAAAAAATTCTCCATGAGACAGTAGTTACCCCCCAGTGAACTGTGCCAGATTCAAATAAATGGATCTTTAAAAATGACTAACTAACGTGCATGCAGAAGTCTTAAAATAACTGAAAGAAAATCCAACTTTTTCAAGTTGCGAAATCTAGTGTTTTATTCAATAAACAAGAATAGCAGAAAACTGATATCGGAGTTTCGCCCTTTCTCTGTCCTTCAAACGCATATTGCTTTTTAAAAATTCTTTATTTAAGGGCAGGCATTAACACACAGCGACATGAGAGATACATTGGTGGAACATCACGATAGAGTTGGTCGTAACCGATGTCGGTGTTTTTACAATAAAAACATTTTGCCTTTCTAGGTTGTGTCAGCATATATTTTTTTTATCTCTAACAAAATAAAATTTTAAAACAATACAAATACCTCTACAGGATTACAGATACTAGCACGGTATGAGGCAAAATGTGGTCTTAATAATGTACCCAATTATACCCACTGAACCAGCTCCCAGAAATCAAAGAAAATATGATTATTGCTTATAATAATAGTATTAAAAAACAATTAACTTAATAATTTTGTGATGGGTCCGAGAACACGGTGGTAGCCTCCCTAATGAATGCTATTTAAAAAAACAAAAACAAACATACAATAGCGTAGTATTGTTCTAACAAATGTGGCAGCTTCATAGCCGACATGAGATTTCGGGGTTAAATGAGCTCCAAAGTGCCTCCACAATATATCTAAATCGCTAAATCTTGTGAGTGCATTCAAGCTTGACAAAGACACATTTGTTATAATAATATCACGCTATTGCATGATCATTCTTTTAGAAATGTAACTGTGCCCCCTTTAGATCTTTTTGATACATTCCACTAGAGCCTTGGCAATTAGAGCATCCTTGATTAAATTATTGATATAACAACAGTGTGATATTTTTTTTTTTTTTTTAAGTCTGGCACCAATATAGCAAACCCTGGATAAACATATGTACCGTCTCTTCCAAATCCTATGTAATACCAGCCCATGCCACATACAAAACACAAAATAATATGCAAGTAATTCTAAGACGGTAATTCAGTGGTGTCAATGTATGTCTGTCTCAAACCCATGTAAACTAGTGAAAGTTAGGAATTCATGCACAAATTCAACAAACCCACACCAGACTACTTAATGACTCACCTCCTTTCGGGGGCTTTTTCCTCAGGCGATGGGTGAGAAATGGCTTAACCAGGCTTCTTACGTCTGGATCATTCTTGTATTTCTTTTTCTGGATATCTTCGAACCACTCTCCGGATGCGGCATGTATCCATCTTACATCCCTTTTCGAAGTCTGAAGTTTGCTGAAACAAAGAATCAAGAAAACGTTTTTTTTTCTCCTTAGCCGTCACAGACAGACACAGTTTGTTTCTAATGCGGAGGTTTGCAACAAATAATGAGACACTGAATCAGGCGAAGGTGCAAAACCTGTTGGACCAGATGTTTTGTCACGTCAGAACCCAAGCTCTTTTTGATGACACTTTAAAAAAAGCTTTGTACCTGCAGATGTGAGAATTTGCCAAACTAAGGAAGCAGAAACGTGAAAAATCAAATTTGTGAATAAGATGGTCGTAGCCTGGAATTTATTGATACAATAGGAAGATTCAAGTAGCTTAAAGGGGAATTATGCCTCATAATGATAACTATTTAGAAGAGAAGATATTTGGATCTCTTCCACTGGCTAATTATCGTCTCTCCAGTGTGATTCTGGGAGTATACTACAGACATGATTCGGTTTGTCTAGAACAGTCACAGAAGCCAGACACGCACTGCATAGGGAAGCATTGACCTTCGCTCACTGTAATATTTTTACAGTGATGAGAATAACGAGAAGAAAAAAAACATATTTAAATAAAAATTACAAAATAGTAGCTGTAAAAATATTGCGACAATATAAATGTAAACTTGTAGCTGTTTCTCCCTCTGAGTTGCTCTCAAAAGGGAGATACAGAAATATAGTGTAACACCGATAAGGAGATTTAAGTACAATATTAATTAATAAAGCCCTATTCATGTGGTCAGGAGTATTTAGACTAGCTCTTCAAGTTATAGTGGAGTTAGAAACAATGTCTCCATTAATTATCCTGTTCTAAATTCTGTATTTAGTGCATCATCTCACCGCAACTAATGGTGCGGCCTGTGTTTCTGTATAAGAGATGGGTACAGTAGAGTGATATTGATTTAGGATATCTGTATTGACTACAGATATAGAGAAATAGAATGTGAAATGTCTCTCTATCAATAAACTGCTTTGCTCTTCTAAAATTTCTTACCATCAGTCAAAAGTCAACTTTCTGAAAAGTTTAATTCAGTCCACAAAACGTATACATGATATAAAGATTGTAATGAACAATAAGTAGCAGATTTCTGCAGATTGGTGAGTGTAGATCCTAAGCAGGATTCACATTATTGAAGTACTCGTGATCAGCTAATGTTTTACCAAAATAAAGCTTTGCTTCTCTCCTAAGACTGCATTCTATTACCAGAAATAAACTTTACTTCTGTTGGTATCTATTGAAAAAATGCTTTCAACCTATCTTATCTTCCATGTAAAATGCTTTAAATGCTTTGCAGGTCAGCTTGTGAATTTTAAGGAAAATTTATATCATACTTCCTGTAATTTTCTTTTCCTGGCTATTATTCATGGCAGCAACACTTATACGTAACTCTACCCCCTGCCAGAACAGGACAGGAAATAAAGAGGCTGCATGTATAAAAGGTTTCTCCTTCCATATTGTAGTCAGTTATAAAGCATCATGAACAGAACAATGGGAGGGAGACTGATGCTGCCACAAATAATAACCAGGAAAAGAAAATAAAAAATAACCAGGAAAAGGAAATAAGTATGACATAGATTTTACTTATTCCTGGATAATCATGGCTGTATCTCTAATGGGCAATATTTAAGCAATTGCGCCAAAAAAAAAAAAAAAAAAAAAGTGATGCTCCCATGATTAGCCAGAAAAGGTTATTTTCTTTAATACCACCAACATATAAATGACCATTAAAGGAACACTATAGGGCTAGGAGCAGAAACATGTTACAAACACTATCTAATCCCCCCTTGCGCCCCTAAATATAGTAAAATCTTTCCTTTATTCCAGTCATAGAGAAAAGTGCAAACTCTTTCACTATACCACTTTGTGGTATTATAATTTCCACCAATAATACTATTTTATAACACCAAGTGTTCTAGTAGATAAAAAAATATATGTCAAGAAACTTCCCTCTAAGTTGTAGATTTAAACCCGAATATCTCCTCAAATCTTCCACAAATACATAGATACAAATATTGGGTCAATCCAACTATAGGGGAATAAAAAATAACATAGTGCAACTCTGTATGATACTATTATAATAATGGTATGGGCCAATGGGTCACTCACATTTTGACTGTTAAAAAAAATCAAAAATCTATGTAGCTCTCAGGCAGTTCTCTGCTTCCAATGTCTGATCTTCTAGATTTCAATTACATGGGAAAATAAAATGCATCCAGAATGAAATATAGAAAGATGTGCACAAAATATAAAAAGCATTTATTACTTACACATAGGTAAGGATCAATCAGCATAAAAATAAATTAAAACTGTCCACAATCTGTCCAATGCGTTTCCTCCCACTACAGGGACTTCCTCAGGGACTTTGCAGCAGTGTGACAGGTACAACAAAGGTACAACTGGAGGACCTCCAGCGTCAGATTTTTCCCTACAGAAAAGCATTGATTCAATGCTTTCCTATAGAGAGGTCTAATGCGCGCGCGGCATTTGCCTCGCATGCACATTAGAGCATGCTTGTTGTGGGACAGAGGAGGAGGCGGAGTTTTGACCCAGCACCGAGGGACATCGGTGCTGGGATCAGGTAAGTAAATAAAGGGTTTTTAACCCTTTATTTACCGGTTAGAAGGGGGGTGCGAGGGAGGGGGGAGTCAGAAGGATCGGTAGTGCCAGGAATACAGCTTTGTAAACCTGGCACTACAGTATCTCTGTAACGGATCACCTGGCACCCCGACTGGGTACCTCCGTTAAAGGATGCTCCTAGCGTTTCCTGAGGACTCCAAGCACTCTGGCAGACACCACAATCACCGAACCGGAGAAGCATATGAGTACTTCTAAGCATATGAATGTTGTATACAGCCGAATAGGAAAAACCATGCGAATAGGTTTACACTCCTAGCAGTCAAACTGGAACAGCATACAATAAATCCTCCCCCAATAATGAGATGACACTTCACTTTGAGGGTTAAGCAGGAACTCTCTGTAATGGCCACACACTGGCTTTTATGCAAGTCCCCATGCAAGGGGACATCCCACAGGGTGGGACACAGTACAACCAATCATTTACAGGAGAACCGTAAAACACACCCAGCACAAACATACATCCCTCCCCTCTGCCTGTGATATAATTACTGAACACAATGGGTTAATGTAATTTATCACAGGCAGGAAAAATACACTTTTTATACATACACTGTAACTTTAAAACACATAAAACATACATATTCAGAATCAGCATACTTTAAATATAAACATAACCAAAATTCAGCCAATTCCATCCAGGGGTTAAAAAGTTAAGGAAAAGTCCTATTTGACCAAATGCAGCATGGCTTTTCTGCCCAAAACCATTTCCACAGAGTCTTTTATCCTGGAGATAATTGGGAAGTAATCCAATTATCTCCAGGGCAGAGGCAAAACTCCAATGAACACATGACAGACAAAGGACAATAAAAGACATAAAAATACATACGGTTACATTTATCACATAGAACATACATATTCTACCTATACCCAGATAGCTTATATCTGAGCGCACATTATTACCGGATGGTGCTCAGATCACGTACATACAGTTCAATCGCCATGGAGCCAAAGTCTTTCATACAGTCTTTCAGTATACGGCTGGGCTCCATGGCATAGCTATCTGGGGTAGCATGGCTTTAACAGTCCGCAGAAAGGCACGAATAAATCTTTCTGCAGGTAAAATACAAGTTTAAAATGCAGGACCATAGTCTAAAGGGAGCAGGCGAGCAACCAGGCCTCTCCAGTGGACAGTGGCGAGGTTGGTTCCGCCACAATCTCTTTAAGAGACCGCTTTCTATCTTTTTGTAATCCCATTTGGTCTGCATATTCACTAACTATCAGAGCCCCTGTGTTTATGAAAGCTGTGCAAACAGATTTGGGCACCAGAGATCGCCGGATCATGTGTCTAAAACCATTGATGCATAGTGAAAAATGATAGAGAAGGATGAATAGCAAATCGCCTGTTTGTACACATTCCAGAAACCTGCCAACAAACCCAGAAAGCAGTGATATGGGTAGTCTGTTAGTGATCACAGGCATAATGTATATGCACTATTAATGTTTCAAATTGAACATTCTTATAGAAACATAGAATGTGACGGCAGATAAGAACCATTGGGCCCATCTAGTCAGCCCAATTTTCTAAATACTTTCATTAGTCCCTGGCCTTATCTTATAGTTAGGATAGCCTTATGCCTATCCCACGCATGCTTAAAGGACCACTATAGTGCCAGGAAAAAATACTCGTTTTCCTGGCACTATAGTGCCCTTAGGGTGCCCCCACCCTCAGGGTCCCCCTCCCGCCCGGCTCTGGAAAGGGGAAAAGGGTTAAAACTTACCTTTTTCCAGCGCTGGGTGGGGAGCTCTCCTCCTCCTCTCCTCCTCTGTTTCTCCCCGTCGGCTGAATGCGCACGCGCGGCATTTACAATGCTTTCCTATGGACGCTGGCGTGCTCTCACTGTGAAAATCACAGTGAGAAGCATGTAAGCGCCTCTAGCGGCTGTCAATGAGACAGCCACTAGAGGATTTGGTGGAAGGCTTAACCCATTCATAAACATAGCAGTTTTAAACTGCTATGTTTATAAAAGAATGGGTTAACCTTAGCTGGACCTGGCACCCAGACCACTTCATTAAGCTGAAGTGGTCTGGGTGCCTAGAGTGGTTCTTTAAACTCCTTTACTGTGTTAACCTCTACCACTTTAACTGGAAGGCTATTCCATGCATCCACTACCCTCTCAGTAAAGAAATACTTCCTGATATCATTTTTAAACCTTTGTCCCTCTAATTTAAGAGAGAAAAAAAACTATTTCATTATTCAGGGACAGCCAAACAACTTTTTTGGCTACAAGGTAAAAATATCTGACCCAGATATCATTAAAAAAAACAAAAAACCAAGACTGGAATAGTAGAATTTACATGCATTAGAACAAACATGAAGGAAGACTGCAGGTACTGATTTGACAAAAGTTAGATAAACTTGCAAAACATAGCTATGATGCATTACCGCTAAACTAACATTGGGGCTTATTCACTAAACTGGAAGATCTGCGAATGGTGGCTAGAATCCGTTTCCATTTGAAATGCTGGTTTAAGTGTTTTACCCCCCCAAAAAACAGCCCTGTTTGGTTTATTTTGTGATGTAATACATTCTCACGCTACTTGTTGTCCTGATGTCGGCCGGGGGTATGCTACCTTTACTCTCAAACATAGAGTTAGTTTGTCTCATTTCAGTTTCTGCCCAGTCAGTGCAGAAACTAAAAAACAGGTGAATTCTGGGAGAACATTTTTATTTGAATAATGCTAGCAGTAAACCAATTTGGTGTGTTATACCCTTGCCTTTTTTTTTCCTTATAAAACACGGTAATCATTAAAATCACAACATGTTCGTAACAGATTGAGGGCAAGCCAAGACATAATATATTACATTTCTCAGTAAGAAAAAAAATCTGCAAACCGGAACTTTAATAATACCAAAGTAATGTAACAGGAAAGCTATATTTAAGCTGTCACTAGTTTCCAACAATGTAATGAGGTGATTTTATATTCTACCTCAATGGTACTCATTTTATTGATTATGGGAGGATGGAAGGATGGGCTAACCAGGAATCAGGCCTGTGGCTTAAGATAATGTAGATAATGTATCGCAAGCTCTAGACACTAGGAATTACTTATTCCCCACATCAGTGTCAGAGTAGAAAGCCTACGGTAATCCACTCTACAAAAGGATACTGCACTCGTATGTGTAGACCAGAGTTTCCCAATTAATTTTTCCCTTGGAATCCTTTGACATGGTATAGCAAAACGTAAGAACCAAAACAAAAAATGTGTGCCGTAGCGCAGTGCAGCGGAAACCTTTCAATGAGTAGAGTGCAATGATCTCTTTTGCTGGAAGATTCTTTTTATATCTGGTTTAATTGTAGACAATTGTATTTGCATGTCTGCAGTTGCGTCAAGTCGATTTCGAAACTTTGTTTTTGTAGCAGAGTAGAGCGAGAATTCAATTTCACATAAGTATGTGCTGGCGAATGGCAACAGAACTTTGATTGCCCGCTTGGAATATTCTGGGTATTCCTTGCGTAAATCATCCCAAAAAGCAATAAGAGAAACTTCTTAAAATTTTTGGCTTAGTTGACTGTCAGAAGTTATATCGATCAGATTCTCAAAATCTACATCAGAAAAATTGTCTGGCTTGTCTTTTATGAATGGATTTTGAATCCACTCATTGTTTTCATTCAATAATGGAAAATACTGATTAATAGATGTGATTAAATGGCAGAGATGATCTACAATTTCATTTGAATTTCATCTTCAAGTTCAATTTCTGATTCTTCAAGAAAATCCTTAAGTGTTGGCAAAGAGTTCAAATTATTTTACTCAACAGATGAGGTCCAAACCTGCATCTTATGACACAGTGAAAATATTTTATCTCTTGCATTAAAATTTTTAGTGTTTTTTCCCTGGAGTGATAAACATCCGTCATTTAATTTTGTGAATATGTCTGCAAGATACGCTACTTTTTTTTTTTTTTTTTACAAACTACTCTTGACGCAATTCAAACATTCTAACTTTACCTCGTGATAGCCAACAGACTTCTGAATGCAAAAGGAGAGCAAAGTGGTGACCACCCATATCTTCACATAGTATTTTAAATAGTCGTGACTGTAATGACTTTTTATAAAATTAATAATCTGTACCGATTCATCTAGCGCAGTTTTAAGTGAGATTGAAATATTTTTAGCTACCAGTGCATGTCTGTGAAGAACACAGTGAGAACTGGTGGTGTTTTTTGCTACATTTCTTATTCGTGTCACAGCGCCTGCCACTTTCCCAATCATTGCTTTGGCACCATCACTGCACACACCTACACATTTTTTTTTGCTTGAATTTAAAACATTGTTTTGGTACATTTAGTATGCATCACAACTTGACACATAATGCAATATTGCATAATTTTTTTTTTTTTTTTTCAGCTGTTTATTAGTTGCAGCAATAAGATACCATGTACTGGGCACGCAGGTCCATATAAGATATGAGTTATCAACACATAACTGCGGCATTCAAACAAAATATAACGGACACGCAGGTCCTTGCGAAATTCCAGTGATCAACAATTAAACAATGTTATATTAGTAATCAGAAGCTTAGGGTAACTGTGTACTTCGAGCTGGTTTAGTCAATATGTTGCTAAGATTGCTATCATGAATTGGGATAATGATAGGTCGTGGACTGAGTTCGGCTTATTGGAGGTTTTTCATATCAACTGTCTGAGGCATTGGATTGTGCTTCGTGGGAGGTACAAGGGTGTTTAAAGAGCGTCCATGAGCATGTAATAGGTTATGCTCGGATATGCTGTCTTGTTAGTCGAGTGTGTCCTATTGTGTCCAGCAGGGCTATTAGAGGTTATCTCCTTTTTAGCTAATTAGGTAATAAGTGCATGTCTGATTTCTTCGGGGCGGTTTAGTATTGAGGTCTGTTTGTCCGGGGAGATCATCTTATGTCAGTAGTGCGGCCGTCCCTATACCGTTCCCTAGGTAAGTCGACATCTGTAATGAGTCGGCTATATGGTTATCTTAGCTATCTCTTTATCTCCTGCAAGCCACAGCCCCAGTAAGATGTCGGTCGTTGAGCCCATTTTGAAGGTCAGTAACCGTTTGTATAAATATCTACCCAGTTCATTTTCCCAGATATTGTGGTTGGAGTAGTTGCCCCTAGACAAACTATTGTGTGTAAATATGTAATGAATCTGTTGGTAACCTCAGAATGAGTTGTATTGCATCAGTTATTCAGTCAGTTTATGTATCCTCGTTGGATAATGAAAGATAATAGAGAACTAGGTAAAGTAGAGAAGGGGGATAAAGAGGGATGTGGAGGGAGGGGTGGGTATGGGAGGGTGTGATGGGTTAGGAGGTCCCATTGCCTGCGCCTGTGGTCACCGCGGGTATCGTATCGGGTCACACACACACCTACACATTTGTCCCAATTTATACTGTGTGTGTTCATGAATTTCTGAATACAGTTAAAGATGTTCTCACAGTGGTATGAGTTTTCAAAGTTTCACACAGAAGCAAGTCTTCTTCAATCTGTTTGTAAAAATTATATCTAACAAAACCCAACAAAACTGAAAGTCCTGCAACATCTGTGGACTCGTCTAATTGCAGTGAGTACCCATCACATTCATGCATTTGAGAAATTAGTTCAGTATGGATGTCATCAGCAAAATCATGAATACGGCGCAAAACTGTGTTGTTGGAAAGTGGCACAGCTTCAATTTTTTTACTCAACAACTTAAAATACATGACACTATTTCTTTTGCACGTGGCTTTATCAGTGAATCCCCTATTGTGTGTGCTTCTCCTGCAAGTGCTAAGCAGTAACTCACTCTGTAAGAATCCTCTGTGGCGTTTTCATTAGCATTTTGAAATTGTTTGCTCATAAATTGTTTAGTCTTCTGATACTCCTTTAGCTTTAGCTTAAAAAAGTCAATGTCTGTATCTTTGTACTCTGCGTGGTTTTGCTCAAAATGACAATGTAATTTAGCAGGTGTTAATGAACTGTTTGGCAATATTTTCTTGCAAAGTAAGCATTGTGCTTCAGGTCAATCTTTTATTCTGGCACTTGTGAATCCAAATGAGTAGCTGTCATCATATTTTATTTTCTTTGTTTAAGATGAAGATTGGCTAGCATTGTGTGCTTTTTTTGACTTGTCACTTGTCTCTGCTATTTTTTTTTTGTTTGGGAAGTATTTTTTTTTTTTTAAATCTTTATTTTGTCTTGCATAGATTAGACAAATTACAGTTACGCCAGCAATGCCACAAGTTTCCATAATCATAGGGAGACAGTTGTATGGCACGGATAAACAGTGCACATTTTTAAATTTAATAAGAGTGAACACATGCTTAACTAAACAGCTAGGTTAATGAAGTAAGATAAACTAAAGTACATTGGAGAAGAGTAACGGCTATTTTGTCAGTACCAAGTTTGCTATGCTGTCATAGTCCTAATGTGTAAATGAATAAACACGTTTTGCAGTGCAGCATTTGCCAGTTAAAGTAATACACATAAAAGTTGTACTGTGCTTGTATGAGCTAGGAGACATTATATGGAAGATAGCATTGGTACATATGTCAATATTTCCCAAAGATATTGCAGTCGTAAGCAATTGCTAACATTTTAGTGACAGGTACGAGATGCACTTTGTTTTTTTTCTTTCGATAAAAGATTCAAGAGCAAAGGTAGGCATAGCAAAATAAACATGAACATGAAATAACGATGCTCAGAGTTATATTATAAACAGGGTGATGTTTAACTGGTCTGTGATACCTAGTGTTTGAACGGTTAGGCTATCACGGCCAATGAGACCCGTGTACCTTATGCTAGCTAGATGTGCCGGCTGTGTCGGTCGTTGTGGTGCTGGGCTATGTCTTGTAAGGATTAATCTTGATAGGGATGTGTAGTAAGACATGCTAATAAAATGTAGTATTATAATCATAATGTATGGTGGGAGCCGGCACTGCAACTTGTAAGGCGAGTTAAAAGAACTTATTCAATCGAATGAGAGGGTGTAGTGTTTTCTCTTGGCGCTCAGCCAGTCAAGTCCTGTGTACATTACAGCGTAAAGGCATACTAACGGTACCCATTAGGCAGAACCAAAAACATTAAAACTCTGGTATCATTAACTGTGCTAGGCTGTCCCATAATAAATAGATCAGCACGAAGAGGACAGTTAGCTGAAAGAATATGAGATACACTTAGCCCACGCCAGCTGCTGGTATGATAGTGTCCCCCAAGGTGGCTTTGTGAGCCTCTTGTTGGTGACACTTGGGCTGCAGCCCCGTCAGGGTTGGCCTGCCCCATCTGTGCCTCTAGAGGTCGGTGAGAGGTAGTTGGACGTCGCTCTTTATGGCTTGTTGCTGGGTGTCTCCTTTATTTCCTCTTTGGGGCCGCCGCACTGCAGAATGTACGTGTAAGGTCGGCTACGCTGTAAGTGAGCTGTGTTTGGTGGCAAAGTTAATGGTCGCTGGCGGGGGTACTCGCTGTGCCGACTTGTCTCTGCTATTTTAAGGAATAGTAGATACAACTATTTTGGGCATGTTTTCTGGGTTTTTATTTGTATCTTATATCTCAGTTTCTATAAGTGCCGAACAGGCAGAAGTAGTAATAACTTTTCTCTGAAGAGTTCCCTGCTTTAACCAGCTTTCCAAATTCATGGTTGTTAATTGGCAAAAATAGAAAAATACAGATCTCACAACCTGACTGAAAAGGAGGCTGATTTTGAAAACGCTCATAGAAACAACTGAACTAAAGCAGGCTTTTTGAATTAGACGTGGAGCAAAAAAACACTTCAATTAATTATTATTAACAGTTTTTTTGCCCTTGCCAGAGCCTTTTAATGTCCCTTACAGAACCTTTTAATGTACCTAGCAGAGTCTTTCAATGCCCCTGACAGCTTTTATAATGCCCCTGACAGAGCCTTTTAATGTCCCTTACAGAGCCTTTTAATGTCCCTTACAGATACTTTTAATGTCCCTAGCAGAGAATTTCAATGCCCCTCAAAGAGTCTTTTAATGCCCCTGACAGAGCCTTTCAATGCCCCTGACAGAGCCTTTTAATGTCCCTAGCAGAGCATTTCAATGTCACTGACAGAGCCTTTTAATGCCACTGACAGAGCCTTTTAATGTCCCTTACAGAGCCTTTTAATGTACCTAGCAGAGTCTTTCAATGCCCCGACAGAGTCTTTCAATGCCCTGACCAGGGACGTTTTAGCCGCGAGGCAAACAAGGCATTTGCCTTGGGCGGCATTTTCCAAAAAAGCCGCCCATAAATGCCCAGGGCAAATGTCTTGTTAGCCTTGCATTTAACTGACAAGCCAGGTGGGCGGTCGGGCAGCGCTGGCGAGGGAGCACTTTCCCCTGAGCGCTCTGCACAGCTCCCTCGCGCGCCGCAGAGTGATGCTGGGAGCCGGAATATGACGTGAGGGGAGGCACCTGAGTTTTGTCCTGCCTAGGGCAGCACAAAACCAGGATACACCACTGGCTCTGACAGAGTCTTTTAATGTCCGTTACAGAGCCTTTTTATGCCCCTAGCAGAGAATTTCAATGCCCCTTACGGAGTCTTTTAATGCCCCTGACAGAGTCTTTCAATGCCCCTGACAGAGCCTTTTAATGTCCCTAGCAGAGAATTTCAATGCCCCTTATGGAGTCTTTCAATGCCCCTGACAGAGCCTTTTAATGTCCCTAGCAGAGAATTTCAATGCCCCTTATGGAGCCTTTCAATGCCCCTGACAGAGCCTTTCAATGCCCCTGATAGAGCCTTTCAATGCCCCTGATAGAGCCTTTCAATGTCCCTACCTAACAGATTTATATGTCCCTACCTAACAGAGATTTCTATCAGGCAATAACGGAGCTTTAACTAACAGCTTCACTCTCTATCACTCCTCTACCACGAGAGATAGAAAATGACTGACGGCAGGGCGGGCTGGCTGGCTGGCTGACTGCTGAGCGGGCTGGCTGACGGCTGGGCGTGCTCTCTCACGGATGAGCTAAGTCTAAGTGGCTGGCTGATGGCTGGGCAGGCGGCAAGGCTTTAGAAAGGGTTTAAAAATCACACTCCCACAATCTCTGCTGTTTCCGACCGAACAGCAGGTAGCGGCGGCCATCATGGATGTGGCAAAATGCCTTAGGGTTTCGCGGAACACCAATTGGGAAACACTGGTGTAGACCAAGGTGCTCCAGGCCTAAGGACTAGTGAAATCAGTTCAGAAATAAATATGTTCTAGGCACTCCAGGTCTGATGATGAAGCAGTTTTATTGGAACAAAAAAAGAAACAACATTTCAGCCTAGGCACAGTGGCGGATCCAGGCAATTGCCCTCCCCCCCCCCCAGAGAAATCCAACTGTCTCCCTCTCCCCTGCCAGCACACGCAGGTGCTAGCCCTGCAATGTGCCTGTGGATCGGAGGGGAGATCAGAGATCACAGATCTCCCTCCCCGGTCCGCAGGCACTGTACTGACAGCCGGCAGGGGAGGGAGAGAGGACCCGGGAGCTCAGCCTGCAGCTCCCCGGGTCCTACTCTCGCGAGCACGGAGCGTTGCCGTGGTTACCACGGCAACGCTCCAAATCTCGCGAGAGTGAACTCTAGCCCTGGAGCTGCAGGCTAGAGTTCACTCTCCCCACTGGGACCACCAGGGAATCACCACTGGACCACCAGCGAAATGTCCCCCCTCCTCCCAGTAAAGGTAAGAAGGGAGGGGGGACATAGAATATTTATTTATTTTAATTAAATAAATAAAAATATTATTAAAAAAAAAGCCCCCCCTACCACTTATCACACACACACTCCCTTTTACACACATACCCATACACTGCCCCATACTACACACAGCTGCCCCACATACACACACACACACACACACACTGCCCCATACACACACACTGCCCCATACACACATGCTGCCCCCATACACACATACTGCCCCCATACACACACATACTGCCCTATACACTGCCCCCATACACACATACTGCCCCCAATACACACATACTGCCCCCATGCACACACACATACTGTCCCCAATACACACATACTGTCCCCATACAGCATGCTGCACCCCATACAGCATACCCCCCACCATACACACATACTGCCCCACCATACACACATACACCTGCACACTGCTACACACACACACTGCCCCCATACACACACTGCCCCATACACACAAAACTGCCCCCATACACACACACTGCCCCCCATACACACATACTGCCCCCCATACACACACACTCTACACACATACACTACCCCCATACACTGCCTCCCCATACACACATTGCCCACACTCACACATACACTGCAATACTCACACACACACTGCAACTGTTACACACACATACTGTCACACACATACTGTCCCACAAATACACTGCATCCCTGACATACACTGCCACCCTCACTCACACACTACAACCTTCACACACACTGCTCACACACTGTCCCCCTCACACACACACACACACACACACACAAACTGCACCCCTTACACATTGCACCACTCACACACACCACTGCTCCTATGCCCTACTACAGCCCCATTTCCCAGCAGACCTCAGGTAAGTTGTCAAACTGTTCTTAAACGGTTTGTCTACTTACTCTGGGAGGGGGTCCCGGCACTATTGACACCATAACCATTACACTGAGCTGTAGTGGTTATTGTGTCTGGATTATTTCTTTAAATAATCTACAAGTGCCCCTCCCGAGATCAGGCTCTGGATCCGCCACTGCCTAGGCAGAGGCTTTTATCAAACTCAGAGTCAAAAAATTTAACACATCTTGCCCAAGCACATGGAGACATCAATTGTCCAGATAAACTGCGCCTTTGGAGAGAAGGGGATGGTGCAACACATTTACAGCATAACTGATCACTAGGTATTTATGGGTAGGGATAAAACATTTTGTCCATTGCAATGTGAGAAATGTATGTGAAGAATTAAATAGCAGAGGTCACATGACAACACCTGTGTTATGCTACTCTTAAATGTAACATATAGACAAAATGCATTGGGTATTGGTATTAAAGGCACATTGTAAGCACCATAACTACAACAGCCCACTATAGATGTTATATAGTTCACACATCTGTGTGAAGGGCTGAAACGGCTGTGCTTCTGGTCTTTATGATGTGGCTAAAGTGGGGGGTTTTCTAAATCTAAATATATGAGCAGACACTATAATATAACATCTGACAACAGCGTTCTACCAAGTTTTTACGAACAATGAAAACCTCTGCAAAATGTTATTTTTCTCGGAATTTGTGCCATTTCAGTTTTTAAAACATTAGCAAGTTCATTCACTAAAAAGTGTTAATTGAAAGGAATTTATAGTGAATTTCAAATTTTTGTCTAAAGTAGCTGAATAGAGAAACATTTTTAAGTCAGCTAAATTTTCATTTTGGCTTTTTTTGACCTTAAATTGTAAAAATCTATTTGAATTGTCAACAATTCTCGCCTTAGCTTGTGTTTGCGACGAGTGAAAATATCTCTGTATTTGTGCTGGGATCTGGAAGGTGAAGGGTGGAGTAGTTAAAATATGAATAGTTTCTTTAATCGCCTTCTCCGACCTCACATCAGTTTGTCTTGTTTAATCTTTTCACACCATGTGAAATCTTATCTTTCTATTGTGGGAGGGAGACCGTGTGAACAAACCGCACACAACCATTATTGAAACCTCTCTCGGCTTCATTGCGCTCACTTTGTATGGGATTTATAAACACCACCGATATTATTTTTACATGAGCTACACACTTCTATTGGGCATCTATGATACAAAAGTGCCATTATGACATTAGCTAGAACTAGAGCAGCAATTCTCTAGCTCAGAATAGAGATTAACCCCTTATGGACACAACGTCTGGAATAAAAGAGAATGATGACGGAATATTTCCGTCATGTGTCCCTAAGGGGTTAAAGTAAAAATATGTTTTCTCTGGCAAAATATGCTGCACCCCCTTCTTCAGATAACGGTGCTAAGAGTGTTTCCAGTGATATATTTAATATTTATCCTGACCCAGGCACAGTCAACATATGAGCTAATCTCACACCACAACTCTCTGCTAAGACACAATCAGCTCCACTGGTGAAAGCTGAATATCATGTCTGCAGTTACAATTATATATAATTTGCATACATTGTGGGTATGTAAATGTATTTGTGTGTATGACTGCACAAACACCATGTGACTAGATATGTTTGTGTGACTGGTAAAGTGTGTGTGACTGTATATGTGTATGTTTGTGTGTGTGTTTGTGTGTGTGTGTGTGTGACTGGGTATGTTGCTGTAGCAGTAATTTAGTACTGTATATGGCTACTCTTGTAATGTGTGACTAGGTATGTGACTATATGTAGAGTATGAGGATGTATACATTGTGTGTGTGTGTGTGACTGAACATACTTTGTGTATGTGAATGGTCATCTCTGTAAGACACGCATACAAAAATGCAGACCCACATATATTACACACATAAATATATATACACACATTACACTTGCAGTCTTTATCACACATATATTACACAGTACAAGTGTGTGAGTGTGTGTCATTTTTTGTCCAGGCAGAAGAACTAAGTTGACAGAGGGTCAATGGATGTCCCTGCATCATAAGTCCTTTTAGTTTTGAATGCATCTCTAAGAGGAAAGTTCAGTGTCTGCATGCAGTGTGTGGAGACACTGAACGTCAGTGACACTGTGCGGCACTTGCCCAGGAAGAACCTCTATTGGCTGTCATAGTAGAGACCACTAGAGGTGTTCCTAGGCTGTGATGCAAACACCGCATTTTCTCTGAAAAGACAGTGTTTACTTCAAAAGGCCTGTAGAGACTGACTATACTCACCAGTTCTGGTGACTACATTGTCCCTTAAGATAAGTAATAGATAAAGATAAAAAAAAATACTATTCTTAACAAAATATTAGCACTTGAAGATTTACTTAAGTTAAGATAAAGATAAGTTTATTTTCTAGTCTGCTGCACAGGCATAAACAGAAAGTTAGTATGCAGATAAAGTATGGAACCATACCTTTATCAAGATTGTAAATGAAACCAGCACAGTCACAGGCATTCTAGTGAAGATAAACAAATGGTATTTGCCCTTTGAGTGGCAAAGGGATCAACCCATCCCCTTCATCAAAGGGTTATTCATTATAAGTATTTTCAGTACAACTGCAGTAAAGGAGGTAGACTGAGTATAACTTAGAGATACATGGAGCAAAATATAATTACATATTTCCAAAACTGGGTAATCTGCCAGCAGGACAGAGAGAGGGAGCATACCATAAATACGATGATTGTCACTGGTGATGCACTGGAAGTACATGCCATACTCCTAAAAAGAGGACATGTTATCATAACTCGCCAGGCTGACCAGCAGATCTCTTGGCGGTGTCAATGTGTAGAATGTTGCTGAAGCACACATCTGAGGTCCGAAAATCTCTGAGATCGTGAATAGGAACACTATAGTCACCAGAACAACTACAGCTTATTGAATTTGTTCTGGTGAGTAGAATCATTACCTTCAGGCTTTTTGCTGTTAACACTGTCTTTTCAGAGAAAATGCAGTGTTTATATTACAGCCTATTAATAACTTCACTGGCCACTCCTCAGATAGCTGTTCGAGATCCTTCCTGGGTCATGGCTGCCTAAAATGCATCCAAACATTCAGTATCTTCTCCCTCTGCATAAAGACACTGAACTTTCCTCATAGAGATGCATTGATTCAATTCATCTCTATAATGAGATGCTGATTGGCCAGGGCTGTGTTTGAATTGTGCTGGCTCTGGCCCTGATCTGCCTCTTTGTAAGTCTCAGCCAATCCTATGGGGAAGCACTGTGATTGGATCAGGCTACCACTTCTGCAGGCAGTGGGCAGGTAAAATGAAACAGTGACAAAACAAGCAGCTCCAGACTTGAATACTAGTAAGATATGACTTTATTTAGGGAGGCAAGGGGGACCAGGGTGGCTAGATGGTGGTTTTAACCCTACAGGGTCAGGAATACAGGTTTGTGTTCCTGACCCTATAGTGCTCATTTAAGTCTGACTTCTGTAGATAAATCATTTTAAAGGTTTTACTAAATGTATTGAATCATTTGGAAAGCTGATTAAATTGAGACCTATATTGGAGAAGATAGATTTGAGCTGTGCTATTCATTGTGTGATCAGTTAGGCATGTTTTAAGAGGTACGTAGCACTCTTTCTTTTTGTTTTGCAAATATCACGCACTTTATAAACACCAGTTGGCAGCCTGGAATTAACTCCTGACGCCTACAGTACTTTCAATGTCACACAAGTATCTGGCCCACAATATCATATTCCACCTGCACTTCCTCTTTCCTCTAAATAGTAAGTGCTCAACCATCTATATCTGCATTAAAGTGTAAGTTTACCTGCATCGTCAAGTCCTACTCATGATGTGGCAGGTGAACTTACACATTAATGGCTGTTACAGTGGTACTTAAAATATTTATAATATTTAATATAATATATATATATTTAATATAAATATAATATTTATATTTATATATGGTTAGTAGGTTTCTTTACGCACTAGACATTTTGGCTACTCGATATGCAGGTGCCTTTAACTTCTGTACCGACTACCCTACATGCTCTAGGGCACATATATTCCTGTATGCTATAGGCCGTGCTGTCACTGCTCTTACTTACCATATTCCTCAGCAACTATGTTACACCCTCCGGGGCTTAGCGATGCATAACTCAGTATATTACAATTATCCCCTTTTGGATCCCAAACTTGCTGTTGGTGCCCTGGCGAGACCCGGCCTGACTTTCTTCCCATGGTTCTATAAAAGAACTCCTCATGCTATACCAAAATTGGTGCAATGTCTCTGTCGTGTTTTGGCTTTTCACCTTTTTTTTTATATGCCAAAAAACATTGACAACTGCTTCAGGTATTTATGTACTGCACTGCAAAAATAAGGATTAAAAACCAAACTATATATATATATATATTTATTTATATTGCATTACAGCTGAAAGCAACAAGGTTAATTGGTAGCATAGGGCTCACTTAAGAGGTCTTCCCATGATGGAGCAGATGAGCTTACACTTAAATGGCCACTGGAGTGATACAAAGGTTTAAAAATAATATCCGGAAGTATTGCTTTACTGAGAGGGTAGTGGATGCATGGAATAGCCTTTCAGCTGAAGTGGTAGAAGTTAACACAGTAAAGGAGTTTAAGCATGCGTGGGATAGGCATAAGGCTATCCTAACTATAAGAAAAGGCCAGGGACTAATGAAAGTATTTAAAAAATTGGGCAGACTAGATGGGCTGAATGGTTCTTATCTGCCGTCACATTCTATGTTTCTAAAATCCCTCCTGTTTTGTAAATATTCATATGGATAGTGCACAGATAACATTTTTTGTTTTGTTTTATGTATTTGGGCTGTTGAATACTATAGTCATAATAGTAAATGTTTCGGCTTAGGGCATATTTCTGTGTAATCTCTGTATACATATTAACCTATTGAGCCATTTTTATGTTATTGCATTCACCTTGTTAGTTTATTGTTGAGAGGGAGCCTAATAAGTTAATTCTGGGGTAAATAAGTTTACAAGTAGTTTATTATTTGCATGTATGCAAACTAATTTTGTGTATATAGAATAGATCTGTGTTTGGAATGTACATTGTCAGGTTTTAATTCATTACAGTGCAAGCCTCTCTGTCTAAAATTATTTTGCTTTAGATCAATTCTTTTGCCTGAAGGTTGAAGGCGTGAGCAACACACCCAATTTTTCTGGAATTTAATATATTAACAATAATTATAGTGCTAAAAGCAAGTCCATCCAGTTTTTGTTCAATCTCATACCAAAGTCAATAAATGGTCTAGAACACAAACAGGGCTGCCATCAGAAATTGTGGGGCCCCTAACACAGCTCAAGGTCTGGGCCCCAGGGTGCCTGCCTCCAAATCCCGCCCACAGGAATACACACACACAGACACAAAAGGACACAGACACACACACACAGAAAGATACACACATATTAACAGACACAAATACTGAAACAGACATACACACATATAGACACATACACAGATACACACATATACTGACATCAAACACACACACACATACATACAAACTGACATACATACACATAAATACATACTGACATACATACATAATGGCATACATACTAATATACAGACATACACACACATATAGATATATACATACACAGACATACATACATACTGACATACACACACACACACAGACATATATACATACTGACATACACATACAGACATATATACATACTGACATACACACAGACATATATACTGACACACACACAGACATATACACAGACACACACACAGACATATATACATATCAACATACACACAGACATACATACTGACATACACACACAGACATATATACACACAGACATACATACTGACATACACACAGACACACACACACAGACATATATACATACTGACATACACACAGACATACATATATACATACTGACATAAACACAGACATATATACATACTGACATACACAGAGATATACATGCATACATACTGATAGATATATACATACACACATACATACTGACACACAAACACACACACACACACACATATATATATACATACTGACATACACACACACGTATACAGGTAGACACATACAGACATACACACACAGACATACATGCATACAGACATACATACAGACATATATACTGGCACCCCAACCTCAGTTCATGGATGCTCCAAGCACTCTAGCCGACATCACAACCACCGCAGTCCAAACCTTTCTTCCTTCAGAGCGAAGCACGAACAAGCTCTTAAAAGAGCTTAGGAGTGATTATAGCAAGAGAATATACAAAGCATAGCAATCCCTTGTAGCAAATTCCCCCAATAAGAGACAGGACTCCAAATTGAGAGTGAAGAAGAACTATCTAAAACTTTATTATCCTTGAAACTAGCCCATATGGTCATTACATTAACATTGCTGTGAAAACTCAATAAAATTACAAACCATCAAATCATAGCAGGCAACATACAGTGACTTATTATAACATAATTACATATTTATAAATGGGTGGGGAAGGCCATAATTAACACAAAATGTCTCTCCTGCATGCAGAATTAGCGATATGCAAATCTACCCGAATATGCAAATTACTAGTCTTGCTATTCAGGTAGTCCATATTACTGTTGCTACCAACAGAGGGCACTACACAAGCTCCATAGCCAAATCCACCTAGTTGGTAGCAATCCTCAGCAGTAGAGTAGAGCAGGCAATACATCCCAGGGGCCATAGTCACATGGCAGGAGGCTGGCAATCAGTCTTCTCCAATGCCCAGTGGCGAGGCTGATTCCGCCACATATACATACTGACACACACACACAGACATATATACTGACATACATACATATACACACACACACTTCATTTATCAGCCACCCTCCTCTTACCTTTAAGTTGCAGGAGGGTGGCTGGGGATGCATCTGGTGTCCTCTCCTGGCCTCCACTCTCCCTCTCCTCCGCTCTCCCGCTGCTCTCCCCCGCGCGGAGTAAGCTGGGAGGAAGTGACCGGCCATCACTTCCTCCCAGCAGCATTTGCGGTGCAATTTTTTTTTTAAAAGGGGCCCGGTCGTGCAATTACCCGGCCGCAGCGCTGACCGGGCCCCTGAAGATTATAGGGCCCATCGGGTGGCCCTTAATGCTTGGGCCACCTGATGGGCCCCGGTGCAGATGCGTTTGCGGCAGTTGCTCCATGTGAGGCCCGTTCTGGTTGTCACCCCCTGATGGCGGCCCTGAACACAAATATTAAGCATATAACCCCAGACACTGTACCTGGTGGCTATCTGAAAGGAATGATGAATATTTATTGATGTTGTCACAGTTGTGGCTACTAAAAATATTTAAAAGTGTGCAAACAATATGGCAGTTTTAGATTATTTCACAATTGGAGTTAACTGTCAATCCAGAGAACATGGCACAAATTCATATTGACTGAAGATGTAAGAGGGGAATACATATTTTGTCATGGGCTAAATTAAAGGTGACTAGTGCTCTGTCCTGCAAAGGAATTTCAACACCATAGACTTTCCTCAGAGCCTCGTCTTGTAAGTACAATGGCATAAAGAAATACTCTTAGCCAACCAGGCATTAGCAGAACTCATTATGTGAAGTTTATATTATTCAATTTACTAAACACGTAGTCCAGTTTTTTTACATTTTAAAATATTTTAAAGACAGAATTGTTGATTTTACAACATTGTGCCCTTGGAATTAGGGCCGAGAAGGACCTGAAAAATTATAAATACAATTACAACCATATGACACAATGGTCGACAATGACTAAGTGAGAAGCACTTAGTGTAAGTGTCTGTGACGGTAGTAGTCAATATCACCGTCTAGTTTTCCTTTTCCCAATAGCAGAGTAATCCCAATAATCCACGAGAAGAAATATCGCTGTAATCGCCAAATAATCCACACGTGAGCCAAGGCTTAATGCTGGAACAAGACTGCTTTACTGGCACACAGAACTCACAATTTATGCAATACAAAACTCCTCCTCTGGGCCAGGCTAGATAATTGAGTTTCTACAATACACAAAGCTCAATTATCTGCTGGCCAGAAACATTACAGTTTTTAACAATTTCAGAAAAGTACTTTTTATATTACATACAAACATCCCTGGGTAGCTGATGGTCTGGGAAGCAACATACTTAAATTTCACGAAAATCCGTTCAGTAGTTTTCGTGTCGCGTCGTGTGGAAGTTTGACCGGCTCCCTGCATGCTGATTTCCGATTTGGAGTTGCATGAAATTGGGGCTAAGAGCCGGTCTCCGTTCGCGTCAATTTACACGAAAACTACCAGGGTTAAGATATAGAGAGTTCGTGGAAAGTGTTCCCCTCATTCGGTAGCTTGAATTTCCCGAACGCCGTTCGTGTCAAGTTCGTGGAAATAAGCCAGGCGGGACTTCCATGGGGGACCGGGTCATGCTGGAGGGCTATGCCGAAAATAGTTCCAGGCAGTCGACGCCTAAGTCCCGCTGACTGGCCGTTCGGGAGTTTAAGATGGCCGCCATCCATTGTTCTTCGCCACGTGTTCGGCTCCCGAAATGGCGGCCACCCGGGAACTCTCAATTAACTTGCGGTTACACACGATTCTATGTTCTAATTGCTATCCAGGGTGGTCCTTGTTCGGAAAAATAGCTATTTTACCAAACAAGGGATTTGAACGTACAGAAAATAATTAATGCACCAGTAATACAGGTAAAAAATCTCACGAATACAACAGCAGGGAGGGAAATAGTCAAAACGAATTGAGGGTGATTCTTCACAGTGTCATTCTATGGGGTGTCCTGAAATCCTCGCATGTTACATTTGGTATTTTAATAACTAAAGAGTAGAGTATGTGAGTAACAAACAGGGGAAAAGATCAACGAAGCATGGAGAAGGCGATATTATATTATTACTTTTTTCGAGTTTGTCAGAACAGCATGTACAACTAGTAACTACTCCCTCTGTATTTCCAGACTCCTAGCAGGGAATAAGTGATCAAACTACAGCAAGATTTACATATTTGAGTATGAATGAAGTGGGTTTGCATTAATGCTATCTAGCTCTTCCGCGATAATGCTATTTTCTCTGGATTCCCAACCAGAAGTTTAACTTCTGTGAAACGATTACATATTAAATTCCAACTAAAAAGTTGTCCCATAAATAAATGACTAATCATGCAGAGAATAGGTGATAAACCAGCTCACTTCTCCCCATATAACAAAGAATGCACGTACTAAAGTGGGGTGCTTTACAGACCTCCAGTATCACCACACCAGCAATAAATCCAAAACAACAAAAGAATGGTCCAGCTTTCCAAAAATAGCATACTCTTTCAATGTTAATTTTAGTGAATACCCTGTTAGAACTATCTATGCACTATCTAAAACAACTTACTACTTCCAAAATTAGTGGCTACACGGGATGCATTCAGTAGCAGTGATGCTTATATAACTGGTGCTTAATCTAGTAACTATGTTCATAGCTTTGGGAAACCCTTGGTTTAAACCCAAAGCTGTGTTCTGGCACTGGATCTCACTGTCTCTCCGTCCTTCCACTTGCTGAAATGCTGGAAAATGGAAGCATAGGGCTGTCGCGGGCAGGGGCACTGCTGGGTTGCTGAGAGTGGTCAGCTGATGCTCTCAGCCAATCAGAGGCTCCTCATTCATAAAAACAGAGTGTTCCTTCTGGTCCTCATGGTCAGCATCATTGGACTTCCTAAGCCCTCTACACCTCTTCATCTTGTATTCCTAAAAACACGAGTCATTCTTTGCTAGCATTAAATAAAATTAACAACGACATGGATGGTCATTAATATTAAAGGCTTACTTCAAGCCTTTTTAAACAAGAGAAGAAATACATTCTATCCAGGGTACAGTGCCTTCTAAACAAAGACAGACGTTTACATTAGCATGTCCGAAAAAAGGTGTTCTGGCCCGAATACGGCCTCGATTTAATATCGTTGGATAAGATTTCCAAATGATTTAATATTTTTGGGATAAAATTCTAAAATGATTTAATATGATGAAAAATATTTAAATTTTGTTATTCATATGATATTGTTTGATGTATTGATATCATTGTTTATATAGGATATATTTTTGATATTTGAATATATTGAAAATGTATTGCACAATTCATAGTGCTATTCACACCCTTACCACTGTCAGCACGTGAGTTGGCTGATGAACTAACGTATATTAAAGCAAAGCTGACATCTCAGTCATGATTCTATAAAGACTGCAAGTGACCTAGCCAATATTCTAGAAGAAAACTTATTCCAATATAAAAATATGACCCATCATTGTACATACATGTATATTTTTTGTTTTGTTCAAAATAGCACTGACCATCTACTTATTGCAAGGAAACTGGGTAATATTTTAACTTCCAGTTTAACTAGAATAGTTTTAGAAGGCCTGAAGCCGGCCTTATTTGTTGTGTATATAAGGGGTGTATTCAGACAGGAATAAGGCAGTGGCATTTATTTGACTGCAGTAAACAACGTAGTTCACGCAGGTGTGGATTCTCTTGCCGAGATTAAAGGAACATTCAGTAGCTTAATGTTCCGTAAATAATACGGGAGTAATTTCCATTCATTTGTATAGATCTTCCCGAATCATTGTCTGGCCAGAACAATGTCACTACCTATATAAGAGGAAAGAGCAAATAAATTGAGCGTGTCTAACCAAATATCACTGGAACTATTAAACGCTGTCTCCCCACGCAGGACACGTTGGGTATTGCTCAGATTAATCCTGCTGTGTCTTTTTTTTCACATAAAGGTCACAAGTCTTAAATTAACCAATTACAAAAACTACTGAATCATTTATCTGCTACACAAAGATGAATGTTTCTACCTAAATGGAAATCTCTGGTGTCTGCACTTGTAATGGGAATTTGCAATGCCAAGCACAGAAAGTCCATTCTGCTCTTAATAGCTGGAGATTTAAAGTGCCACTAATCTTTAAATAATTAACCAAATCATGGGAGATACCGGTTTTGGTAAAATCTCGCAATACTCCCTCCCTATTTCCAAGTACTTCCTGTTCATAAGGTGAGACACATATAAATAAATTAGTCTCAATCAAGTGATCTTTGAACAGTCCTGTCATTTTGACATTGCAAAGTAAAACATTGCAATTTTGTAGAAACATTCCAGGGGTAAATACACGATAGTGCTAGTCTTACTGACAGCCACTAGAGGCGCTCCCTCCTCCAGAACTGAGTAATTGTCAATTTACAATGCATGAAGAATACATGGCACAGCCTTAATGTTTATCTCACACCTTGAGATAAGAGATATGGAAGCAGCTGGTGAACATTAGAAATCTGCTGGATCATGACCATTGCCTGTTAGAATTGCACGTTAGCGGAGTGGTGGTGAAATATACAGTTTTGTGGGTTTGTTGTTTTTTTTTATTTTACAAAACCAGGATATGTAGGCAACTGCCGACTGAATTGCAATTTCTAGGATAAAATATTCAAATTATAAAAGCTTTTACAATTCGGTTATATGGGCCTAACATGTTGAAATATGAATTACAGAAATATTTAATTCAGATGAATGGTAAATGGATATTGAATGGAAAAATAAGCTGATATTACTCACGCTCTGGTGAGTAATATCTGTGGCTTTTTATGACTCAGTTTATCTGCCCCGAGTCACAGACGGTTTATGGAGGAATGTACAGCAAAGCAACGTATAGAGAGGCTAATTAACATCTTGTTGAATCTGATGGCATCGTCAGACAGGACACATCTGTAAATATTGTTAATGTCAAATGAACAAAAAACAACGGTTCAATTCCTCCAGGGTCAGGGTTATGCAAATCTCTTGTTATTTTGACAGTTCTTACATGTTATTAGTTCTGTCCGGCTGGTTTTAAAACAGTAGCTAATCCACAAAGATACATAAGGATATATCATTGGTACCAGCTTTAGATGTGGTCATGGACCTTTCATGTTATTGAGATACCATTGGGCAAGTCGGCCAGTTCTTTAATATATTATTTATTGAGGATCCTTTTGTGTTATGAATGTTTTAATCAGTGTTAGACAGAGCCAGATTGAAACTGCAAAAATGAACTAAACTCACAATGTTAATCTGATCCTACTAGACCCCCATAAACAGGGGGGATATTTGTAAAATATCAAGCAATTATTGGTGAGACATCAGACCATGCGTTTGGATAACTTCATTCTATTCCAATATTATCTGATTCTCCACCTGCTGCACAGTACAGTGCTTCCCATTGATCCCTTTCCCCTCTTAAAGGACCACTATAGTGCCAGGAAAACATACTCGTTTTCCTGGCACTGTAGTGCCCTGAGGGTGCCCCCATCCTCAGGGTCCCACTCCTGTGGCGCTGAAGGGGTAGGAAGGAGTTAATCCCTTACCTTTTTCCCAGCGCCGGGCTCCCTCGGCGCTGGGACTCTCCTCCCTCTTCTGACGTCCTGGCTGAATGTGCATGCTGTGAAATTCAATGAGACAGCCACTAGAGGCTGGATTAACCCATAGGTAAACATAGCAGTTTCTCTGAAACTGCTGTTTCCAGCAAAAAGGGTTAAACTTAGCTGGACCTGGCACCCAGACCACTTCATTAAGCTGAAGTGGTCTGGGTGCCTATAGTGGTCCCTTAAGTTTTATCTTGCCATCTGTATCTTTCTCATTCTTTTCTTTTTTGCCCATCCTTATGGACTATCCTTGTGCATGTTTGTGTACCATTTAAATTGGCATTCTACTAAATTGTATAATGTAAACGGTATAACCATTTTCAGTGTGCCTATAGTTCTACAATACCCTCTTTAGACGCAGAAGAAAAAATTAGATACTCAGAGTTCTTATTCTTCTGGTATTTTTGAATATTGAGTGCCCATTTTTACTTTCCGTAACCTCTAAATAACTTGACATCCCTCCTTGATTTGTGCTGTAGTATTAGTTTTTTACAGTATACACCCAACATACAAATTTGACAACATAAATTGTAGGCTGTAGCATTTCTTAATTAAATCGATTGGGTGAAAGTTGAGCCCTGTGGAATAGGTGGGGCATAATAATTTTTTGTTTTCATAAATATTTGAATTGCCATGATACAACATATGTCTCCAGTTATGCAGGAAATTTCACCAGGTATCAACTAATGGGTTGTTTTAATAAGGGCGGTGTTGCAATCTTTAGTTTATGATTGGACCTGTCATTTTCAATATTTCTCATTAAATAAAACATTAGCATAGTTTGCTTACAACAACAAGACAGGAGAGTTAAGCAATTCATGAAATATCTTTGAATATACGACAGGCACACTGTGATAACAGTACGTGAAGCTCCCATAAACCACAATTATGCTTTATAAATCGTGCATGACGGGTGGCTGTGGCACATCTAACGAGGATGCCACTTGTAACGTTATTTTGGACGGCAGTGGACAAGCCTGGTGGAAGTGAACCAATTGTTTGGCTTTAAAGTGTGTCTTCTTAAAGATGAACAATGCTTAGGAGTTAAATGAACACTATAGGGCAGGAACAAAAACATGTATTCCTGACCATATAGTGTTAAAACCACCATCTAGCCCTCCTGTCCCCCTCTTGCCTCCCTAAATATAGTAAAGTCTACAGCTGCTGGGTCTGCCCCTGACCTGCCTGCTGTCTGCTCAGAAGTGGTGGTCTGAGCCAATCACAATGCTTCCCCATAGGATTGGCTGAGACTGTCGTTGAGGCAGATCAGGGGCAGAGCCAGCATGATTCAAACACAGCCCTGGCCAATCAGCATCTCTTCATAGAGATTAATTGAATCTATGAGGAAAGTTCAGTGTCTGCGTGCAAGGGGTGAAGACACTGTGCAGCACTGCCCCAGGAAGCACCTCTAGCAGCCATCTGAGGAGTGGTCAGTGAAGTTATTACTAGGCTGTAATGTAAACACTGCATTTTATCTGAAAAGACAGTGTTTACAGCAAAAAGCCCAAAGGGAATGATTTTACTCACCAGAACAAATACAATAATCTGTAGTTGTTCTAGTGACTATAGTGTCCCTTTAATAATTAGATGCTTACTCCCTCACATGGCTGCCATATTTTTGTGGGTGTTAAAACAAATATAACAATTCTCCCAATTACCTCCTACCTCTTTAAATCTCATTGGCCGTGCTTAGGATAATACAGCAGGCTTCTCAAAGCAGGACACAATTACCTTATGATGCCAACAAATTACTTCCATGCCAGCATATCAATGTATAAATGAGGTTACTACATTCCTATAATACTCCAGTAAAGCGCAAGGCACACATGTGATGTACATGATGGCAAGTGTAGAAGGAGAACTTAATGGAGTAGGGGTCTCCTGCTCTTCATCTGTCAATCAAATTTGGCAAACACACTATGCCATCAGTCTGTGTGCTAACACACCAATGTCGTGTTGAGGGCCATACAATATTTTAAGTTTAACTTAATTTAGAGTTTGTGTTACACTTATTTATGTGTGAGTGTGTTGCGAGACTGTAGCTAATAAGGTGAACACTTTGTATGACCTTGCTAGTCCTCTACTTGCAAAGTACAAGTCAGTATTTAAATAAGAAGTGTTGGGCAGGTTAGAGAAAAATATTACCAATTTGTAGCTTAACAAAATACCCCCAAGGAGGCAAAAAGCCAATAACATGCCATTGTCAGGATTCTGGAAATACTGGAACTGAAAAGCTAGCTACGTCTAGGTATACCAGATAACTAGATAAATATGAGACAATCTGGTTAACAAAAACCTAGATTAAACAATTAGGCAACAGGTTGACAAAACCACAAAAGGGAACCTACTACCCCAAGAAGTAGGTTTATAAAAGCATCAGTCATTTGCATGATATTGGCGATTCAACGAGATGTAAAGGAACTTGTGTGCAAACAAGACTTCGGAATAATAGAAAGTTTGAACGCTACCATACTGGTTTAGTACATAACCCGGTTCTCAGAGTCGGACATTAGAATGGATGGTGGAGGGTGAAGATGACTGACAATGAGATGATACCTTGTAACAGGCAGTTGGGATAGAGTGTTCATGAGACTGGTTAATTTACAATGCGTGTGAAGCTAATAAGTTAGTATTGTGTGTGTTACAGTGTGTTAGTATGTGAGTGAGAATGTGTGGCTGATAATGTTTATAATAGGTGTTTGTTGATTAATATACATTACGCTTGTTGCACACGTGAAAAATATTACACATGCGCATGCAATTATATACATATTTGCAAGAGCATTATAGAAAAGAAAAGAACGACAAGAGGTATACAGATATGGATGAGCTGGGGAAACAAAAAATCCTTTATCAGTAGATGTTATACTATTCTAAACTAATTTAAGGCATACATTGTGCATTGTTTATAACCACATTCTCAGTAAACCCAGTGTATCAAACATTGCCAGCAGAGGGCAGCAGTGTCCCTACCATTAATCCACTCTTTGCATTATATGCAGCAGTAAACCCCATCACCAGGCTTATCTCGGTTTGTTCATATTTATGTGACAGGTCCCGGTCCCAATCTAGTATTACTCAGCATACAGTAGGACCGGGTTCCTTCAATGTCTGCAAGTTCTCATACTGCCATGGGAAACTCTAACTGTAAGACTGCTGTGTAAATAATGATTCTGCATGTGTTTGAACTTTATAAAACATTTCTTTTTTTTCACAGGATTGATACTGCCATCAATCTTGGACTTTCTCTATGATAACCCTCGCAAGGAGCGGTCTGGGTGCAGTGATCCTTTAGTTTGAATTCTGCAATGTATTGCCATTTGTAGGTACAGCAATGCTAACACTGGAGAGTTAAATACGCTTCTAGTGGCTGTCTTGCTGGTGGTCTTCCTTAGTCAAACTCAGTTCTGAAAGCCAACACCCAATAGGAACGCAGCGCTGCCGCATGTGCTTTTCATCGCCAATGTTTCTCGAGAGGCACCTGTGTGGCGCCGCGGGGAACAGATCGAACGGCTGCAGGGACTTCATCTCTGCGCTGGAAAAAAGTGAGTAAAACCAGTCACTCACTAATAGACAAACACACACTATCAGACACACACACTAACAGACACACACACACAGTCAGACACACACACACTCACTAACAGACAAACACACACTAACAGACACACACACACAGTCAGACACACACAGACACAGTCAGAAACACACACAAACTCACTCACATTAACACTCACTTTTTTTTTATTCAACCCCCCCAGCCTCCTTAACTTTGGGAATGCTGGGGGTGGGGGGAGGGGGTGGGGTTCTTCCTTTCCCTGGGGGTCCAGTGACTGCAGGGCGGGCTAATGGGCTGCTTGGCGGGCTGGCTGTGGACATGACATGTTGAGTGGTGACCCTAGCACAGAATACAGCTACTAGGGGAAACCGTAAACATGACAATGACATTAGATTTAAAGGCAGGATGTATGCCAAAACAAAGAGAAATGTATCAGCTTTTGTTTTCTATCTGTGTTTTTAAGCAACACTGTCACCGCCCTCCAGGGCCACCATCAGGGGGTGACAACCATGATGGTTGTCACGGGCCCGGCGGTCCTGGGGGGCCTGGACTGCTCTGGCAGTCCCGGGCCCTACACTCCCTCTCTGCACACATAGAGAGCGAATATCGCTATCTATATGTGCAGCTGTGGGCCCCTGGCTCCCTGTTACTGCAGAGGGGGCCCAGCACACTGCTTCTACACATTCCGGTCCTCTCTTCCAATAACTCTCGCGAGACCCGCAGCCTTCTGAGCATTGCCACGGGTTACCACCAGGGAATGGAACCTCCCCCCTCCCTGGACACAATAACATTTGGGGGAATAACATTTCATTAAATTTAATATAAAATTAATGTGAAAATGCCCCCGTAGATTGCAGGCCCTAGTTTGCACATTTACAGACACTCTGCATACACTAATACAACACACACACTGCATACACATATACAACACACACTCTGCATAAACTAATACAACACACACACACACACACACACTGCATACACTAATACAACACACACATTGCATACACTAATACAACACACACTCTGCATACACTAATACAACAAACACACACTGCATACACTAATACAACCAAAACAAACTCTGCATTCACTAATACAACACACACTCTGCATACACTAATACAACACACACACTGCGTACACTAATATAACACACACTCTGCATACACTAATACAACCAACACACACTGCATATACTAATAATGGAATGAGGGGGGGCCCAGATCTTGTGCTTTGTCAGGGGCCACAACATTTCTGATGGCAGCCCTGCCGCCCTCTCCACCTATCCTAAATTATTTTTTCAGAAAGATAAAGTCTTTTATAAAGATAACATATTTTGTCAAGCTTAGCAAATCTTGTTAAAAGACTGAGCGACCTTTTGTCGATGAAAAAGGTTCCATCTATGGATCCTGTGGTCTTACTGGATCCTCCATAGATCATAAGTTGTACTCTTGCACTGACATGCTGAAGAGCCAAGACATGAAGAGGACCGTCAAGAAGATGGCGGCTGTTGCGAGGGACAGGTTAAGGTAAGTATAATTCACAAATCCTATCAGGTCACAGATAATTATGTAAAGACTCCAGATGGTGACAGAGCTGCGTTAAAATCACTCTAAAATGTGATATAATGTTATTATTGTTTACTAGAAATGGTTGATTTACATTGACAATTTGATTGTACTGCTCAGTTTTCATCCTTGCTAGACCCTCCCTTTCTTTGCTTTTGAAAAATTCAGTATATAGACAGAAGTTACTTTAAGATAAATTTAAAGAACGTAAATCGCAGACTCGAAAGGTCCATTTTCACATTAACCATCATCATTGGGAGCTGTGAATTTCAGTAATATATTGCTATTTCACACAATGGTGTGCTTCTTACCATTCTATTTTCACTGGTTTCTCATAACAATTTGCTCCCAAAGTAGCGACTGTCCTTCCCAAGTAGTGACAGGTGGGTGGTACAATATGTGCTTATTGAATAAACAAATCTGGGTTCTTCTCCAGCCTTAAAGGGTTAATATTTTTAAGGGTGTCAAACTAAGTTTCATGTGGAAAGCTCCCAGGCATGGGTGATATATGATACTTAAAACGTGTTTTTATTCTTCTAACGTATACTGGAACACATGCAAAGGGAGAGTGACACAAGCAGCAAGATAATATATACTGGTTTACTGCAGTTTAACCTGTTTAACATCCTTGGAGATTATCCTTCTGTAACTTAAAAGATGGTCTAAAAATGCTACCTGGAATTCTAATTCAGCACAGAGGAGGTACCTGCACTGAAAGACTGCGTGTCCAGTCTCCCAGGCATGTAATATATGGCAGAATAAAAACATCTCTGAATATCTATCAACTTATCAGACTTTAGGCAATAAAAAAAAAAATACTGAAATGATATATTTGAAAATGTTCATTAAAATATTTCACCAATTTCTGCATCCACTACTGGTGATAAATTATTAAAGAGACTCTATAGGCACCCAGACCACTTCATCTTCTGCAGAACAGCAATGTTTACAGTGCATGGTTATATGCCTTTAGTGGTCTTCAAATGAAATAGCCACGCAAAATTGTGCTATTTTTATCCAGGGTTCTACATAGGTCATTTGGCAAACACATGCCAATTCACATACACAGACACAATGAATCACACAGGTATATATACCTAGATACAGCTCATTGAAGTGGTCTGGGTGCAATGTCCCATGTCCCTTAAACCTACAGTGGTAATTACCTCTGATTGTTAACTCCACCTCTAGTGGCTGTTCACCAGACAGGCTCTTGAGGGACTTCCGTAACTGAAGAGGAACCTTTGGTCCATTATCTGACGCTGGACGTCCTCACGCTCTGCATGAGGACCTCCAGAGTCAGATTTATCCCCATAGGAAAGCATTGAATAATTGCCGTGCATGCGCATTAGGTCTCTCCCGCCGGCTGAGGGGGAGGAAGGACATCGGTGCTGGTTTTAGGTAAGTCACTGAAGGGGGGTTTTACCCCTTTAGCACTGTGTGAGGGGAGGGGGCGAAGAAGGGGGGCAATGCAGGACCCTATAGTGCCAGGAAAACGGGTTTGTTTTCCTGGCACTATAGAATACCTTTAAGGCAAATTTCTGCTCTCGATCACTGAAGGAAAAACAACTCATTCATAATCTTTCCAATATCTGGTAATGCAGCTTTTTGAAGAAGAAAAAAAAGTGTGAAAAAATCATTACATGTGTCTAATAAAGAAAGATATATATATATATATATATATATATATATATATATATGTATTAAGGCCTTTGGCCTGTAATTGTGGGAGGGGCGTATGACTCACCTTCTCCCTACTTAAGGGACACCCCTTACCTGGCTCCATACCGTTCGAGGTCAGCGCTGCATCGAGAATCCACTTCCGGTTCACGTACGGCGCCATCTTGCTTTTCAAAAACCCGCGGTTTTCGTTTGGTGTAGCTGTGTCCAGGAATCCTTACAGGTTTTCCGCCCGTTCAGCCACGCACATACCCGGTGTTTTCGTCGCAGATTAAGTCCACAGGACTTCAAAATCGTAAGTCCGTCGCCCGGATCATTTCCCACGGCGTCGCGATTTAAAACGGCCTTACTTTACGGCCACACGCTTTACGGCCAAGTCACAGGCATATTAACCCCTTTGCTGCCGGCAGGCATATCGGTTTCGGTTTTTCTTTGTATTAAGCAAATTTGTTCTGCATATCATCAGCTATAATTGGTTTCATGTTATTACTGTTATTTATTTTATGCAAATTACGAAATCCTTGCATATGACTGGGGCAATACCCCTGTTAACTACTTAGGAATAAGTATTTATTTAGGTTATGTTTTAATCTTAGCAGACATGGCACTATTAAAGTTTTATTGAAATTCTTCATGTTATATACATATATTTATGGAGTTAAGCTTAGACAAGCTTTTACATTTTACAGGCTTATCGCTTGTAGGATTTACGTTATAAATTATCTTTAGAAATTACGTTTCTATCATACCATGTACTCACGTTTCTTACATGGCACTTATATATTCTGACTTTTTCTTTGTGTACTCAAACGACTTACCAAGTACACAAGAACACGGTCTCACAAATCTCACAAACTCTCGGGTTGAATCACACGTCTTGATTCAACCACTCATACGTCACGTTGTTTCCTAATTTTGGGATAACTTCTCAAATATTTCTGTACCTCGTACTTACCTCTTTTTCATGGCTTACGTTTACGGCCTAACATATACGGTATTATTTTAAATCCTGCACCTTATTATACCACAAACACTAGCATTACTATATCATACGCATTAATCTGGTCACCAGAGAGATATCATACACACCCCCAAGCATGATTACCATACCACATACAGGGCCAGTCGGGCCAATATCATTCATGTATTCCCTTTCCATATGTACTACTAGAACTCATCACAAATAACTAGTCTAAATTGGTATCATAGGATCCAATTCTCACACTATCATATTTGGTTTTTCTATCCCTTTAGGTTTTTCCAGTTTTTCTCTACCTATCGCTTATCAAACGCATACATACTACCAGGTACGTTAAGCCTGCTCACGCCATACATCACATATGGTTCCTCCTCTACTTAGGACATAGAGTACTGGCAATTTTAGGGGTTATAGGCCCAAATAGGTATCCCCCCTCCGGCATTCTGCCTATCGTTTAGTGGTCCGCGAGGCCAACACCCCGCCTCAACGTTTCGGAGGTAATGCCCCCCGGGCCACACGTGAGTTAGCCGCCTCGCATTATAGAGAGGGTGCCACCTGTCACTCCCTTCCCCTGTTTTCTGGTATTGTCACCGAGAGGCCTACGAAGTCCTGCCACTACGTCGGGTGGCCTCAATAACCCCTCGCGCCAACGCATAGATAGAGCCTCTCATAGCCACTTGGCAACTAGCAGGGCCTCACCTGTCACCAAAGAACAAGTTTAATTTTTCGCCTCATCCGGCATAATTAGCCTGCCAGTACATCCCCTCGGGGGGTTTTTATGCTAACCATATACTTTATCTAGTATGTCTCAAGAAGGGGTAGAGGATTTCTCCATCCCAAGGACTCCGGCTAGAACCAACACCCCATCACAGGAGGAAGATACGGCTAGTCCAGCATCTTTCAGATTATGGACTATCCCTCGTATCACTAGCGAACTCAGGAGACGACAAATCCCTTTTCCAGCAACAGCAAGGAAAGCGGAACTTTACAAATTATTACACACCTCAACTGATAACATGGACGCTGGGGAAGGGTCGAGCCAGTCCCACCCAGGGAACATACATGACATGCTCACGTCCCTCATGACATCCATGAGCAAGGTCAATTCTAGGCTGGAGAAACTTGAATCGGTCACTACAGCCCTCACTATGGCTGGACCGGCCACGGCAATTCCCCCATCAGTGGTGGAGTCGCAATCAGTTTCTCCAGCTATCACCTCGGATGACCAAGAAGTTTACCCTGCCCACATGATTCCTGAGCACCTCAGGAGAGATATCCTGGAAGGTAAAGATGTCAATCTGGCCTCACTACTAATTGCCTCCCAGGATATAGTGGAACATAAGACCTACGCTTATGACGATATTTCTGTGGTGGTCAAATCCAGGGATGCACGATTAAATAGGAAGCTAACCATTCCTGAATTTGTATTAGCTTTTGGCATTTATCGGGATGTGGTCTGTACGGTATATCCCCACAGACGTGAGGAGTTTGACTTATATATGCACAGGCTGGTTGATCTGGGCAACAAATATGGTGGGTCAGCTTTCTATGACTACCATAGATCTTTTTCTGCCAAAGTGTCTGGCGCCTTCTCACAGTACGGGACAAGGTCCAACTGGAGTAAGATTGATACGATCATTTTTTGCAGGCACTTTGCAGGTCTAAGAGCACCGGCCTGTGCACACTGCTCCTCCATGGCTCATACTGCCAATTTTTGTCCGACCACTGCGAACGAACCTACCACCTCGCAGGGCACTAGCTCCGCTGTGTCAGCAGAGAGAACACCCAAAGACAAACTGGGTCGACCTATCAAGTTTTTGGGGAAGTCCCAAATATGTAATAATTTCAATGCCGGTGCATGTAATTACAGCGGTTGTCGGTTATTGCATATATGTTCCAAATGTTCAAATAAAATGTACCCTAAGCAATACTTAACTGAGATAAATATTTCTGTACTCACAGCATTACTGTCACGACATCCATCTAGACATTTGGTAGACTTCATCATCACTGGTCTATCACAAGGATCCCATACTGGTCTCATACACATGCCTTCAGGAATCCTTGAATGTCCTAATTTACAATCTGCACAACAAAACCCTACAGCGGTTAGCACACTCATAGCCAAAGAAGTGGCAGAGGGCTTCCTATTGGGACCCTTTCAGTCCTCTCCTTTTTCCACATGGCGGACAAACCCCATCGGTATTGTCACAGGGAAATCTTCCCACAAACAAAGACTTATCATCGATCTGTCTGCACCTCACACCTCTGCCTCACCTAGTCTGAACTCCCTTATCCCCTCTGAGGAATTTTCACTTCAATACTCCACCATAGATCACGCCATTACAGCTATCATGCAGGCAGGGGTCGGAGCATGGCTCAGCAAGACTGACATTACAAATGCCTTCAAATTATTGCCTATCCACCCTACACTATGGCACCTGCATGGCATTAAGTGGGCCGGGCACTACTACTTTTTCTCACGCCTAACGTTTGGTTCAAAAAGTAGTCCGGCCATTTTTGACGTATTCGCCGAAACATTATGCTGGTTATTATTAAATGTAGCCAGATGCCCTACAGTTATACACTACCTGGATGATTTCTTACTGATCGAAGAGAACACTTCCCCTCCCAGTAGCCTCATAGCAACCATCAGTCTTGTTAAACAGGTGGGTGTTCCAGTCTCCCCCACCAAAACTGAAGGACCAGATACAGTCATCACCTTTCTGGGAATCATACTAGACTCAGCCACCATGCAAGCCAGCCTGCCACGCACCAAGATAGAGAACATTCTTACCAACATTAACCTCTACATACACCTCGGTACTTGCAATCGCAAAGAATTGCAGTCTCTACTTGGGTCACTGAACTTTGCCATGCGCATTATACCTCAAGGCCGGGCTTTCATCTCACGGCTTCTAACCATGTTCCCACTGTTTAGACATGATGCACACAGGTTACCACTGGATACCCAAGCCACGGCAGACCTACTTATGTGGAGAAACTTTTTGACCACCTGGAATGGGAAAAGCATGTTTCTCCCTAAATTGTCTCACTCCTCACCTACCATCTGGTCAGACGCGGCGGCTACCACAGGTTTTGCAGCAATTTACGGGAATGAATGGCTTTGGGGTAGCTGGCCTCCAGAGGTACAGGACCTGGAAGGGTTTTCCACTACCTCAGCTCTATTTGAGATGTATCCCATTGTAGCAGCTGCCGTGACATGGGGGCATCTATGGGCAGGTTCGTCAGTACGTTGCCACTCAGACAACCAAGCTACCTGCCACATCATAAACAAAGGCCGATCCAAGTCACTGACCATTATGAGGTTCTTGAGGAAACTCACCTGGCTGGCTGCATGCCATAACTTCTTCTTGTTTTGTGTCCATGTCCCAGGTGTTTGTAACACGGCTGCTGACAATTTGTCTCGTTTCAATTTTCAGGCTTTTCGGCAAATACTTCCGTCAGCCGCACGTACAGCCACGACCACTCCACCTTTCCACCAGCTAGTCATGGACTAGAAGCTATTATGCAACATAGCAGGACATTGGCACAATTAGCACTGTCCACCAATACCCGGAGAACATATGACAGGGCTTTCCTTCTATTTAAAAGATTCCTGTCACTGCACAACGTCACACAACCTTTCATCATGACATCTTTGTTAGGTTTTGCTTCTTTTTGCCACCTCAAACTTAAATTATCTTACAACACAATCAAGCTATATCTGACAGGCATACAACATCACATGCTAACATTACAACCAAACAACACAAGTTTCATGTCCTCCTACCAGATAAAAACATCCTTAGAGGTATCCAGAGATCCGAACCCCCACGTACCGCGCAAAGGCTACCTATAGACTTCAATATCTTCAAGGATTTATCCAGCCTACTAGATTCAAAACCCTTTGCGAACAACACAAACCTTGTTATAAAACCGCCATATACGTAGCTTTTTATGGTTTCTTGAGACCAAGAGAATTTACCGCCATCAACACATCCCAGTCCACTCACATTCTGCTTCATTCACACTTAACGAAACACATGGATTACTATATTTTAGCTCTGCATCACTCCAAAACCAATCAACACGCACCCCCGGTAGAGGTTAGATACTATCCTACCCACAACGTGTGGTGCCCCGTCACATTACTGGACACCTATACTCAGCATTTCAAAGCATCACCATCTCAACCACTTTTCTGTCTACAAGGTTCGGTACTCACTACCACCACCTTCATGACCCACGTCAGGTCCCTACTTACACAACTAGGCCTAAAATCAGCTAACTATTCGGGCCACTCCTTCCGCATAGGGGCGGCCTCCACAGCGTCCAGTGCAAACATTCCAGTACATGTTATCAAGTCACTAGGGCGCTGGAAGTCTTCTGCATACTCTAGATACATACCTAACCCGGTACAAGAAGTTAGAAATGCCTTTCAAGATATGTCTGGTTGAAGTATGTATACTGCTCGTTTCGTAATAAAGTATATTTTCTACTTTTTGCCCTCTTTATTTACAGGCCTACCTCATCGTCGGTTCCGGCACACCACAACCGACTTGCTCTTTCACACTATCCCATACTTATCAGTGTTTGTATCTTCTGTACTATCATGAGCCCTTAACACAAGTATTAAGGCCTTTGGCCTGTAATTGTGGGAGGGGCGTATGACTCACCTTCTCCCTACTTAAGGGACACCCCTTACCTGGCTCCATACCGTTCGAGGTCAGCGCTGCATCACCCTCCCACCCACTCCTCTTTTATTAACTCCTTTTTCTCATACATTTCTTATTGGTGGGCCCTCTTTATTTACAGGCCTACCTCATCGTCGGTTCCGGCACACCACAACCGACTTGCTCTTTCACACTATCCCATACTTATCAGTGTTTGTATCTTCTGTACTATCATGAGCCCTTAACACAAATATATATATATAAACAAAATCAAAACATTTTATAGCAAAAGCAATATCAGGTTACAAACTTATCATATTTAAGATTCATCAAAATGTAAATGGTCAGGAATCAACCTGGGTACCTCAGTTAAGGGATGTTCCTAGCGCTTATTGAGGCCCCCAAGAACTTGAGCCGACACCACAACCACCGCAGGCCAAACCTCTGTGAATTTCACATTTTAGCCGTACAAAGCCGAGTAGATTTGGTTATTTTGGCTGACAATTTTTGCTCATTATCGCATGCATGTATTTTATGTTCTAGTACAGGGGTTCCCAACCCAGTCCTCGAGTACCCCCTACCAGTCCAGGACTTAGGGATTACACAGTTGTGTCTAAGGTGTTTTTAGAAAGAAAAGAAAAAAAAAACACTTAAGACACAACAAGGTAATCCCTAAATCCTGGACTGGTAGGGGGTACTTGAGGACTAACTTGGGAACCCCTGATCTACTACATAAAATAGCTATTAATTGTGCTCCAAAAAAACTCAAGGCATTCACATTGGCAAATTCTCTCTCTCTTATTTGTTTAGGGTTACTGCAGTGATCTGGATTCTCTGTGTGTAGCATATTGCTATGAAGCACTGCACATACAGAGTTTAAGCCCTTGGCCGCTGGAGGTGTAACTCCACCTCCAGCATCATCACCGGGGCGTCATTAGCCAGCACAGAACAAGACTTCTGGGGTGACTAATATCAATTCTGTGCATATTCCTATGCACAGAATGTTCATTCATTGGAAGAGAGTGTTCAATTGATGCTTTTAGTCAATGAATGACGACAGGATCTGCATTCGGCTTCTACAGCTCTTTGGTACAGGGTAAGAAGCCAAATAGTTTGCCCCATTACCAGGGAATAGGGCCAGGGTAAGTCTGGCACCATAACCACTATAGTAATGCTTTTATATTAAATGGAAAAACATTGTGTACAGGAACAACTGAGGACGGCAGCCTTTTATGTTTTTCTCACTGTGAGTAACCAAAGCATTATTCCTACTTTTTTTGTTATTGATTTGATAAGTATAGGACATTTTAAATAATAATAAGACTCTGCTATGCCAGACACATGCTTGGCTATATACTAAACTCCACATTTTCACAAATGAAAATCTGAGTGGAGAAATTGAAGCACTAATATCTGATCTGGCAAAAACAATACAGAAAAGGATATATTATATGTATAACTTTTATCGATAGCTAAAAAAACAGAGGGTTATATTACTATAGCAAGAGTCAACAAACCCACTAGTGATCTGATTACCTAGGTATAAGGTGTAGGCGTGTAGCCAGTGTAGCCAGTAATAAGGGAGCCTTGCCTGTTTTACTAAAAAAGGAAAAAGAGACATTGCAATATAAAGTTTTATTGTATTTAACTTCCAATATAAACAGGCTTCCCCACTGTGAAACACTAGCCTCAGTGTGTAAATCTATATAACCTATAAACCAATAAATATATACCTCGGCACTGAACAGGTGCCTACATAAATACCTAGATCAAAGTCTAATCTATATCCTACAGCTAAAACTGCTTACAAACCCTATATCTCGGCACAGGAGGGCAAACTCAACATATACCCACCAGATCAGCATAATCTCTCCAATCTATTACTAGAACAAAACTATATACAGTGAAAGGTGCTACCTATAGTGCAAAAAGAAACTAACAGATAAACTATTTTGTTGGGTGGCAATAGTAAATATTGAAAAATTCAACTGTCTCGCATATTATATATATTGTAGAACAGTTGCCACTCTAAGCACCTAGTGTGTCCATGTTGGTACATAAGACCCATTTGTCCTCTTAAGTAAGTAATTGTCAGGGTCATCAGCGTGCTATGCACTAATTATGAGTATTTGGGTCTGGCTGGGTTTGAACCTGGGTTTCCTGCATCCCACTCCACACATCTCTGGTCCTTTTCATGTGGTTCCTGGGTTCTTGCTGTCTGAGTTTCTATGTCTGGACTTGCACGCCTGTTCCTGATTGTGCTGATATTCACCTATACAAACCCTGTCCTTTTGGATACTCATTGTCAGATTGTTTGTTCCTGTTTGTTCCTGTTATTCTGACTCCTGGTTTTTGATCCTCTGCTCGTCCTTCGTATGGAACCAAAGGTCAGGACAGGCAGCAGACAGGCAGTCTGCTGCCTGTCCTGACCTTTGGTTCCATCATTGACTACGATTTTGGATATCCCTCGCTCCCCACGTGAATTATTGAGCCTTGGGCACCCATGATCCTGATACTAGTTGTCCTTCCTTGCACCATATTTGGGCAGTATTAACCACTGCATAGTGGGAAGATGCTCCATCCCAGTCATCTAGCCATTACTATTTGGTCCTTGCTAAACTCACTCAGATCTTTTCGCTTGACCATTTTTCTGCTTCCAACACATGAAATTCAAAAACTCACGGTTCATTTGCTGCTTGAAATATTTCACCCCCTGTCAGTGTTTTTATTTTATTTTGTGGCTGATTAGTGTATTTGTTATCTGTTTACTACTATTTATTTGTGTTAGTGTATCCCACTTACTCATTAATGAAAGCTCTTAAACGAAAAAGGGTGAGGAAAATGTTTCCAACTCTAGTCAGAACAGCTCTGTTACCTCAGTTTTAGGGTATTACACTAATTAACCCCCCCCCCCCACCTAAAAGTGCAAAAATACTAAAACACACGACTGAACCGCTTTAACCTCATCTCTGATATGAAAAACAATTACTGTCTGCTGCAGCTGTTTTTGCCATTTTTTATTTATTTTTTTTAGCTTTGCACACCTGTCCTTAAAACAGTATGACATGCACATGTTAAAATATACCGTTCGGTAAATTCTTTGTTTGCTAGTATTTCCCCAAGGTATGCAAAGAATTTGTTTTTAGAACATGATGCAAATATTTCCTGAATTGAAGAACTCCCACATACCCTTGGTGTGCTTTCTGCCAGTGTTAGACTACAATTCCCACACTGTGTTCCTACGATGCCAGGACAACAGAGGATTAGGGTTAATGTCCAGTCACCTGTCACAACCAATGTCACAATTTCTTGCCTTGGATGATGGTTACAATCATCGCACATCAGAAAAAGTATCTACACATGAACAACTGGATTGGGTTAGGTAGGGACAACACCATGGGCATTCATGGCATAGGGCAAGTGCCTGCCCCTTCCAAAATTTCCAGTGACTTAAATGGTGCCTATTAAGATTATTACTCCCAGAAACACAACAGAATCTGCTATAGACCCCAAACAACAACAAAATCTGTCCATGCACGTACACATCATCAGAATTCCTTATACATCCAAAAACAAAAGAATCTGCTCATATAAACCTCTCTAAGGATCTACCCAAACACCCTAATACCTTGATAATCTTACACCCTAAGACCCTGACAAAACCATGAGAACTGTCTAGTCGCCCAAAACCATCAAAACCTGCCCAAATCCCCTTAGACAATCATAGCATGACTCATGTTTTTTTATTTTGTGGCTAATCACTGTATTTGTTGTCTATTTACTACTCTTTGCCATGACCAGTAACATAGGCAGGGCTGGATTAATTTAGGGGCTAAAGGAGCGGAAGCTCCAGGCCATTGTGCATGGAATAGGCTCACTCACAGGGGAATTAAGTATGTACTCTTGTGCATGCATGAGAGTACAACACTGATGTCTATGGAGGATCCCGCAGGATATTTCCATAGATATTGTGTTGCAATTAGTGAGACAATGCCTTTTTCCTACAGCCGTCACTAGTGATGGCTGAAGGAATTGACAAAACTTCATGGTGGAGATCTGACTTTTGTCAACTAGTCAAGCTTAGGGAAAATACATAAGTACATAAAAAAAAAGTTATATCTAATTTGACTTATGATATCTTTTGATTGCTTTGGAACTGCAATGACATTTCAACACAGTCAATGTAAGTTTTTTTTATTTCATAAAGACGTTATCCTTACGAAATATTAATTTATTTTTATTTCGGAGGGGGGCCGCTTTAAACATGGTGGCCATGTATCTCACAATGCAATCCTATGCCAACACACACACACATCAATAATAGTTTACACCTCTATCCCAAAGGCTAAAATACTACTTACAATATAACATGTTCTACATATTTTCTGAAAATAGTGCCTAACAGTGTATAGGACAAATTCCTGCATTCCTGTTGTATTTGAACTATTTTAAGTTGTTAGTTTGTATGCATGTGATGACTGTGAAAAGGCAAAATGGGGTAGTAGGACCTCATTTGCAGACAAGTCCTCCCGCACTTACTTATGCACTGCCAAACCACCAGGCTCCATAGCTGAAATGCTATGGGATCAGAAACAAATGTCAGTAATTTTAATGATGCAAGTTCAGTGGCTGAAAGTCTGCCTATAAAGAAAGATTTGATGTTCCAAGTGAATGGAAGCAGAAATTTGGGTTCTGCATATAGGCATAACTCGGGAAAACATAATCTACCAGCCACGAGACTTCGTAAAGGTAACATAATACAAAGTATCTCTAGTCAAGAATCTGTCAGAACCCACGGGGTCCTTTGGGGGTTTACCAGTTTGGTGAATGCAGCCAAGCAAATTCATGGTCTATGCTGCCTATGGCCACATTATATTTATTTCTGCTCTGCAGGAAAGCGTGTAGGTCATCTAAGTCTAGGTGGAATAACAGAATAAAGAGGCAAACTAAAAGGGTAAAACATATACATTATTAAAAGGTTTTCATGTGAGCATGTGTTAAAGGGACACTGAAGCCACCCAGATCACTTCAGCCCATTAAAGTGGTCTGGGTGGCAACTTCCATAACCCTTAAACTGGCAAGTGTAATTATTGCAGTTTTTTATAAACTGCAATAATTACCTTGCAGGGTAAAGTCCTCCTCTGGTGGCTGCCTACCATACAGCCACAACAGGGACTTCCGGGTACTTAGACGACTTTTGGTCATCTAAACTACGCTGGACATCCTAACGCTGTGTATGAAGACATTTCCTCTTGTTTAGAGACACATTTCTGTGAGTATTATTGCTCAGTTATACACTCAGTCACACCAACAATACTGAGCTCCGAGAAAATTGGAACATTAGGATCGAAAAAAGGGATTTGAACTTAAAATATGGACTGCCCTCTCAAATAGGGACACTTGGAATGTATGTAGTAGCACAAGGCTCTGAAACTTGAGCAGGAAGGGTTGACAACACACAGGGCTCTGCATAGGAATAGAAAGTGCTATGGAGGAGGCACAGCTTAATGTAGTGGTTCTGGTGTCTAGCCTGTCCCTGCAGGCCTTTTAATGTAAATACGGCGGCACTGGTGTTAGTTAACATGGCAGATCATATGGGTGGGGCATTGTGATGTCACATGGGGGGGCGGCAATCTTTACTTTTGCCTAGGGCGGCAAAAATCCTTGCATCGGCCCTGCAGACACTGCATCCCTGTGGGTGGATTTGGTGAGCACTTTGGGCAGACTCGGGTGCAGGCACCGGGGGGCCCAGACCTTGAGCTGTGTCCGGGGCCCCAACATTTCTGATGGCAGCCCTGGTAACATTTATCCTCTGTGATGGATTAAACAGGAGCGTGTATGAGGCACTGTAATGTTTGGAGCACCTGCCCATGATGGCCCATGCTTAATTGCACAATATCATTAGTATATTATGGACATTGTCAACACTGGCATCACTAGGAGAGTGCCGACCACACCGGATGACATCAGAATTTAGGGAACAAATCCATCTGTACCTCTTTTCTATCCTAATGTCCCTTTTTTCTAGGAACTCCATTTTGTTGGTATTTCTCAGTGTATAACAGAGCTTTACAGTAATACATACAGTAATGTGTATTTGAACTACAATAGATATGTTTAGAAACCAGTCTGTATGTGTAAATAAGTTCCATTGTTCTTGTTCATGGTTACACTTAAGTTATACATTGCTATTAGTAAGTCACCTACAATTTCTCAGAACAGCCTGCTCCCACTCACATACACAAACACTCATACTCCTAAAACTAAAGTGTCCCTCTTTGTCCATTTGAAATGTTGGTAGATATGCATAACCCCTGTGGTGATGTATCAGGTAGCTTATTGAAGTACATCAATATAAGTTTTCGAACAGTGGTTAATCCTCAAAAAAATGACATTAACCTAATAACATAAGTTTCTAACAGACGTAGACAAAATCAAAAAGCACTGCAGAATTATTATTATTAGAATTTGTATAGCAACAACATATTCCACTGCGCTTTACCGTTATAGAAAGTGGGTTTTTAGTGGTAAAGAATACCCTGCTCAATCTAGTTTATAATCTGTAAGGATTTGAGGTAGGCACATAGTAGATACATTGTTCGTTGTCTTGCTCAAGTACACTTATTGTAAGGTGGTCTGACCGGGATTCGAACTTGGATTGAATGGAGAAACTGAGCTCACCAACACTAGACATTGCCAACAAAAAAAGTACCCAGATAAGTTATAAATACATACATACATACATGCAATATTAGGCAGACAAAGAAAGCCTAGCTCATCTCCTTGATACCGCAGTTATAGGAATAGCTGTTTGTGTAGTGGGAGGGTTGGTGGGTGGGAGACTGAGCATCATCACTACCACCAGGTCTGGTCATACAGAGAATAACGCTCCACAACAACTATGGAAAACAATCGTTGCCTAAACTAAAAATGTTTAATAAAGAATCTTATAAAAATGTTTTTATACATAACTGTCTTAAGCCCCAAACACAACCTATAGCCCCAGAAGGTTATAGAGATAAATCCTCTATTCCTTGTGTCTTCAGATAACGTCCGGAGATTTGAGAAGTGTGGACCGCAGATGATTGCCGTATGCGTTGTTGGCTGCTTATCATGTTCCTGTCAGGGTCCCGTGGGCGGCTGCGAGGGGAGGTTGCAGTCCGCTCGTGGAACTCACCCTCCAGCCGTCCGCGGTCCCCTTCCTGGCGTGCGCTCGGTGGGCGGCATCCTCCCAGCCACGGATGCCGCCCGCGTCTTCCTCTGTGTCCCCCAGCGGCAGCATGCATGACGCTGCACGCTGGGAGACCGCCCATTTTAACAGACGCCGGGGTCAGTCACCTGACCCGGCGTTAAAGGCACAGTGCCTCAATCACAGAGGGAGGTTTAGATATCTCCCACGTGTGATTGTTAATTCTGATTGGAAATTATCCAATCAGAATTAACCTATGGATTTAAATACTTACCTTTCCTGTTCCTCTCCGCCCTGTTGTGGTCTTTACTTGCTAGTATTGCTACTGAACTTGTGTTTCTGGTTACGTACTCTCTGGCTTGTTTATCCGACTTTTTGACTTTCTCCTACCCTTTGACCTCGGCTTGTCTATCGTTATTCTGTCTTCTGGTTCCCCTTTACTCGGCTTGTTTCCTGACTATTCTTTGTGCGCTTAGCCCGGCCACTCTAAGGTCCGGTACTGCACTTTGTGTGTGTGTGTTGGCGTGTTTGGTTCCCCGAATCGTGACAGTTCCACGTTATGTATAATAATTCTCCATCTCATTTCGCTCTGTCTTTGTCATTTCACTTTGTAGAAGATACCCATTTGTCCGTCCACAGGAATAAGAGCAAATTTAACTAAAGCCCAGTAATGCACAGGAACAGTATAGCATGTAATCATACTTCTCAAAAGAGAAAGTGAGGAGTAAACCATTGATGATCAAGGTTGCTAATTGCTAGTTGTCTTTTCTACCAGAGAATTATCTAAAGCAGTGGTTACCAATTCCCTAAATCCCAATTACTCTGTTGTGTCCAAGGTGGTTTTTTTCTTTCTTTTTTTTCTAAAAACACCTTAGATACAACTGGGTAAACACTAAATCCTGGACTGGTAGGGGTTCCATGAGGACTGGGTTGGGAACCATTGATCTAAAGTAATCTTTACTATTTCTCTGACGAAGATATATCATATGTGCAAAAAAAGAACCCTACCTGCCAAAACACATACAAACCAATGCATGCCATTTACACCCACAGGGCAATGATGTATGAAACAAATGGGAGACCCACCTACAAAGAAATAATGATCTGATGATGATTGTTTAACCCCTTAAGGACACATGATGGAAATATGCAATCATGATTCCCTTTTATTCCAGAAGTTGTGTCCTTAAAGGGTTAAAGGAGAATACACTTGGTTTTCAGCTATGGAATATCAACCTAAAAGATGGCCAGAGCTTTAATATAAACAGCTTGTATATGAAATAGCAAACTAAGGCAAATTCAGTTATGTAGATTAAACTTATAGACTTGTCAATTCAACAAAATAGTGCATGAATCCCTTGATTTTAGACAGAGCAGGTGATGGGAAATAGGGGAAGACCTCCCAGGAGAAAAGAAATGACTACGAGGAAATCAAAACTGGATTTTAATTTGTTATTTGATGTTCTAAGCCAATCAAATTATGGCAAGCATTCAAATCATAGCCATAGAATAGAAAATGCCCGGATGTTAATAGAAACAAAATAATGGCAAACTTATATCTGCATAACATACAGACTTTCTAGGGGAATAAGAAGGAAATTCGTCATGTCCTATACAATCCACATATATAATAAAAACATTTTTAAAGCACCATAAATCTAAACTCTCTGTAGTGATTATGGTGCCTGGAATTCCGTGCCAATCAGCTTTCCCTGCACAGCAAGGTTACTTACTGTGCAGGGAAAGCTGATTGGCAGGGAATTCCAGGCACCATAACCACGACAGAGAGCTTAGAACTCTGTAGTGGTTAAGTGTTTGAAGTGTTCCTTTAAGGCTACATTTTATATAAACCGATTTGAAATAATCCAAGACTACACTAACACAAGACTATTTTAAATTTACTATTTTTAATATGCCTGTCTTAATTGTAGGAATATTTCCTTCTGTTTCCCATCTTTATTATTTTAACTCTCCCTATCCATTTATTTCCTTGAACATATGTTATACATTTGTATGTTATTTCATAGTATTATGTGTATGTTCCTTGTTTCTCAAGTTCAAGAAAGATCAATGACATGATTGCATTTTTCTAAAAGGATTCAGAAACATTTAAGATATTTTAAAAACATTTAAACTTGCCTTTTAGGTGTTTAAATGCAAGGTATTTTAACTTTTACGACTGCATTTTTTCTTTTTCTGTTTTTAGCATTTTACATATGTTAAAGGGACTCTTCCATGCATACCACAACAGAATCTCATTTTATTCTGCTAGCATTTTTTCTTAAATCCAAGTGTCGTGCTACTGGATCTCACACCATGTCCGTAAAATAATAAAGATCTAGTAACTAGTCATATCTTAAAGAAATACTCCAATAAAAAATGTGTATTTTTTTTAACAATTTATTAGGCATACCTCCAATGAAAACATACATGTTGAGAAGCCTCTGCTTTTGAGCCTCTAGCACACACAAGCTCTGGCACTGTTGTCATGCCAAGTTCTCCAAGCTGAAAGCCAGGGATTCCGCAGACAGGGAGACAGTGGACTCAGTAGAACTAGCGGAATCTCAAAGAACAGCCAGAGAGGCTTTCTTCCAGATTCTGTTAGTGTGTCTGAAATGAGTTATAAAAGTGCACATTTCAAATATAAAATCACCACTTTTATACACTGCAATTAAGAAGAGAAGAGATGCTCCTGACAAGCTGAAGTGAGCTTAATATTTTCCCCCTCCTTCGCTTTCCCTGCAAGTTGATGGTACTTGCATCAGTCCGTCCTTGCAAGCTTGTTGTCTTGGTGTTATCTTTGATCCTGGCCTCACCTTTGCACCTCATATCCAGTGTTGCTAATACCTGATTTATTCTACCTTAAAAATATCGCCCACACCGCCCCTTTCTCACGCAAGATACTGCCAAGGAGCTTGTTCATGCTCTGGTAATCTCTTGCATGGATTACTGTAATTCTCTTCTAGTTGGTCACCCCAGAAGCCGAACTGCCCCACTACAATCAGTAATGCATGCTGCCACCAGGCTGATTTGTCTCACCCGTCACTCCTCCCATACCTCACCACTGTGTCGATCCTTACACTGGCTTCCTGTATCCTATAGGTGTCAATTCAAAATACTAACCCTTCCCTCTAAAGCTCTAACCATTTCTTCCCTAATTCATAGATATGCCCTTTCTCGGTCTCTCTGCTCCTTCGGTGACCTTCTCCTGTCCGCTGCTTGCACTCTTACTGCTAACTCCTGCTTGCAGGACTTCTCGCCTCCCTTCCTTTGGAACAGTCTGCCTTCCGCCATCAGACTCTCCCCTAGTCTTCAACTGTTTAAGAAGTCCCTCAAAACACATCTGTTCAGAAATGCTTATGGACTCCTACAGTAATAGATATATTCATCGCCTTTATCTGGTATTCAATAAAGTCCCAGGAAGAAACGCCATTGAAAGTGATCATTTCTCAAGATATATATCCATGTATGGCAGATTTCAAAGTGCAAAGAAAATTAGAAAAATGGCTACTTCTGGAAAAATGAAAGGGGGGTGGGGGGCAGCAATAAATAAATAAATAAATAAACAACTAAAAATTAGTTGGATGTGTCGGTGCCACGCGTTCACTAACTTTGCTTCTTCACCTGATTCTCGAACAGCTGACAAGGAGTGAGTAAACTAATTAATATTGTTTATCTTTCGGGGTAGCAAAATCAAAATCTGATGCTTTTCTTTGTCTTTTTGTGTGGGTTCTGGAGGAGAAACATGCAGAAGGTCAGTGTGCCAATCCTGCACTATAGTAAACTACGCTTCTTAAGTTAAACAACATACAAAAACTATATCACCATATGTTAATGTTTCCAATTTCAAACATAACAAAAAATATATTTTCGTTCATTATAAGTCAACTGTCTTTAAAATCAACTATTTGGGCCCTAACATTTGAAATTAACTTTGGATTCCTGACAATTTACACTTTAGTCAATGACCTCGTTCAACTGCACAAAAAAATTGCATATTCTGACTACGGAACTCTGCCACGAATGTAGGTGTCTGGATTCTAAACGCCACCTTTGCATCAAAGTATAAAGATAACAACATCCTGGTGACTCCTTTTTGTTTGTATAGTTCTGCACATCTTTCGACAACTCAAGTGAAAGGTTTATTTTGTCAGCGGTGAGTGCTTCTAATGAATATATGCAGATATACTACAGATACACGGTACACACACCGCTGACTGAGGGTCATATCATTTACCATCGAAGACTCTGTTCCTTGTCCATGTCAACACCGTGGTTACGACATCACTGTCATAGTTTAGCGTCTTCTCCTAATTCCTAAATTTATTATCACAATATCCAAAATATTGTAACAATTTCAGGACAATCTATATTCTATACACACACACATGTTCACAAGGGTCATTCCATGCACAAATACGTGATTTCAGACAAGCGACAGGGTATGCATCCCTTGTTACTCTGGTTCATGACACCATGTCTATTAGCAGAGCATGTCAGCTCCCATGGCTCCCTACAACACTGGTGACATCAAACCCCTAATCCTTAGCCTAATAAAAGACCAAATATAAACAGCGCTAAAATTCATGATGCAGTAACGCCTGGTGTTACTTGTAAAGGCGAAAAGATGTACACACTATTGGTATATTAATTATGACTGAACCCTGACTAATGGGATGGAAATTACACAATTTATGGATTAACTTTATCAATTACCATCATGGAAGAGCCAATGTGCCAGGATACAGGGGTATTTAAGATTACGTCTGACTCAGTTGAGATTAAGGGTATTTCAGAAGTGGGATTGTTAGCAATTAGTACTAATGTGTTGGAAAAGCCAGCAAAGTCGCTGCTCCGGTCTAGAGATCAATGTGACCTATTGAACACAACAGCTGCCTTGCTGGAGGTATAGGGAATTAAATCCAACAGGGTGTGGACTACTTGTTCAATATTTGTGTATACAAATGTGGGTTTGCAGGTAGGGAAATCGCAAACGATTACTCAACAGAACACGTAGGCCACAGTCACCAACAAACTAGTTTACTGTCAATATTTATAATTTCTACATAATTATCATACAGAGAGAAACCTATTCTACACCCACTAAATAGGTGTCGGCCATTTACCATATTAAAAAAAGTAATAAAGTGCAAGCTCAGGTGGCCAGATTCTGCTTCTGTCTGCCTCTGTATTTTTAAAATCCTAAATAGATTTAAGTGTAAATCGAATAAACGATGCGTAAAGAAGGAAGCAAAGAAGGGAGGAAGGGAGGAAGGAAGGGAGGAAGGAAGGAAGGAAAGAAGAAAGGAAAGAAGGTAATTGACAGAGGGAGAATTTAGAGAGGCACAAGTGATGGAGAAGAAAGACTCGAGGGAAATATAACATAAATAAAGGGAGGGCAAACGGGATTTTTGCCAGGGCAGTAAAAGTTCTTGGATTGCCCCCAGAATAAACATGTCAACACAAAATAACTATATATGATATTTGTGAATGTTCGCACAGCAATTTAATGCAACTTATTTGATCACACATCATATTTCTACCAAAGATGCATCCAACAAATAGAACCACAAGCAAGCAAAAATGGGAAAAAAATATATGAAATCTGTAATGTGTTCTTTTACATGGATACTACAAGCACCATAACCTCAGCATGTTATTGTTAAGGTCTGCGGTGCTACGAATCTACGCAATAATAATAAAGGGGTTATTCATGAAACTAGCAATTTGCTGGGAATTGACAGGGTAATATCGTCCAGTTCAGCTATCCCGGCCTAGAATTGGAACTTGCTTTGGCTAATCTCTTCATTTCTCAGTTTAGTAAATGTATTTATTTATTTATAAAATATTTTACCAGCAAGGATACATTGAGATTGCTCTCATTTTCAAGTATGTCTTGGGTACATTGCATCATTATAATAGGGTACAATATTACAGGTGCATTCTGTATTGAGGTATGTTGCAATAGCTCTCATGAAAGATTTAATATTGAACCCATTGTACAGCGCTACAGAATGTGCTGGTGCTATATATAAATAATATTATAATAATAATAATGGAAATTTGACCTCAACGAGCATTCAATGTCTGATTCAAACTGGGATCCAAATCTTACAAATCTGTTTTGTGTTTGAAGAACACCTGTACAGCACAGGTTTGTATTAATTTCATGAAAACATATTAACAGGACCTTCCATAACCAATGGCATATCTCAGGCGGATTGGCCTGTCTTACTGTTTAGACCTCCAAACAAGTATGATGAGACACACAGAATTCCTGCTGCTTCTAAATGAATTCTAAAATTCTAGCACCCAATATCAAGGTGTTAAAAAATTTAGCGTGAACAAGCACAGAGAAAATTTACAAAACTGTCAAAATGTGAGTGGGAATGATCTATACACTAAAACTGCTTTATTTAGCTAAAGTAATTTAGGTGACTATAGTGTTCTTTTAATATTGAACCCATTGTACAGCGCTACAGAATTTGCTAGTGCTATATATAGATAATATAATAATAATAATAATAATGAAAATTTGACCTCAACGAGCATTCAAGGTTTGATTCAAACTGGGATCCAAATCTTACAAATCTGTTTTGTGTTTGAAGAACACCTGTACAGCACAGGTTTGTATTAATTTCATGAAAACATATTAACAGGACCTTCCATAACCAATGGCATATCTCAGGCGGATTGGCCTGTCTTACTGTTTAGACCTCCAAACAAGTATGATGAGACACACAGAATTCCTGCTGCTTCTAAATGAATTCTAAAATTCTAGCACCCAATATCAAGGTGTTAAAAAATTTAGCGTGAACAAGCACAGAGAAAATTTACAAAACTGTCAAAATGTGACAAAGTGGAGAAATCATCACTAACAAAACATCCCTGGAGATTTCACACGTTTTAATGTCACTCCAGTTTTAGAAAGTTACCTCACTTTTCTATTGTCAGCTCTACTACAAATCATCCCTATTGTGTTTCTGTAAAATAAATCCTGAATGCCTAACACCGTGACCCAGTTGGCTTTAAACCAAAACAGTGGCTCATAAAGTGCATGGCTCAAATCCCAGCTAAAGCAACGTTTCACGAAAAATAATCACAAATTGACAAATCTATCAACTTTAATACCAGAGAATAACTGATTATTCTAAAATCACTGACCGTGATCATGTTTTGTTTACCCCTTAAGGACCAAACTTCTGGAATAAAAGGGAATCATGATTTGTCACACATGTCATGTGTCTTTAAGGGGTTAAAGATACAACGTTAAATAAAAAATACCTGCAGAATATATATGTTTATTGCAATCAATGTTGGTGTAAACCATATACATATATACTGCAAATAAATAGTACATCCCCTCCCACGCACTGATTTAGGCTGCAGAAGCATCATGGGAGTTGTGTTTCTGCAATGGATAAAGTTCTTGTTTTGTCCATTTAATTTGAAAGAGCAACCTCAGTCAGCTGCCCCTGAATCATACTCAAAGCTCCAGCAATAGCCCTGACTTGGGTTGCTGTAGCCCACTCCCCCACTAGCGCTGCTGTAAACCAGCTCTCCGTGTAATAGATTGCTGCCATTCCACCTGCTATGACTGTGAAATACAATGCTCATTATACTCAGCCAGCCATAATGTAAGCCCAGTATGTCTCCTTTAACCAATAATTCCCCAGTTTGGCACCTAGTAACATTGTGGTAAACACTGTATTACAGTTCCAAGCACTAGCTGACTGGACCTGGAACTCAATGAGAGATGTTATGAGATATGTAGTCCATGACAAGAGGAACGATACTTGAGGATTATCATTTGGATATTTTATTGGGGCAAGGGAAGGGTTGATGGCTGAGCATATTGTGAGTTAAACCCCACTGCAGCTAGGGCGACACAGACTAGTTATATTATGTCACAGACAGTCCTGTTGGTGGCTGAGTATACTGTGAGTTATACAGCAGTTAGAATGACACATACTGGCTATATTATGTCACAGACAGTCCTGTTGGTGGCTGAGTATACTGTGAGTTATACAGCAGTTAGAATGACACATACTGGCTATATTATGTCACAGACAGTCCTGTTGGTGGCTGAGTATACTGTGAGTTATACAGCAGTTAGAATGACACATACTGGCTATATTATATCACGGGCAGTCCTGTTGGTGGCTGAGTATACTGTGAGTTGGATCATACAGCAGTTAGAAGGACTGATACTGGCTATATTATGTCACGGACAGTCCTGTTGGTGGCTGAGTATACTGTGAGTTGGATCATATAGCAGTTAGAATGACAAATCCTGGTTTTATGATGCCCCAGACTCCCCCATGTCACTCAGTAACCTTACCTGACTCTTTCCTTCTCAGTCCTACACAGCTCCTCGTCCCTCTCCAGCACATGCAGGATTTTGTTGGCTTCCTCCTCGTCTAGGAAGCTGAGATCCAGGCTGCCTGTTGCTGGTTTAGTCATTGTCCTTGAGGGGAAGGTTATTAACACTTTGTGTGTGTGTCTTAATTAGGCTGGCATTGCTCCGGCTTGGGTTCCTGTGCCAGACAGCTGTGTTGAAGTAAGATCCCTGCGGGGAAAGCAGGCTTGTGTAAGGATCCTTCTACTGCTGAAACACCTGCAGACTGGAACAGAACACACCCACTGACTGACAGGCAAACTAGCCAATTGGAATGTAGGAAATTGCACTGAGTCAGAGAAAGGACCAATCAGCATTGAGGGAGGGAGAGCGCTCACTGTGCCACTGACACATTGTAACCAACACCTGACACTGTAAGTAAGAGTTGTCAATGGAGCAGGCACTGATGGTTTGTGTACCAACAGCCTTAACATTATAGCAGTCAATCAATTAAGTCAATAAGTGTAATAGCAATTAATATTTAAAATGTATTTAAAATATAATTATCTCATTAACAGTGTTTACTTTTTATTTGTCCTTGGGAGAAGCCTTAATGTAATTTTTCATGTAAAGAGGAATTCATCCCTTAATGGAACATGTCTATCCAGGGTTACTGAGCCAGCCTGGCCCCTGAGGGTCCTTCAGAGATGCATTGTGATTGGAGGGCTATGTAGCCATCCAATACAAATCATGATAAGCACTACTTGCAGTCATTGGCATTTATAAATGCTCATCTTTGCCACCCAGCTGAGCTACCAAGGGTCTGGAAGACTCCCCATCAGTTATTAATTATTAATTTATTAGAGAATTATTATGGACTTTTGATTAAAACAGAGGCTGGGATTTGGAGTGTAACATGCCCAGGGACAGATCCAGACGCCAAACTCAGGAGGGGCACCGCTGGATTTTGTGACAAATTCAAAAAGGCAGACACATACATACACACAAATATAAATAGACACATTTACCAATATTATATAGAGACAAATATCCACACACATTTAAGCATGCAGCTTCTGCTATGACACTGATGACCTGCATTAATTAAATGCCCCCTTTGCCTGTTTGAGTAGCAGGTGGTGAACCTGACAATTTATCAATAACCTGGACGCAGGTATTTTTTAAGCAGAGTGGAAGTGACCCCCCAGTTACCCCCTGCTGCCAGCCATCTGCCTATGAATATGCCTGATCTAGGGATTTCTTTGCAATCTCTCAATTTTGTCTACCCATTAGCAAGCTTTGAGCCGGTTAGTTTGGTTATCCTTTTTTTTAATGACTTTATTGCCTTTTGGATCTCAGGGCAGTTACTTTAATGGATATTTTTTTTCATCCCTATGAGTGTAACACTCAATGGCTGGAGGGTGTTTTTAAAGAAAGGTATTTGTGGAAGTAACTTGCTCAACTCCCAGTGATATTTGTCAGACCAGATCTGTCTTCAGGTGACAGTGATAAATCTCACATCTAATACTAAATTAAATAATACATTTCCTGTTCAAATAATGCCAAATCATTGGCAAAGCAGACACAAATAGCGAAGTTACTATAAAAATTCTACCAATGGCATTTGAAGGGTGCGTTCACTTTCATTTCACCTTTCACACCGAAATATAGTGAAAGGTCTTAATAGCTGTAACCCAATCTCTCAGCTTGAAATACAAATCCTTTAATCTACTAATGAGTAAGAAGGAATGCGGTATATCTTTTAGATTAACCTGTAAATCATCATTTTTTTTCAAACCGTGAACGAAGGATTTAATATGGGGTATGATGATAACATTGTGTGAAATTTAATGTTAAGGACATGACATTAAATTATTTACCTGTTTTCTTATGAAGGAAATAGTTTAACTTCTTTTGGCGTTAGAGTGTTGTTATACCAGATTTGCAGCCAATTTTACATTTTTCTTGTAAGTAAGGCATTGCAGTAGACAGATACATCCCAGGATAGTTGCTAAGAGCCAAACATTACTGCTGTGAAATTAGCACAGAACTGAATTAGTGCCATTGGGACTTACTCTCAACAAAACCCGTAGGCGGTGAGTTTCCCAGGCTGGAATTTATAACAGAATACAATTCATAGAGCGTTTATACCCAAGGCTAATGCACAAAGACACATAACATGGTTTAACGATTACAAACACGGCTCATTGAATAGTGAAAACAGGTAACACGGTCCGACAAGTCATCTTTCATCATATTTCATTAATTCAGAAGGGTTTGGAAACCTACACACAAACAAGGCAAGTTACTCCTTTCTGTGCAAACACTTTCCCCTCATTTTAGGTTTAATATTACACCCATGCACACTGTCAAACAAAATCAAGTGTTTCCATAAACTCTGGAATGATAGAGCCTCTCCATTTACTAGATAACTAGATGGAAACATGAAACAGTTCAGAACTTGTACAAACAAGGATTGAAGATGTTCTAAAGGAGATGGATGGTTGGGTGGTTGGATGGATGGACAGGTGGGTGGATGGATGATGTGTGGATGGATGGGTGCATCGTTGGATGGATGGGTGGATGGATGGATGAGTGAGTGGATGGATGATGTGTGGATGGATGGGTGCGTGGATGGATGGGTGCATCGTTGGATGGATGGGTGGATGGATGGATGAGTGAATGGATGGATGATGTGTGGATGGATGGGTGCGTGGATGGATGGGTGCATTGTTGGATGGATGGGTGGATGGATGGATGAGTGAGTGGATGGATGATGTGTGGATGGATGGGTGGATGGATGGGTGCGTGGATGGATGGGTAGGTGGGTGGATGGATGGATAGATGGATGGACTAGGGGATGGATGAATGGATGGATGGGTAGGTGGGTGGACAAACGGATGGGTAGACAGGTGGATGGACAGACAGACAGATAGATATTTTTTACACCGCCAACCCGGTACCTTATGAGTTATTTATTGCATAAAAGTGGGAGTGTTATGGTTTGGCTACCCATCATACGCTAAATAGTAATTTAAATAAATAGACATTGTGTGATAAGTGTTTACTAGGTCAGTTAGATGTTTTAAATATTGTAAATGTTTATGGAGGCAGATAACCTACCATATATACTCGTGTATAAGTCGATCTCATGTATAAGTCGAGTGCAGTTTTGTGACCAACAATTGTAAAATATGCTATGCCTCGTGGATAAGTCGAGGGTAAAACTTGGGGCTATGAAATTCTGTGATTTTTATAATTATATACACACACACTCATACAAACACACACTCTGCATTATATACACACACACTCATACAAACACACACTCTGCATTATATACACACACACTTATACAAACACACACTCTGCATTATATACACACACACACTCATACAAACACACACTCTGCATTATATACACACACTCTGTGTATATAATGCAGAGTGTGTGTTTGTGTAGTGTGTGTGTGAACTGGGTGGGGGGAGGGCATTTTTTATTATTTTATTTATTTTTTTAATATTTTTTTTTATTTTTATTATTTTAAAAAAAAAATTGTCCCCCCCTCCCTGCTTGTTAACTGGTCAGGGAGGGGGGTTATCTTAATCCCTGGTGGTCCAGTGGCATGGGCTGTGAAGTGGGGGGGCCGGCAGGAGGCATTTACTTACCTTTCCTGCAGCTCCTGTCAGCTCCCTTCTCCTCCGTTCCGGTCAGCTCCACTGTAAGTCTCGCGGTCTGGTTGCCGCGCGGATCGTTGCCATGGCTCTGACGGCCGCGGCTCTCTAAGTTGCCATAATACAGACAGTGACTCGAGTATAAGTCGAGTGGGGGTTTTTAAGCACAAAAAATGTGCTGAAAAACTAGACTTATACTCGAGTATATACTGTAACTCAATTCTGATACATCGGATCTGTAGCTGGTGTAGTGACCTCTTCAACCTCATGTGATTAAAGAAAAAGCTTTTGGTTTTCGGATTTAAAAAGATTTTACAAACACATGGGGAGAGTATGCTATCTTTTACGTTATTATTTATGTTAATTATGTGCAATGCAATTAAGAAAATATCTCAATGGCAAAAATAAATGATGGACTAAAAGGTAGAGTGTTGGGAATTTTACCACATGACAGGAGGCTTCATATTTTGCTTAATCTTTCTTTACTTACTCCATATAGCCGTAAAAAAAAGTAATGAGAACTGAGAACCAATCAAATACAAGCAATGTATATGAGGTATGTATAACTTAATCACTTCCTCTTTCTTTGCTGCTCCATCACAAGTTAAGTATAGAGATTTTGGTTCTCCTCTCTTTGTCCTTTCTTTATTCATTTTCTCTACTATTACTTCTATTTATTACCTTTGTTTGTTTTGTTGCCTTTATTTATCTGGGTATCTTAGGGTGGTTTCAGTTTATGTCATTTAGTGTTCTCTGCTTTTCTATTGCTATACTACTTGCTCCTACTTCTCCCCCTTTCTTGAGGACCTTAGGGCTTCTCTTCCCCTTCCCTCCCGGGTCTTCCCTCCTTGTTTGGGAGTCCTGGGCTTTTCTCCCCATATGTTTTACTCCAGACCACCATTTCCTGTTGGGTTGCTGCCTGCATGCGCGTGGGTATCGTTAGGCAAACAGGCCCCGACTTGCAAACGTTCCCTTTCTGGCAAATGTTTGCGGGCCAACCGCTGTATTGGCGTTTGTCTGCGAGTGTTCGCGTACGTGACCCGAACAAGATGCGTTCGGTGGTTTCAGTGCGTACGCCCACAGAGATCTTCTCTTGCGCGAACGCTTGAGACACATGCTTTCGTGGGCGAGCATTTGAACGCTTAAGTTAGACTATTTCTTTGTACCAGTTCATGCATTTCCCATTTCCCATTTGAGTATAACCATATACCTGGAAGGGAGACACCTGTCCTGATGTAAGCTGTGGGAAATATCCCTCTCAAGTGGAGCTATGCAAACCCAGAGCCAGGCGTGATAGGGCTCTGGTACATGTGAGTTCTCTCCCAGACACACCCCTGTATTTTTTCTTTAGTGTAATCAGATAGTCTGCACTATTTATCTTTATTATTTTTTTCAGATTATATATTGAAGATACTGTATAGATTGCAGATGTGAGCGCACTCTGTATTTTGGTATCTATTTCTATTGTGTGTCACGTAGTGTCACTTTGGGGTAGTGCAACTGCACTGCATATACTCTTCTCAAGCGCTTTTACATTTTTTGCTTTTTTACCTCAGACCACCATTTCCCGGTGGGTTGCGGCCTGCGTGCGAGTGGGCATCTATATCTTGTTCGGTGAACGGGACCGTCTTGCAAAAGTTTCCTTTCTGGCAAACGTTCGCGGGCCGTCCGCTGCACTGGCAAATGAATGCTTGATATTCTGGCGTTCGTCAGCAAGTGTTTGCGTATGCGGGCCCAACGTGATGCATTCGGTAGTTTCCGCGTGTAAGCTCACAGAAGATCTTCACTCTCGCAAACACTTGAGACACAAGCGTTCGCGGGCAAGCATTCGAACGCTTCAGTTAGACTATTTCTTTGTACCAAACATACATGAAAAATAGGCAGAGTGCAGTTGGTTCTTTGGTAGATGGTATTAATGTAAACTGTAAAAGACAAAGAACATAGCCAAATCCTAGTGCAATACAATCTAATATGAATATATGAACAAGTAAAACAATCTTTTAGTCTTGTACTCACAAGGATAGAGCCAATATGGGTAGGCTCAATATATAGGTAGATGGGAATATTAGTAGGGATCTCACTCCCTTACTTAGTGTTGGTGAGTGTTCTGATCCACCCAATAAGTCCACTGAGCGTGAATGGCGGTAGAAGGAAATATTTTATTGATGAAAAAACAAAACTAAATTACATAAACAAAATGTATAAAATAAGTGCAAAGTCTGGAAAGTAACTTGCAAGACGCGTTTTGCCTGTTTCATAGGCTTCCTCAGTTGCTTGTAGTATTCTCTGATGATCATTTTTTTTATATCTCTTTCCTAATTGCTTGTTGAAGTCACCTGGTGCCTCTTTGTCTGATTTCTGTCTCTCCTGTATGACGTCTCTCCTCGCCCTGAGAAGGCCAAGTGCACAGCAGAGGGACAGGAGGCACAGAGGGAGTCAGGGAGGCTGCAAAGTTTAACTGTTACCATATCAACAGCAATCACACTACTAGGCTGGCAGCTCCACTCCACCTTGTGGGACTTTAACCTAGCTGTTGCCGGCATAGGCTGAATGACACCCAAGCATTGCCTCATTTCCCCTCATGTTTAAATGGACACTTTAGTCACCTGAACAACTTCAGCTTAATGATCTTTACTACAAAAGAAATCCCTGGTGGGGATTATTCCACCTACGCCTGGTTCATAGAACAGTGTGGCTGCTCTGAACACTGTAAGTACTTTTCATTTTACCTTTCACTGCTATTTTTATATGGTAAACACTATGGGCCCTCTCTTGTGATTCTTATTTCATAAGACCGGCACTGCAAGCATCGCTAGAAGGATATCCTACATGTGGGGAGTTTAAATACCACTGTATGCTGTTTTACTCAGAGCTGGTTATAGCTCTCCCAATTGTAAGTTGGCACTCTAAGGACCTCAGTTTTGTCTGTTGTTGCAGTTAACCTACGTTATTGCACCATTGGTTTTTCCCCCTTTTATGTATTTTATATGCTGACGCTTATCTGGAATGCTGTAAGAAGTCTTGAGGATACACCTCCAAGTGTCCAGTTATATCCTACATGTGGGGATTATTTAATACCACTGTATGCTGTTTTACCTAGAGCTGGGCATAGCTCTTTATATTGTGAGTTGGCACTTCTCTACTTCTATGTTGTTCGTGATCCAGCTTTCCTAAAAACGGTTTTGCACTATTGGTCTCTGTTTCTGCTTTTGTATTTCATATTTACCACTGAGGATTCAAAGCAAGGACTGAAGAATATACACTCTAGGTCTTCATTGTACTTTAAGAGACTCTTTATATTATTGCTGATTTTTGTTTATTATCTCTCATTGTCCAACTTAGCGCACCCTGTATTTCTTGTATCTTGTTACCACATGTCAGCAGACTGCTTGTTTTTCTGAGTCTAACGGCATGCAGATTTACAGCTTCAGACTTGAATACAGTAAGATCTTTACTATATTTATGGAGGCATGAGGGGCCCAGTGGGGCTAGATGGTGGGGTTAATACTATAGGGTCAGGAATACATGTTTGTGTTCCTGACCCTATAGTGATCCTTTAACCTAGCTGCTCGATTCTATTTTATACTCTGCCTCCCTTTGAATCAGTTTCCTTTAAGTTGACACATCAGGCCTCATACTGTTCTGCTCTGGTCTGTTGTACCTTAATGCTGACCTGTTGTTGCTGTTTTTCCTTTTATTTTCATCTCATTTTATTAACTCATATATCTACACCAAACAGATACTGAGCGCAGTATAGCAGGTTCATAATTAGCATGTAAATTCAAGCTCATAACCCTTATCTCCTGTGTAGCTAGCCTTATATGTAGTGAGCCTGTTATTAACTTCATGTCTGTCTAGCCAGTTTCAAGCATTTTTATCTTCTTAGAGCTTAATCACAAAATGGCTGTGGCAAACGTGCCAACGCCATGAGCTCCTGGAGGAGCCTGCTAGCTAGCCTCCTGCCCAAGGACCATGGGCCGTATCCAAAGACCCTGTTTGGGAGTTAAATTAGCAGCTTTCCCGGGGGGGGCCCGTGGTTTGGCACTTTTCGCTCATTCTGTCAGGATTACCAGTTGATCCAGCATATAGAACTGTATCACACCTAGGACTAACAGTCTTACCGGGTCTTATAATGTCTTACCTAACAGTCTTACCGGGTCTTATAATGGCCGGACTTAACATACCAGAGAATAGTCAGAATACTTGCCAAAGTTGGGGACACAGAATGAGACACAACGATGAGGGAAAGACAAAAGTCAAGGATACCAGAATACAGAGAAGTCAAATGAAGCCAAAGTCAATAACCAGAAATAAACGCTCAGGAACACACTCTCGACAGGGCAATGACGGAAAGTAAAAATGCGTTTAAATAAGCCTTTTACACTTCTAATTGGCCTAAATCGGCCTTTGACCCCAGAAGGTGCACGTGCGTCTCCCGCGTGACGTCACATGCATGCTGACGTCGTCATCACTGTGGGCGGACATGGGGCTATAATTTGGCATGGATCCGCAGTGGCCAGCGTCCATCAACATGTTGCAGGAGTCAGGTACAATGACGCATTGGCCGCTGGGCGCAGATACCGCAAGGTGAGGATGAATATGTTACACATTTGAATGGAACCGAACACTAGCTTCCTGGAGGCCGTTTGCATGAAGAAACCCACTAATTGTCCTCAGCAGTAGCCGCTGAGCCGCGATCATTATGGAACTGTTTTCGGCATGAGGTAACTGTGTGGCTCCCGGACAATTTGGTCTGGTGTTTTAATTGCCTAAGAATTAGTCACTACACTGTGTTCTTGTTTTTGTCAACTGGTAAACTGTTATAAAATCCCAAATTACACAGATGGTGACATCACACCATGCAACAGCGAAACCATAACACACTGTGTGACCGGAGAGAGATTTTTGGAGGGAAGGTACCTGAGACTAAGGGGAACAAACGCAACCCGAGAACCACATGGAGCACCCCGTATTGCGGCCATAGGAGCTCCCGAATGTTGACCGGCCAAAGCACCAAATACCCTAGAACAGTGTTGGGCATAGGACCAGGTGTGCAGCCGTTCAGAACTTTAACACGGTGGCATTTCCCCTACACTGCATGGATCCGAGCACTATTTGGAGAACTTGGGTGCTCAGATCAGGGCTATTTGGGGAGGTATTTTTTTTGTCGGTTTATTATATATTTTTATGATGTTTTAGGGTATTTTTATGTTTTATATTTTTATGTTTGCCTCTCTGTTCCTGGAGATAGTTAGCTTACCAGTATTTAACGCAATTATCTCCCAGGCACAGAGATCTTTGGGAGGGGTTTACATTGTGATGGGATTATATTGTGTGGACACCTCCTGCTGTGGGTTATGTATATAAGCAGGCAACTTCACTATAATAAACCAGTTCATTTGTAGCCTTCATCAAGTCTAGGCTGATGTTTGGGGTAGCTCAGAGTTATAATCACTACTTCACTTCGGGACCTGGGAGACTTGAATGGATATACTCAGTCGGAGTATAGGGGATCCGTTACAATGGCTAGCTGGCGTTTCTTGATTATTCTGACTGATAGCATGCATCCGAAGTCTAGACATATTCGCTTAGCCTATCTATTGTTATGTTATTATAAAAAAAAAAAAAATGTTGAAATGCCATCTGTTTCTCTTATATATATTTTCGTACTTGCTCCGGCTGTCATGGCATTGCAAGCTTGCCTGTAATTTCACTGCACAACAAAAATAAAGAACAAAAAAAAAAGGGGGTAATCCAAACTTGGACCCAGTGCACACTGTGCCTAGAGGGGTATCAGATACACCTTACTGACGAGGCCCAAAGAGGGCTGAAACAAGCATTAACCTAGCTCTCTCCAAGTTACCACTAAGTTCTCTCTACATGAGAGATACAGCAGCCTGCCTTTGTCCATTCTCAGAGTTCTCATATTCTTTGCTTCTGTTAAATTTTCAAATTGGTCTGTTATTTGGAACTACACATTTAATATAGTTTGTTGGCCCCATTGTGATATGTGTTTTCATAGGTTTTAGTTTATGACTGGTACTTCATTATATATTTTTCATACTACCTGCTATGACATTAAAGGAACACTCCAAGCACGATAATCACTAGAGGAGTACCCTGGCGCCCCACATTGTAAGTTCCACTCCCTGCCTCCACGAAACCCAACAGAGTGCTGGACAATTCAGCTTAAGAGATTCTGTTACCTTACTGGCAAATCAGTGATCAATTTTTAGAACAGAACAGTTTGATAAATCTCTGTAATACTCTCAGGGAAAAATTATTTGGAACTCAACCGCAAGTGAATGAAGAGATTTGATACTGTCACTTTAAGAAAATATAATTTATTAAAATAAAGTAATTTAACTTTGGCAGACTTCTGCAGCAATAATGATCGGAAATAATAATGAGAATCTTGTTTCAGTGTTGCTTCACAAGAATATAGCACTTAGTAATAAATTAAAATAAGGAATGCTTAATTAGCAATAAGCAATATAGTCTGTTAGACTTCAACATAGTGTTGACAGGACAGGTGATGCCTGTTGTAGGAAAGTAACACAGTCCTTTAACTTGAACCAGTAAATGTTGACAATTAAATATTTCCTGGTATGAGAAGTGGTTATAGTCTTTTAGACTCCCATGTTAATAATTAACATAAATGAGCAATTTAGCAAATTCGATTTTCAGTAGAGATAGCAAGTGGAATCCCAGAGGGCAGACTTTAGTATTCCTTATCCTTCCAAAATCGCTTTAGGTAAGAACCAATTAGTAATCCTAATTACTGGAGAACTTATCTTGCCTTTCAATGATGATGAGCATCGAAGTCCTTTCCAGAGTAGGTCGGATTATGGTTCCCTGAAGTAAGTGGAAAGAGGCAGGAATCCGAAATAAAGTCTGTTCCTTTTCAGGGAATGGTGAGTAGAGAGTAGCCAGGATCAAAGCCAGAGAGGTTTGGTACACCGGTAATCAGTTAGCAGAGCTCCGTCGGGAAGCAGCAACAATGTAGAAATTAGCGAGAGCTCATCAAAGATGAACAAACACGCAATTTGGATGCGGCCTTTTGAAGGGAAGCGTGTGATGTCAGATGCATGGGCGGAGATGGATTGGCGAATACGGGTAATGCCAATCGGTCTGAAAACAATATGGAGGAATTCCGAAACAACATAGGGGAATCCTGACAATCTAACCCAAAGTATTCTGAAATTCATTTTCACAAAGCAGTGGCTTTTATGCCCTACTTCCCTGACTACTGGTAGTCTTCCAAACTGGTGGACCACTGTGTGTTTGAGACAGAATATGATGGGGGAAGGTACCACTATAGAATTATTTGTAAGTGGAGTTGTGTATGTGGCTTTGGGTGTCCAGCTTTCTAACATCCTAAAGATATTAAAAAAAAAAAACCTGAGAGCTATTGTTTTATGGGATCTGTAATTATACAGAGACACGGCAGGGAGGATTTATGAAGACATTCGTGGTGCATGTAAATACCGAGAAACAGTCTCACTCATTGCTATAAAATAAAACTTTTGGAACTTAATAAAAGTAATGAACTATTTAATAAGCACTGCCCATTTCCTGGGACGTTACATTCCCAAGGCTGGAAGTTATTGGAATGCCATATGTCGAGCAGTAATTATCTTGGATATTCGTTCAGAGAAAATGTTTATTGACAGGTGCTTAGTACATGTATTGTACACATTCTCTATAATACACAGCTAAGAGCCCCACAATGCTATAAATACAACTCACAGTTACTCGTTATTGGCGTCTCCATTTATACCTTTAATATAAAATTTTGCACACCTATCTGGTATTCTCCAGAGGAGACCAGTAGACAAAGTCAAATCGTTTTCACATACTGCAATTACAATTTTGAATTCAGATGCCGAACAGGCTATATATTCAATTGATTCTGAATTTGTATATCTGGAAATTTCTGATTGTCTGCCATTACAATTCACCATAATTAGGAATCATTTGTTTCTGCTGTTTGTTTTTTATTGGTAACTGATTTTTTTGATCAATTTGTATCTCTACTGTATGTTTTCTTTCGAGTTATAATACAGTTTTATCTTTACTTTTATACCCATAAATCAGAGTGCAATATTAGTGTATTTGTGATTGCTGTATAGATTTACCATCTTTGTACCCATTACAAAATACCCATTTTTCCCATGTACTCATAGTCGTGGTTAAGCAAGCGTGTATATATACACTAATATATGTGTCTTTTATTTTTAAATCATGAATGTTCACATGCTATGATATGAGCAACATGTGTGGCTTGCACCTATAATGTCTTATGATTTTATTATAATGAAAAATGTAGGTAATCAACCCAGCAGACTTTTTAAAATCTTTTCTTGACATAGGGTTGTTAAAAAAAAGTTTTATAACTTAATAAAGTTATTTATTTTAATTTAGATATAGTTGCCTGTTTCCTGTAGCATTAGTCATAGTGTCATACCAGTTATAAAAAAACTTGAGGTGTTGTTATGCTACATGAACACACACACACACACAAAAAATTCCAGAATCCCTAAGATTTAATTACTTTCCTGTAACTTATGCCACTGGCTCAATGGTAATTGGAGAGATTCTTACTAGAGAGATTTTTACTACAGACCTGGAGAGTGAGTCCTACAAATCTCAGACATGCAAGAATATTGTCATACCTAACAATTTCGGAGGTATGCAGATTGGGCTTGAGAGGAGATGTCATCATTGACATGAATTGTGTCAGTGGAGACGCCCATAATGGGAATGGGACGGTGGCAGGACACTGAAGGACTGAAGTGGTCTGTCTGGCTGGTGCCCAGCCTGCAGGACCTTGCAGAAAGCACTGATGAAGGGTCCTAGCACCCATGCACAGCACTAGGTGCATTTAATGATACATTGAGCTGTACTACCTGAGGATGGCGGAAAAGGACCCTGAAATCGGGACTTTCCATCCAAATTTGGAACCATTGGTGGGCCTTTATTCTATGTCCTACTGTTTCACAAGAATTAGGGGCCCTTGCGTTGCACAGTGTAAGTCACACAGTGTTACGGTTTCGCTGTTGCATGGTGTGATGTCACCATCTGTGTAGTTTGGGAACAGTTTACCAGTTGACAAAAACAATTAGTTGTGACACTTTAAATACGTAGAATGCACCCGTTTATATAAAGCAGTCCATACTCTCAGTGTCAACAAATTAGCATCTTTAAGTACATTGATGCACTTGCTTCTATGAGGTAAATGGGGAACATAGTGTAGTGACAAATTCTTGGGCAATTAAATACGCATAATTATTATGATGAAGCACACTCTTAAACAAGCATAATGGTATAATACAGCAGTTAAATAATATTGTCTGAGTCAGGAACTTGAAGGGATGTACATAAAAACAAATATTTATAAGGATCTCATCTGAAATAATATTATTCTATGATATGATAACACATATGTAATAAAATTTAGAATTGTACAGCCTAAAAAGGTATTTTGTTTCTTGGTATCTTGTAAAAAATTGTATCTTGTAAAAAAAAAAAAATGTTTGTGTAATATTTGTTTTGTATGTGTGATTCTTCAGTGTATGATTCACTCAGCATGTAAAGGAGCACACCAAACACCATAGAGTTCCCGGAAGTGGCTATTGTGCCAGGAGTGCCCTGGTGCCTCATTATATGAAGCCCAACTGTTCTAGTAAAGGTTTTAATGTTTGTCGTATTCCTGATTTTATTTTAGACACATCACAGAGTCCATGAGTTAGTCACATTTGGTTTGTCCCAGAGGAAGTCACATTTGGTTTGTCCCAGAGTTAGTCACATTTGGTTTGTCTCACAGGAAGAGTCCCAGAAGAAGTCACATTTGGAAGTCACACAAGGCGTTGGGCGGATACTGACTCTACCTGTACCGGTGATGTTTTTCTACATGCTCATATTCTTTGTTTTAACTTATGTTGAATAAAGATGTCATTGTTTTTGTTGGAGATGGTTCACAGACCATCACAAAAACAAGATGGTATATTCAATTAATCAGTGAAGAATCAACCTCCCAGCACATATTATTTATTACATTACGGTGGTGCCTCAAGGGTACTATACTATCACTTTCTTTTTTTGTCCCTCATATGTATCCTCATATTTCTTTCTATATATCCCGTATCATTGGACAAGTGGAAGATCCTTTGGTGAAGCCTTCTATTTTTGTAATTTTTTTTCCCGTGTATCACTGGATGTAGCATGTTACACTTTTTTGGTGAAGTCTTACCTCTTACCACCATCTTTACTACAGCTCAGTGTAAGACGAGATCTCCTGCCTCCATTTACTCTTCTGAGCTAAGCATTGGTACATTAACTGAGAGCATCAGCTAATTGCTCTCAGCCAAGGTAGCAATATGATATAGAAGCTTTGCAACATATGTATGGTAGCCCTGAATTCAAGAAGTTGAATATTACTCACAAAATGTAGGATTTAGACTATTTTCAAAAGATTTCATCCAAACATACTCATAAAGTCCCCCTCAAAAATAAGGCTTGCCAAAAATACTCCAATATATGGAAGTTCCGATAAGCAAGTTTGAGGTGAGTAAAGACACCACTCACAAGCACACAAACTGAAAGAATACAAAAAAAAAATCTTCTATACAACTTATGTAGTTTAAATACAAGGCAGCATTTAAATACCACAATGAAAAATACAAAGGAATTATACCATAATTGGAGCTGTTTCACCAAGCCAGTGTTTTGGATAAACAACACCTATGCCCGAAGATTGGTCTCCACGTGTTAGTGTCAGG